CTCCCCCTCCCCCTCCTGCTGACCTCGTGACCGCCTCCTCTAACCCCTACTGCCTAACCTGCCCAGATGATGTCGTTCGCGTACGACCCCTTCCTGCCCGCCGGCATGCGCTGGCGCGACCTTTTCGACATGGTCATCGTAATGGCTCGCAAACCCGACTTCTTCAACTACAACATGTCGCTGTACGAGGTGGTGACTCCGGATGGCCTCATGCGGCCCGTGCTGGGGGCCCGGAAGGGGGGCCTGTACTGCGGGGGAAGGTGGGGCGGTTGGGGTTGGAGGGCGGGGGGGAATTGCCAGTTGCGGGCCGCGTGGGGGAAATGTGAAGAGGTGAAGGCGGCGGAGGGATCATTGGCTGTGTGGACCCCGCTGGGTTAGTATTCTGATTACCAGGTTGCGAAGGGGCCGCAGGGCCCCTCGATGTACGAGGGAGTAAAAAATCATGTCGTACGGGTTGTGGATGTGCTCGTCTACACATGCAGTAGGCAGCATACAGCTCCCGCCCTGCTTTGGGCTTTATTTGTCTGGATGGCTGGCGGGGAAAGAGAGAGGCGCGCTGGGGGGGGTTGGGGTTTGGGGTTGGAATCGCCGCTCCAATCCGACACGTGGCGGTGGGAAGGACCCCATCCAAGCCTGCACATGTCCTAATTAGGAGTCCCAACCTTTTACCCCGCCCGCCCCCCCGGGGGAGAGCAACCCCCAGGACCCCCAGCTAGGCCGACCCGTCCTGGAGGCCCACTCGGGGGCCACTCTCGTACACCCCTCGCCATGTGCAGGGGCCCCGAACGCGCACACACTCTCAAACCACACATGCCTCCTATGTACCTCGTACGTGTGTTGTTCTCCCCCCCCCCCGGGCGCCCCCCCCCCGATCATCAGCGCCCGCATGGTGGAGAAAGCCCTAGGGGTGGAGGGTGACGACCTGCTATACGTGGGGGACCACATCTACACGGATGCGGCACTGGCCAAAATCAACTTCAGGTGCGACGGGAGGGGAAGTGGGGTTTGGGTGACGGGGGACGAAGCGTACACACTCCCACCAGCTCGGATGCGGTGCTGGTGCACATCTCCAGCTGCTACTGCTACTGCTACTGCTGCTGCTGCTGCTTCCAGCAAGATGCCGTTTTTGCTAAGGAACGTGCCGCTTTTGTAACAAAAATGAAACACCAGAACCGTCGAAACATGTGCGCTAGACAAGCAAGAAGGGTGTCAGCTGGAAATCTTGCTGTTGTGTTGATGTTGATGATGCTTTCCGGCGGTTGGCGGTTGTGGTCAGGTGGCGTACGGCACTCATCATTCGGGAGTTGGAGCTCGAGATTGACGCGCTGGCCCGGGGTCGCCCCCACCGCGACGCGCTCAAGGAGCTCATGACGAAGAAGGAGCTCATTGGGGACGTGTTCAACCAGCTGAGACTGAGCAGGCAGGCGAGTGGGGGGGGGGGATCGGAGGATGGGGCCCAGGTGGCCGCACGGGCGGCCGCGGGGGGTGGGGTCGGCGAGGAGGCCGTTGTCGTGGTCGTGGTCGTGGTCGTGGTCGTGGTCGTGGTCGTGGTCGTGGTCGTGGTCGTTGTCGTGGTCGTTGTCGTGGTCGTTGTCGTGTAGTGGCAGCGGAATAGTGGTGTGGGAGCTGAGTGTGCTGGCTTTGTGGGTGGGCCCCTGGGAAGAGGGGCTGTTGTTGCGTTCGCCGGTGCGGTTTAAATGAGTGAGCCGTGGAAGGGCTTATGTCTGTATGTTTGTCTGTGTGTGTGTTTGTTCGGACCCCGCTGACGCCCCCTGCCGTCGCCTCCCCTCTCCCCTCCTTCAGCGCTGGGTTCACGGCCACCCCGCCGCCGCCAGCTTCGAGGACGAGGAGGGTATTAATGAAACCCTGGCCCAGCTGCTGATGGTGATGGAGCACCTGGATGACCGCATAGGGCCCATGTTGGAACGGGATGGGGAGCACTTCAACAAGAGGTGGGTCGGGCGGAGGGTGGAGTGGGTTGTGCGTGTTTGTATGTTTGTACGTTTGTATGCTTGTATGTTTGTATGTTTGCATGTTTGTGTGCTTGTGTGGCGCTCCAGGTGGCGCCCTTTCGACGCGCAGAATCCGCAACGCTCAAATTCCGTAACGCTTAAATTCCGTAACGCTCAGGTTCTGTAACGCTCGGGTTGGTAACGTGCTCAACCTTCATTCCGTGCAGGTGGGGGTACCTGTCCCGAGCTGGCCTCAACGATAAGTCGCAGCTCAACCGCCAAATAGAAAAGTACGCCGATATCTACACATCGAGGGTCTCCAACTTCCTGCGGTACACGCCGTACAGCTACTTCAGGTACATATATATTATATGTATGGACGGGGCCCCCCATGACAGTGCGGCAAAATCACGGTCATCAGCAAGTCATCCTAGCCATCCTAGCCAATACATGTGATCATGATAACGGACCCCAACACCCTCAAGTGACCCCCTGATGCCCCATTCCTACTTCCGGTAACCCACTGCCCCTTTGGCACTTTGCGCCCTTTCTTCTCCCCCGGCCCCCCCGGAAAAAGGTCGCCCTCCCAGTCCCTGGCACATGACCGGAACCTCACTCGCTACTACGAGAAGATTTACGGGTCAGGACACGACGGCGCGCCGGTTGGCAGCAGCGGCAGTTCCTCCAACGGAAGCAACGGCTTCGCGTTGCCGTATGACGACGGTCCGGATTCGGATCCGGAGCACGAGCAGGACGCCTCGTGACGGGAGAGCACTGGCGCTCAGGTCGCCCCCCGTGGGAAGGGCGGTGTGACGGGGTGCGGCATCCCTGGAGAGCTGCGTTGGCGGTTCCGTCGGTATATATCTCTAGCCACGGCGGCGCCTGAGGGTTCCAGGGTCTCTTCCAGGATTTCGCTGGTGGCTGGCTTGGCTTACTGACATTGGTGTGCGGGCTGTTCTCTAGCCGCGTTCTTGTTCTCAATCTTTTTTACAAACTGACGACTGAAGTCTTTTTCTTGGCGTATTTCTTGGTGGCGGCGCCGCGCTCGCCTCATGTATGTGTGTATGTATGTGTGTATGGAGCTGGCCAGGCGGCTCTGAGGGTCTTCTCTCCCGCTTTGAGACGACGACCCTATATCTTCCTCTCCCGGGCAGAGCAGGTGGCTGACTGGCAGAACCGCATGGAAGGCCGGGGCCGCCGTGTCGCTTTTGCAGATGTCGCTGCCCTCTCAGTGCCGTTACCGTGCTGCCGGGGGGAATACCCTGAAGTGCTCTAGGGGGCAATAGGGAATGGGGGGGAAGGGAGCGCGTCAGTGGTGGCGTTGCAGGGTGGCTAAAACACGTGATGTGTCGTATGGTTTTCCTGCCAGTCGTGTTGGCGTCTAGCCGGGGGCCGATTCTCTACTGAGGGAGGGGGAGGAGGGGAATGAAGGAAACACGTCGTTGGGAAGGAAAGAGGAGAGGGGAGGGACCTGGCCACCACGTCGTCGTTGGGGCACTGAGTTGACATGCGGCGACTTGGATGCGGTGACGGCAATGTGCTCCGCGTGGGGAGGCTCCCCAATGCATATGAAGGGGGGAAGGGGACCTTGGGGAGTGGGTTTTCACTGAGTTGACAAACCACCACGATGTGATCGCGCGCCTGATATGGACCCTGGTATGGAGTTCATAGGTATGATTTAGGTACTGGATTGGGACATAGGCGTGGTGTAAGGACGCAGGCTCCGCTGCCGCGGGTGTTGTTGGTCAGGTGTGGTTGTTGGCGGCTGCTGGCGGCTGTTGAGTGATCGAGCAGAGAACTCGTTACGTCTCACAATTGCTTGTGTGCTCGCAAGTTGCGTGTGCGTGTGCGTGTAGCTATGTGTTCTGTATGTACATGTGCTACCGTGACACTCAGGCATTTGCTATTTGCTGTTTGTTAGGTTTTGTTGTATGCATTGCAGTCGTTGTAGTCCCCGCCTGGAGCTGTATCTGCCAACGGAGGAAGGGGTAACCAGCCTTACTGGGAATTAGCCCTCGTCCCAAGTTGTTCTCGCTGCGACGGTAGGTCAGCGTGCCCCGATATTTCAGTGTCTCGGTTTGCGCCTGTGTAGCCGTGTGTTGCCGGGCACTTGTGGTGGGCTCGCTCAAGCTGGTGGGCCCCCTCGTCAGGCCAGGGCCGAACCAACTAAGCTTAGTGCTTCTAAGCATGTTGTTCCCTATCGCTAGTGGCGGGAGTATGGGCCGCAGCCAGCACAGGTGGTGGCGGGTAAGAAGGTCTAGGACACCTCTACCAGGGGGCCCCTCCACAAAATCACTCTTGGACGTTTGGGACGTTGTGAACGGCGCGTCTCGGCTCGGCGGGGCGTACCTCGAGAAGGCCCGTATGGCACCACTGCTTGTTGCGCCGTTGTTTCCAGCCGCGCGGATGCGTTCCATCGCTGTGGGCCGGGGCGTGTGTCGGTAAGGAACGAGGTCCCACGACGGCACCGGCGCCTGAGAGAGAGAGAGAGAGAGAGAACCAGTTGACTGCTGGCTCAGCTGCACTGGTGGCCGCGTCTGGTGCTGACAGAACGCTCGGGCGAAAAAGACAGAGCATGGTATGGCTTTGAGGCAGAGGGTATTGTGGCGGAGTTACTTGGCTGGGCGGAAAGTGGGCTGCACACGAGCACATGGGGGCTGTATGGATGCAAGTGAGGAGGGCTCGTAAGGTGTGGAGCTCCGTGATGGGTAGGTTGGGATCTTGGTTGGGAGCCAGTGTGTTCACATTTCGTTCTGCAGCAAACCTGGTGGCGGCGTATTTGGCGTCCTAATCCCCTTGGAAAACTGCTGGTGTGGGCCGCAATGAATGAACTGGATTTAAAGGGAGGCCTCTTATGTACACATGTTGGGGGGGATCTGGATCCGAATGGAGATGTGCGATCTCAGTCGGTCCAGGATGTATCTGTGCAGCACATGATCTGTCGCGCAGGGCGAGTGCGGTTGGGGCGTCGTGCGCCAGGCAATCGCCACGTCACAATCGTCATGTCACAAGTTGCTGCCATTAACCGGGAAGCAATGCAGGGTAAGGTGCAACCATGCCACAAGCTTCATATACAACTTCAGGTGCAGCCCTGGGCGGTAGTTCAATGTCCCCTTGCCGACATTTGCGTCCGTTGCACGGATACCATCACCGTCCGGGTTCAATCTCTGGACTAAAGTAGCGCACAAAAGTAGCGCACAAAGGGTGAGGAGCGGAGATTCTGCACCGTAGGATCCACCAACAGCCGCGGATGCCCGACCTGCTGCCAAGACAAATACATCACTGTCTCAGTCGACTTCCAAGACATCCATTCCAAAATCTGTGTCCTCGCCCACTCACCCAGACTGGAGGAACACGTTGAGGGACAATCGGCGCCACCAGGGCCCACGGCCTTTCACGACCCTGTGGATGGATGAACTCATTTATAGCGCATTTTTTCCAACCAGGAGCTTTCCTTGCACCCCTCGTTGCCCTCACTGGCTAAGGGCAATGCATGGTCACTCAAGTGTCCGCATGCATCTCCAGCACGCTACCATAATTGCCTGGTTCGCCGCCAACTCCACCCTAAATTTGCATCCGATAACCCAACACTGACACACACAGAGCATACCTGCTGCTTGGACGAATATGATTCCACGTGTCTACTAAGCAAGGAGGATGTCCCAAGAAGGATCTGCTCAAACGCGAATCCGTTCATATACCTCCTCATTCCCACCACGCATCCCTAGCAAGCCACCACCACAGCACAACCACACCACAACCACCACCAGGGCGATGGACTGCCCATCTTCACGCGATCTATGAAACCTCCCGAAGGACCTGGAGGCCAATAACAACGTGATACAGGTTGATTCCCATAATGACCAGTTACCATCTCCATTTTAGACCAGCATGGGGGCTGCCGCTGCTGCATGCCGGAAACATTGCGACGGCTGTGGACAGTCAAGTGGGGACGGGAACACAGGGGGGAAGAAGGGGTGTTCCCCTTCTTCCGAAACTCTCTGGTGTCTGGCTGCCGACCTGCCCGGCAACACGCATCTACGGAGTACCTTCGGAGCCGTGTGGCTGTGGTGGATTCGGGGGAGTGGCCTACGTGCCCGGACTCATATCCCCCCGGGCGAACGTGTGGCTCGTAGGAGCACCAGCAGGGGTGCAGCAGTGCGTGTGGGACGTGGTCACCTCGTGGCGCTGTCCGCCATGAAACGTGCACGGGCGGGACTGGGGGCGGCAACCCCCGCTATCCACCCCCGCCCGAGGCCCCAGCAGCCCCACGAGAGCCCGTGTGGCAGCAGAACGGGTTCAGGGCTTTGCAGAGCTCGGCGCGCCCCAGCGCGGCTGGGGACAGCGTGGGCCCCGACCATCCCATTTTGTCGGTGGTGGACGGGCGCCTGTGTTGCGCACAGCCAGTTGGGCAGGAAAAGGAAGGAATAGAAAGGGGTGCTAGGAGGACCCCGGTAGATGGGCAATCCCGCTGGGCGGGGAGGGGATAGGCCTGAGGGGTTTTCTTTGTTGGGACTGGATAGAAGGCTTTGTGAATTGCGCCGGTGGTGCTGCCTCGAGGCATCCCTAGCCCCGTCGGTGAACTGATACCTGCTAGCATAGTCCGTGCCCAGCCCCCGTTGCGTGCGCTCGACAGGTGGTTAGACGAGTTTCTTGAACCCCGTCCGCTCCCCCGAAACTGAGAATCGGGTGAGAGGCCGAGCATTATGATGGAGCCTCGTGCCCTAGTAGCAAGGGTAGGGTCTGTACAGGGATTCTGGGTTTCCTGTGTCTTGGTGAACCCTCACCCAATGAGCCGGATCAGGCCGAGGATGGAGAGGAGTCTTGTTTCGTGTTTCAGGCTCAGTGCGCAAACTCGTGTGACGGAGCCTTGACTCTTTGCGAGCGTGCGTGCGTGCGACGTCCCCCAACCCCGGGGGATGAGAGCGGGAGCTAGCGGACCTGCGGCTCTCGGCTGCTTAGGAGGGGGCAGAGGCCCCTCGCGCCTCTTTCCCGTCCGCGGGAGAGAGCTTAGGCGGTCTTTCCGTTGGGCTGGGCAGCAGTCCCTGGCCAGTGTCAGGCCCGGTCAGATAAACCTACACACATACGGCCGCTGCTCTACACATGTACAGTATACATGTACAAGCCGCGCGCGCTCCCAAACACGCAGCCACCCGGTCACACACACCCTCCTTCAGACATGAGAGGCCTCCTTAGCGGTCGGTTCCGACAGAGCAGAGCTCCGCAACAGCTCCGAAACCCACCGTCCCCTCCTCTTCCCCCTCCGCTTCTCACACACGCTCGTCCTCCTCCTGCGTCCTCCGTACCGGCAGGTTCCCCTTCTCTATTCCTAAGGACCCAACAGCCACACCGGGAGCCACCACGGCGGCTGCTTGCTAGTCGCACCGCGTCTCGCAAACCCATCCGCCCATGCGCAACACAACACAACAACCCCCCCGGACCGCAGCCCTTTCCCCCCCCCGTTTCCTGGACCTCCCCGGGGGGCGCCAGGGGGGGTCCAGCTCTCCTGCCTCGCTCCCCACACCGCATCCACTCTCCAGCGTGCAACCTTATTTGCACTCAGCTTCTTGAACCCGCTGATGCATGGGGGCCCCGTCTTTCCTGCCGGCGGCCTACAGCCACAGTCCTCAGCATCTCTCCCCCCCTCTCTCCCCCTCTCTCTCCCCCTCTCTCTCTCGCTCCCTCCCTATGCCGCTGCCACCGCCAGCAGGCCGTTGTGCTGCAGCAGGGGCCGTGTGGAGGGCTCCCGGCCCCGGAAGCGAACAAACACCTCCGCGGGCGCCACTGAGCCGCCCAGAGCCAACACGGTGTCGCGGAAGCGGGCACCTGTGTCGCGAACTGCCGCCTCGTTGTCCAGACCCGCCTAGGGGAACAGCAGGAGGGGGGAGGGGGGAGGGGGAGGGGGAAAGACGAACCACAATCGAGTGAAGGGGAGGGGGAGGGGGGGAAGAGCAGGTACCGGGTTACAGGAGGGAGGGGGGATCAAGGGGGGAGGAACGGAAGGGGAGGGGTTCAGCCACACGGCATCCGCCCTCTTGCGGCCTCATCAGGTCAGGTCGCTGATGAGGTCATGGTGTGTATGGTATATACGACATTCGCCCTCCCGCGACCCTTAACACGACAACTGCCGTACCTCCTCAAAGGCGTTGAAGGCGTCCGCGGAAAGTACCTCGGCCCACTTGTAACTGCAGACGGCGAGCACCCACCGAGGGGGGGAGAAGCGGGGACAGGGGGGGGAGACGCAACGGAGGTGTCGGGCGGGGACGGGGCACCGGTCTGTATGGACAGCTACCCGGGTGGCTACAATCCAACCACCAATGCATCCATCAGGTGTGTGGCCGTGTCCGTGTCCGTGTCCGGGGAGGGAAGCATCTTCGAACCTGGGCTGACGTTGCACGTCCAACACGTGGTGGTCAGGAAGGTCAGGAATGCATAGGTGCCTTTCCCCCCTGCTCCTACTCCTCCGCACCCTAGGTGCCTTTCCCCCCCCCCTCCACCCTACCCCACATCCCGTCTCCTCAACTTCCGCCCGCATCCCCACCCCATAATTGCGCTACACTCCGCAAAACACCTTTTGCCTGGAAAATAGTTAAAAATCAAGTAGCTTGTGATACTTTATTGTAATTTTTATTTCTGGCAACTGAAGCACATTTGAAAAGGCCTTTTTATCACCTTGTTTAGACCGGAGGAGGAGGAAATCCCGTAAGAGGAGCGCCAGTCAGCTCTCAAACCTACACATACCGGCTTTTTTTCACGCGCACACGCCCTTCCACCTCTTCCACCCAAGCACCACCAAACAAGACGTAAAACACGAAAAACACGAAGCGGTCACTGGAAACGCCACCCCCACGCATACGCACATACACGGATTCACGTACACACACACACACGCACCTGTAGTACCCCGCCGAGTAACCCCCGGCAAAAATGTGCGAGAAGCTGCACAGGAAGCGATCCTCCAGCAGCGGCTTCATGACCAGTGTACGAGCAGCCACCTCTTGGTCAACGTCGTACACCGACTTGCCTTGACCGGGTTTGAACCTGGCATGCAGCTCCAGATCCACGCAACTGAAGTGCAGCTGTCGCAGCATCATGGTACCGCTGCGGTAGTTCTTCGCGGCCTTCAGTCGCGAGTAGAGCTCCTCAGGCAGGGGCTCACCTAAGGGGGGGGGGAGAGGGGGGAAAGGGGGGGGAAGGGGGAGAGATGAACCACTGACGAGCGACGCGGACACCAGGGATAAGCAGATCGACCCGGGGGAGAGCAGCCGCTGTCGATTGAGACACGGCGGGGGGTGAGGAGGGATGAGGGGAGGTGGGGAGGTGCGGTTATCAGTGCGGAGGAGGAGGAAAGGTTGGGGGGCACCCAGCCCCACAGAAATCACCTCACCTCACCTCACTTCACTTCAAACCAAAGTAAGACCCACAGGGCCCCGGCTCCCCTTACCCTGGCGGCACCCCCCCCCGGGCCCTTTCCGGGCCCTCACCACCTCCCTCTCCACCTCCTTCACCCAGCTCCTCCCCCACCAACCATCTCTCTCCCCCCCGACCCCAATTGACCCCGATGGACGACAGCGCATGTCGCACCCGTCTCGAAGTGCTTGGCGAAGCTGTACAACGTGGCCCTGTCGTACGCCCAGTTCTCCATGAACTGGCTTGGGAGCTCCACAGCGTCCCACTCTATGTTGCGGATGCCAGAGGCGAGCCCGTCCGTGACCTCCGTGAGCATGTGCTGCAGCGCGTGACCGAACTCGTGGAACAAGGTCTCCACCTCGCGGAAGGTCATCAGACTGGGCTTGCCGCCTGGGGGCCAGGAGGGGCAGGGGGGCCAGGGGGGCCAGGGGGGGCAGGAGGGGCAGGAAGAAGAAGGTGGAAGAGGAGGAAGAGGAGCAAGCGAAGGAAGAGGAGGAAGAGGAGGAAGCGAAGGGCAGGAGGTCACGGAAAGGGGTTGAGGGGGGGGGGTCGGGAGGACGAGGGTCCGGGGAGAGGAGGGGGCTCACAAGCCAATACATTACATGTGCAATGTACGATATTGTACCGGACCAGCTGCTGGCCGTGCTTAAAAAAAAGGATGTGCCGTACATTCAAAAAAGACAAAAATCACAGAGCCACTAAGACATTGGAACAGACACAGGGGTAATGGAGCGATGATGGGGCGATGAGCAGTAGCAGTAGCAGTAGCATCCGGGGAGGGATGTGGGTGAGACATCTCATCACGGCGGTGTATGTGTATGTGTATGTGTATGATGTGTGAAACAGGGGGGTGTATCTTCGCCCGTGGCAGCTACCCTGCGAAACCCTGCCTTCCCCGGTATTTCGGGGCACCCTCATCCAGTCACCCTAGTCAACTTCTCAGTGGATCGCTCAGGTTCCGCACCCACCACCAGCATCCAACGGAATCTGCCGGGTCGACAGCGGCGCAACTCCATTCCTGGTCGGCTCGCAGGTTAACTTTATCCCAGGTCACCACCGTCCATCAACTAGGGGCGCAATGCCTTCCACCATCGGAAGGACTTTTGACCCTAAGGGGTATCGATCCCGGGATCTGTATGTATGTATGTGTATGTACGTGTGTGTGTGTGTGACTCACCCACTGGTTCCATCTGGTTGCACACCATGTGCGCCACGGGCAGCCTCACCGCACTGCCGGGCGGGGCCAGCAGGCGGCTCTGACCCACCACCTCAGCCATCCAGGCACCTCCGCGCTTCTCAGCAGGTCGGGAGTAGGGGTCCAGGTAGAAGTAGGCCTTGGGCTGACCGGCCTTGAGGACCTGGGGGGCAGGCGGGCAGGCAGGAGGGGAAGGGGGGGAAGGGGGGGAAGGCAGGTTCGTGGCTGGGGTTGTGGGGCCAGGTGGTGGATTGGGGGGGGTTGTGGAGGGCGGAGTCCGGGATGATAATGCGGTTGAGGATGCCGGACAGTTTGAGGAGGGGGGAAAAGACGAATCATGGGCGAGTGAAGCTGCTGCCAAGGAAAGAGTGTTGCGGCAAGGGGGGAAGGGGGTGAAGGAATGGAAAGCAGCTACCCCAGCTGCCGCCTCATCACCTCAGGAGATACACCCTAGACCCCCCCCCAGTCGACCCCCCCCTCCAAGGCCCCCCCCTCCCCCCACCTTGAAGAACTGCACGTCCGGGTGCCACACAGGGGCCTCACCATCCGCAGGAACAACCTCCACATCGAACAGACGGTTAGCCAACTGTACGGAGCGGTTGACAGGTGGTTGGGGTGGTTACGCAGTTAAAAGGATGGCGATTCGCTAACATTGGCAAACAAATTAGGTGCTGTGGACATGAACGACATATGAACGACGGAGCGCTTCATGTGGAGGTGGGAAACCATTCAGCTCCGAGGGGGGCCCCCCGCGCCCGCCCCACCCCCTACCCGTCTTCCTGCCCAAACCCAAAAGTCAATGGTAACCACGCACGCCCCCCATCCCCCGTACCTTGAACAGCCCTTCCAATACGTTGGGCAACGCAAAGTACGGCCGCAACTCCTCATCGCTGATGTTGTACTTGGACTCACGCAGCCGCTCGGCCCAGTACGACACATCCCACCTGCCGTACAATAGCGGAGGACAACCCCATCCAAGATAGGTCCGCGGCGGCGACAACAACCGCACCGGATTCCCCACACGGGGGATAGGGAAACACATTCTACCGCGGGGGAACAACACGTCAAAAAATAACACTCCCTTACAAAAATAGCGGCTAGAGGCGCATAGGGAACCTCGTCAAACGTGGAAAACAGTGCACCAGCCTACCGACATACTAGACATACAGACAGATAGACATACAGACAGATAGACATACAGACAGATAGACATACAGACAGATAGACAGCAGCAGAAAGATGGACAGGGATCGACACCCTCCCCATCAGCCAGAGGGGGGTGAAAACAGCCATGCAGGCGAGGTTAAAACCAAGGCAGCCAGAGAGCCCCAGGAGATCCTACTTGATGACAACTCCCCCCCCCTTGCAAAACAGCGGTGGGATGACCCCATGGCCCCATCCACCCACCATTCCAGTTGCCCCTCGAATCCCTGGCTGGTGGCGAACTCCTGCACCTCCTGCTTGTCCTTCTCCGCCGCCGCATGCGATGCGGATCTGAGCTCCTCCAGCAGCGACTCGGCCTTGTCCAGGGAGGCCATCTGGGCGGGCGGCGGGAAGCGGGGAGCGAAGGGGACACCGTTAGGGGGTTGGGGTGGTGGTGAGGAGGTGACTCAGATGTAAGGTTCCAGGGCTCTCAGTAGTACGGCACAGTATGACACCTGGTACGGTGCACCGTCAACCTCTAGTGGCCGAATTCCCGTATTGGCCTCCACTCCGTACGACATGAAGGGCGCCAAAATCGAAGTTAATGTCAAATTCCGCGACGATAAACCCATGAGGCGAGAGCACGCAGTTGTAAATCCGTTTGTCTGTCTGTGTGTCGGACTGTCACCCGGGCAGTTCGAGAGGTACCCTCCCCCCCTTCCCTCCCCCCCTGCCCATACCACCACACCATACCTTGGAGGCCATGGACAGCTCAGCAAAGTTGTCGTACCCCAGCAGTCTCGCCTTCTCCGCCCGGAGCTCCAGGATCCGTTCAATGATGGGGCCGTTGTCGCTATCCCCTGAGCTAGCCCGGCTGATGTAAGCCCTGAGGGGCGGCAACAGCAGCAGTAGCACCAGTGCGCGCGTGTATATGTGTGTACGTGTGTGTGTGGCGGGGGGATGTGGGGGCCGGGGGGCAGAGGGCTGTGAGGCACACACGGCGAGGCTCCGTCCCTCTCTTCCCCCCCCCCAATATGGAACCCCTCCGGGGCCCCTTTCCCTCCTTTTGAGACAGACAGACGGACAGACAGACTTGCTTCCAACTCCGACAGCTGGAGCCCCGCCTCTTGCTCTTGGAAATGCTCAACCAACCGATAATCGACAAGACGCGGCAAAGCAAGGCAAGGCACGGCACGCCCCGGGCCCGACCGGGCCCCTCATTCGCAGGTCCCCCCCCACGTCCCCCCCTCTCCCCCACCTCCCGCACCTGTACAGCTCCTCCCTCAGCGCTCTGTTCTTGGCGTGCGTCATGACGGGAAAGTACGAGGGGAAGTCCAGGGTGATGAGCCAGGGGCCGTTCTCCGGGGTCGCCCCCTCGTGGCCTTCCCTGGCCGCCTGCTGGGCGGCCAGCCCGAGGGAAGTGGCGGGGAGTCCGGCCACGTCGGCAGGGTCGGTCAGAAGCTTCTTGAAGGACTGCGAGCAGGGGGAAGGAGAGGGGGGGGAAAGACGAACCACACACGATTGAAGCTGCTGCCAGGGCAAGAGAGTAGCAAACGTAAAAAAAAAGGGGGGGAAGGGGGGCCCGGAGGGACGAGGGGCGAGGGAAGGCGAGTGGGTAGGTAGGCAGGTAGGTAGGCAAATTGGTAGGTAGGTATGCAGGTAAAGGAAGGGGTGAAGGAAGGGCGGGCTGGAGGGGCGGGAGCTGAACAAGGACATGCAAATACTAAAACAGGTGTCATCGGGCGGTCTGTTCCACTTGGGTGACTTGAAAAGACATTCAAAGGTGAAGACATAGTCAAATTCGAAAAATTGCTCTCGTAGCTCAAGGACTTGAGCTGCTCGGCTCTCCAAATTTGAGGCCATCGTGGAGAGAGAGTGCCGCGAATATGTACGGCAGGCCGTACTAATTGCCGTACCTTGGTTGCGTCCAGTACGTTGTTAGAGAACTTTGTGGCCAGCTGAGTGAGCTCCTGCTGGATGGCGTTGAACCGCTCCTTGGCCTCACCCTGGGGGGTTGGTTGGCGGTTGATCGGTTACCGGTTAGTTGGGTCGTTAATGGCCAGCTAATTGGGGCGTTGGATATGAGGAAACGAGCTACCGCAAACCAACGCAAAAGGTGTTGAGTGGAATAAAATTAGAAGGACAAGAGCCAAGAGATGGTAGCGAGTGAGGAAAGAAAATGAACTTAACGACGAAGATGACGAAAACATCTGATACAAGGGTTTGGCACCACTGGTAAGGCGGGACCATTGCCCCCGGGAGATCCCGGGATCGATACCCGTTAGGGTCAAAGTCCTTCCGATGGTGGAAGGCATTGCGCCCCTAGTTGATGGACGGTGGTGACCTGGGATAAAGTTGACCTGCGAGCCGACCAGGAACAGAGTTGGGCCGCTGTCGACCCGGCAGATTCCGTTGGATGCTGGTGGTGGGTGCGGAACCTGAGCGATCCACTGAGAAGTTGACTAGGGTGACTGGATGAGGGTGCCCCGAAATACCGGGGAAGGCAGGGTTTCGCAGGGTAGCTGCCACGGGCGAAGATACACCCCCCTGTTTCACACATCTTTCAGCTGCTGAACTTCCAACCCAACTAACTTCCACCCCAGCTTTACATCATCTCCTCGACGAGGTGAAGACTGAAGAAGGGCCGTTGTTGCCATATGGCCATGTGTAGCGCCCCCCCCCCAACCAGATGTCATGACCCCCACTCCAAGTGGGCCGGTCAATGCACCATCACGACTTCTCTCTAACCCTACACCCCGTTACACCCCCCCATAGGTGATCATCTCCCTCAACCTCCTCTCAATCAGCTTCCCCCCTCTCCTCCCCTCCCACCTCCAGCGCCACACCCCCCAGCACAAAGTCCCGCAGTTCGTTATCCGCAATCCGCTGTTGGGCCGGAGTCAGCTGCGACCACTGGGGCCCCTCGCGGAGGGCCTTGAATGCCGAGTACAGGGGCCTGCAGGCGAGGTGGGTCGTGTGGGGGGGTGGGGTGGTACACCCCGACCACGGGGGGGAGGGAGGCGCGGGTGAAACGGGGTTGGGCGACGGAGGAGGTGCGGGGCAAAGCAACTCTCCCTCCCTCTAACAACTCAGTCATACACGTCTACACGCCCTCGCCCGCCTTGAACCGCCACCGCGACACCACCTGCCCCGAGACCATGAAACGTCTTCTCCGGATTGACCTGACCCGTACGGGCCTGCTGCCCCTATCTGTGTCCCAAGCCCCTGCACCACTGATGACCGCGGGCCCTGCCGGCTCCCCCCTCCACCTCCCGCGCTCCTCCTCCTGCGCGCTCACCTGCTTTGACTCAGCCTCAACGACAGCTTGACGTTCTCGGGCTGCACCTCCTCCACGGCGGCCCGCAGCTCCGGGCTGTCCTTGACACCCTGCGGGGCGGGGCGGGGCGGGCCGGGGGGCAGTCGGCGGCGGTGCGGGTAGGGGGGAGGAGCGGATGGGGAGGGGGAGGTGCGAGACGGAGGGGTGCGGGACCGGGGGGAGGGGTGGGGGAGCATATGCGAGAAATTGGGAAGTGTAGGGAGGTGGAGAGGTAGGTGGAGAGGTAGGTGGAGGTAGGTGGGGACATGGAGCTAGGCGCAGACGGTAGGTGGGAAGAAGGGGAATTAACCACTTGATGATCGGCAGGATGGGGGTAATCGTTGGGGTATACGGCAAAGGCTTGGCCGCAACCCCATGTCGATGCGGAAGTGGCCGATCCGTTCCAAACCCCGAATCCGGGTGGGCAACCGAGAGATGACCGGCAACAAAGCCCTAACACACACGGGCTCCGCGACATCTCGCTCCTGGGATGGCGGCTGCCTGGGACCTCTGATCGTACAACGCCGTACGCCGGGCCGTACACCGCTCATACCTTGAAGTGGCTAACGATGCCCCACACTCGCTGGTGGCGGTCCCCAATCTTCTCCAGGGGTTCCACCAAACCGGACCACGTGGGCACAACCTCAGACTCCAATTTATCAATTTCAGCATGGAGCTCCGAAAGCAGTTGCCGTACACCCGGGACCACGTGCTCAGGCTTGACCTCGTCGTACTTGGGGAAGCTCACGTTCTGCGGGTGTCACGGGTTCGTAAGGGCTATGAGTTAGCTGCTAGGCGGGGTGCCCTGTGCCGTACCCGTCCAGCGCGCAACCCCCCTCGCAACAGCCATGCCCCTCCCCCCCTTACTGGGCCCCCTTGCTCGGCCATTTGCGACAGGCGCTGGAACTGGTTCCCTGCCTTACCTCCCCTGCAGCAGCTGTTGTAATGCTGCTGGGTTAAGGCAGGGCTGCGACTACTGCTGCTGCTGCTACTGCTGCTGTTGTTGGCTGTAAGGCGTGACTACATGCCCTGCTAAAACTAGCCCACTGATGCCAGTGTGCTTTGGTTCAGGCTGTACCTCGAATAGACACGTCGGGGATGTGGATGTCATGGTCGAAATTCAAGTCATAAGTGTGGGACATGGGAATACACACGCACCGCCCGCCTTAACCCTCTCCCTTCGCGCCTCCCTTCGCGACTCACCGCCAGGAGGGGGTTAGGGGGCTCCGGAATGCTGGCCGAGCTGACAACCGCCTCCACGGCCGCGGCCTCAGTGTTGGTCATGATGGTGCGGCTGCGGGTGACATGGCGGGTGACATGGCGGGTGACATGGCGGGTGACATGGCGGGTGACATGGCGGGTGACATGGCGGGTGACATGGCGGGTGACAAGAAGCACGTGCCGGAGCCGGAGGGCCGGGGGCGAGATGGAGGCAGGCAGCAACAAACAGCATCAGCGGAGTCGGACGTAGCAACGAAGGCGCCGCTGCCGCAGCAGCAGCACTGATAGCGCGCGTGCGAAGATTAGCGCACTGCTGATTGAGCCAGGACGAGACTGAGTAATGAAAGAGGCAGTCGAGAATGCTGGGAACGGTGGCGAGACATCGTGACTTGCGCGATGTAAACTGATGACCCTGTGGACCTCTTTTTGCTGACATCCAATGCGTGTTCTTCAACCGCACCCCGCACGAAGTATTTGATTCCGCAGGACGGCACCCCTGAGCAAGAGCATTATCGCATATATTTGGATAGCAGATGGACCGTCCCAGGCAGAGCACGCTATTGTGGGTTTGTGGAGTAGGCGGAGTAAACTGTCCATTTGGTTGTCGGGCAGGGTTATTGGGGCAGCTAAGCCTAGTAGCCATAATGTCGTGTTGATCCGGCCCAGCAATACCGTACAAAAGAATGATTAGAAGGGAAATGGATGTAAGGATGACGGAGTGCGGGAGACAGACCCGGCCTGACATGCGAAAGCAAACCCTAAGCAGCGTACAGGTCAAGGACAGAAGCAGCACAGCTTTGGCATAACTTTTGGCATTTGACATAAATTTCATGCTGTGATCTATAAATCTCAAGGTTGGCATTGGGTAACGCAGCCGTCTGAGCCACAAAGTTCCCAACCGCAAGATCGCCAAACGCCAGTCGCTAAAGCGCGGGAGCCAAAGTGCCAAGAATGCCGGATTGCTAGCATCACTAACCTTCCAAACAAGCGCTTAGCACCGAAGGCCACAGCCGGGACTGTGGCGAGACCAGTGAGGAAAGAGCGCCGCGATGAAGTAAGCACAGGGCTGTTTGCGACAACCTGGCAAGCAGCAAGGTTTCGATAAGGCTGGACGAACGCAATGGGCCGGCACGCCTTCTTGATGGTGTTGCAGCGCTTTGAGAGCAGTACAGAAGCACGCATTATGAAAATGTGCAAGCAGTAGCTGTTTCACTCTTTGCGTATTGCACAACCGTCACATGATGAACTTTGCGTGGCCAAGCGCACACCCGTATGAGGAAGGCCCATGGTTCCGGAGCATAGCTCGTTCGACCACCTACCTCGACCGCTTGGCCAGGCTGCGACTCGTTAACAATACGCAGTTTGACTGTAATTCTGCTGGCCAAACAAAACCCCGGTTGCCGGTGAATTGACGGCGAGCAGAGGGCTGGCTGTCGTTCGCCGATAAAACGCATCTTTGCGAATCAGGGCGGCCGTGTGCATTAATGATATGTCATAGCGCGATCCTCGGCCTTTGATTATCTCGATAGCACTCGATTCCGAGCATAAACGTCTCCAGTCGTCGCTAAGCACGCATGGCATGCGAAGACTGAATACAGATAGTATAAAGGCTGCTTGATCAGTAGGTATGAGAGTTTACGAAAATTACGGACTTAGCTTGTACGTTGGTGGCATTTTATGCTGTAATGCCTGGAATATGCCCGGAACTGTTGCAATCGTGTTACTTGTTGGTATGTTGGCAATGTTTGGCATTACTATGAAATGCTACGTAAATCACGGTCATATCCTTCGGCTTGCATCAACAGAAGTGACAGCTGGATATTTCATTAATCAATCGTGCAAGCTAAACTGTGTTGGTTGACCTAATCTCCGTACAGGAAACGTCGGGAAGGAAGCTGTCACAGCTTTGGTCAGTAGGCAGGGGGAACTAGTGTAATCTGGCTGCAACATACGAACAAACGTCACACCACAAGGGATCACCGCTGAAGTGTTGCTAATTTCGCAGACATCACCACATACTTACATGTGTGATTCATGTGATTCATGAGCTGCTGTACATTCCTAACCGTCGGGATTGTTTTTGAGGTCTGGAAGTTGAGAGCAATCGCCGACAAGACGGACCATGCCTTGCTGGCACGACTACACGACTTTCATATTGATGATGACAATCATGGAGCCGGGCCTTACCCGGGTGCATCTGAGCTTCAAACCTGGCAGATATTTTAAAGCTTGTGGCCAGGTTTACAAGCACGCGGCAGCAGAGAGCGCAAGCTCAGGGAAGTTCGGTAGGTTGCAATACACGATACAGCCCTGTTTACAGATGATTAGACAACCCCTCAGCAACTGGATCCGCTATTTGGAGGTTGGGCACCTAATCCTGCGATCCATAAGTTCGCAACAACTTTATGGGCCGCGACAACCAATGACCCGCTTCAAACAACTGATACGCGAATCACGTGGTGCGCTACGAGCCATTACAACAGACGGCCGCCAGAAACCCGGAATTTTCTGAGAGACTTCAACACAATTGAAATGGGTCCTAAACCCCCACGAGAAGCCGAGAGTTGGCTTCCCAGCGCACTGAGCGACGCAAAGGTGGCGTGCATGGACAATCACACGAAGTGCGTCGAAATGAAAGGTAAAAAAGGACGAGGAAATATTAAGACACAATAAGTAGGAAAGATCTCATCGCCTTACAGGCGCTAAAAACACGAAAACCCGCAAGGCGCTAGTCACATTATGTTCTGCGCAAGCCGCTCTGATCTGGGCAGTACGACAAATATATCAACGTACAACGATGCTCTTCATCCTCATTCAACGCCTCCTGCGAGTCAACAAAAATATTTGTACAATGGAGCACAGCTAAACGTCTGGCTACATCAACCTTCTCGGCGAACTCGAGGATGACTTGCACAGCCAAGGATAGCCACAGTCATAAATCTCTCTATGACAACAGGATTTCAGTTTCCGTCAGTACACGCACCTGCACAACTTGAAGACGAATACCGCCGCCTCCAACAACGTTCCATGCGACAGCTCGTTTGCTTCCAGAGTGAACAATCCTGTACACTCTCTCGTCTGAGTTGCCCGCAAACCCTACAGCGCACAATTGCAAAATTTCCCACTTCACAAGCTACTGCTCAATTTGCGTCCGCTAACCAACAACGAACCAGGACTGTTGGCTCGTTCCCAGCCCAATTCTGCAGTCCTTAACGCCCCAGCAGATAAGCAAGCAAACACTATCTGACGGTGTGCACCTGTGTGCGTTCCATCAGTCTGTCCTCCTTTTCCCCCTCTACCTGCTTAGGGCTGGAATACCACACCCCCTGGACCAGTGCCACCGGGTTACCGATGGGTGACGTCACGCAGGTGGAATAAAATCGTGCTCGCTCGCCGCCATGAAACGCGCGCTAAAGGTATGAGTTACTAAGTTACCAGTCCATCGCGACCGTTTCGCTGACGGCCTCAGCCAATTGATCGAGCTTGGCATCGCTGACGGCAGCTGGTGCCTTCGACTCAGGCTTACGACCCAGAGCAGAAGGCGAACTTCCGCGGGGGTCGACGTGGTTTGCGGCCGCGTAAATCAGAGCGCTGGCCTTCACCCCCACCAGGCCCTCCATGATCTTCTGCCGGTCCAGAAGGGACGACTCCAGCCTGCCGGAGATGTGCACCGCCACTACTGGGCTATCGTTGCCGCGCCAGAGCTCATGTGAAAAGTCAGCGCCGCAGGTCGTGATGTACTTGGTGGCCGGCAGCTCCTCCAGCTGCAGCCCCAATGCCTCCGAGCACAGCGGCATGAAGGCCGCGAAGTGCTCCTGCTCGAATACTGTGGCGTTAGGATCCTTGAAAGCCGGATTACACATGTCCAGCTCCAGAGCGTACGCGCAACGCATGACGCCCGGGGTGTTTCGGAAAAAGGTTATGCCCGGGGCGTAACCTTGCGAGCCGGCTTCGTCGCTGTGCTGCAGCATCCGGCGCACGTTCTTCACCTGTTGTTGCGGTCCGCTGGCTACGTGGGGGACAGCGGAACTCGGTTCTGTGTATTCATGGTTGTCCAGAATGGACCAGTCCGGTTCCGTTGGCAATGTGCCGCAGGGCGGTGGCGCGGTGGCCACCGCGATGTCAACAGTGGAGGCAAGCAGGCTGGGGAAAGGATTGCGCCGGAACACGACGTCGGCATCCACGTATAGAATCGACGTGCCGGTGCTGAGCACGTTTACAATGTATTTAAACTTTGCCAAGCCGTAGGCAAGAAATCTGAAGTCCGGATAGCGGTTGTCCCCCTCGTACATTCCACTGAGGAAGTCGTCCAGGCAGGCGTGTTTGTAGCGCCGCCGTAGACGGATACATGATTGCACTGCCTTACTGGTGACGCCAACCACAAGGGCATGGCGTGCGAGGTTGTTTGGACCCGTATCACTGGTCCCGGGCAGCTCTATCCCGTAAAGGCTTTCGAGAAGGAGCGGCATCAGCGCTTCCATAACATCGTAGTTGGCCATGCTAAGAATTGCATAACCACCAGAGCAGTCGTCAGAGTCTGCATTCTGAACCCTTGCTGCGCTGCTGCTGGAGGAGTGCACAGCACGGGATTTGCGCACCGTGTTCAAGATGCCTACATCGGGGTATCGTGGTCCATCGCGGCCAACAGACTGAAGCGCCGCCTCTCGCAGATCAGCGAGGGGTCTATGAAGAGGGAACGTGTCGGATCCGCCGCTTGCCTTAAGGAAATCGGAGGACAAAGCAATTGACAAGAACAGGATAAGGCTAGGGGACCAGATCGTGTAGGGCATTTGCATATTAGACATCTTCATGATCTATAGGCCGTCCAGGCAAAGATTATAACTGCTTTGCGGTTTGCATTGCAGAAGACAGAGCGGAGCCGTCTTGGCCATTGACTGAATGGAGGTACGCCGAATGAGAGCGCTACATAACACAAGATTGTATAAGGCATGAAATCCATATGTAACTTGCACTACGATTGAACGGGCAACGGAAGTACGGTAAACCAATTCAAGTCGCTACACGTACGGCAGGATCCGAACTTAGACGATGCGCACGCTGCGCTTGGACGATGGTTGCTATGTTTTAACCAAGATAAGGCGGATCGTGTTAACCCTGATACGTAATACAGCTTAGGAACAGTATGAATGCGACACACACAACAGGTTGCTGTCACCGGGACGCATTGACTATGCTGAATTCTGATAACACAGTTGACTATGCCGGACATATGCAAGCTCCCGCATCAAACGTGGCGGGTGACGTTCCTATTGCTTGCCATGGTAATGTGCGTCCAGCCATGTATCAGTGACAACATAGTCGAGAAGCATGCCCGATCTCATTATGCGCAACATGGCATGCGTTTGCCGACACGCGCTTTCATGATGGCGCTGCAACGAGCTGCCATCGATATTTCACACCTCAGTTGCCGCAACAGCCTCGTCCTGCTGGGCATGGCGAACGAGGAGGCGTTGCAACACACGGTGCCATACTTTCTCGAAAGCCTCAGCCGCGTAGCTGTAACGGCCGGCAAGGACGCTGGACACTCCCTGGTCGGTCGGGTTGTGCTGGTTGCCTGGTCGCAGGATGCCATGAAGGCTTGTCAGGCATTGCAAGCAACGTACAACCACCAGTGCGTGCGAGATGCGCAGCATACCGCCGCGACGGGTTCTTTCGTCTTCCACGACACGGGCTTCAATTCATTGGGGTATGTCAGGCGTACCAGTGGTTCCGCCAGTCACACATGACCGTATCACTTATCGTAGATCCTGTTCATGGCCCCTTCGTTAGACCAACGTGTCCCGCCATTACCGCTCTGGAAAGCCAATGTCGCGAACCTAGCTTAGTAGGTGTTTTGCACAGCCTGAGACGGGTAGCTTCTAGGAGTTGTCAAGCAGCCGTGTAACTGGATAGCTCGAACTCTCCTGCGGTGAAATGAAATGCGGGGAGACGAAGCTGATACCGGGGCTCGTTAGGTTTTTCGTACCCGGGGGGCATCAGAGGTCTGGAACCAGTAGGGCGCGATGAACTCCATTCCCTCCCCCTATGCTGCTCCTCCGCACCAATCAAAAGGGGGAGCTCCCCCCCGCGTGCGAAAAGAAAGGGAAAGGAAAGTTTCCACCCATGTGGTGTCCCCCAGGGGGCCATCTATACCCCTCCTGGCCTTGCTTCGTCGCTCTGTCTCGCCATGCGTGCCGCCATGGAGGCCGCCCGCCCGCATAGGCTTCCTGCTCGCGCTCAAGGAGAAATAGACGCGTAGCTTTCAAAATGTGTTCCCCACTGCGGCCCCGTGAGGTCTGTTGCCCTGTCTGCTTGTGCACACTGCCCGCAAGGGATGTGGTGCCCGACTCGCACGCCTTACGGAGCCCTCGAAAAGCTGTGCACATACGGACCACACAGCATACCGCATACGGTCCGTCTAGCGCCAGTTTTCCGGCCGAGGCTCCAGCCGCCCAGCTCTCATCTTCCCTCCTCTTTGCCTAGCTCTCGTCTCTTCTCTCCTAGCTCCTCGTCCTTCCCTATCTCCCTCTCCGCACCTCCTGGTGGCCATGGACGGCTTTGTTCCCTTTCCTCCTTTTACCCGCCTGCCGCGTATCAGATTCGCCAAGGTCAAGTACATACTGAACGGACTGTCCCTGGGCCATGATGTCGTGTTCCTAGACACGGATATTGTCGTAATGCGTGACCCGCTGCCGTACCTGCTCGTCCACGACGCCGACCTTTTCGGTTCGATGGAGAAGTGCATGGTGTACAACGACTCCCTGTCGTTCAACTCACCAGAGTTCAAGTCGCTGCGCAAGCGGCCCCCAGCGATCAACATCGGCATGCTGTACTTCAAGGCCTCAGCTAGTGTCACCCGCTGTGTGTATAACTGGGCATGGGAGATGCGGTCGGAGGTGCAGACACGCCCGAGACTGTGGGATCAGGTGCGCTGCGGGATGATGAGGCGGATGCGAGTCCGTAAGGTATGTGAGGCATGTAGGCGAACGCGTACAGGCAGGAGGATAAGACGGGGGATGCGGGCTTATGCGTCCCGCAGGTGCGCGTTTGTTTGCCGCTGCTTGTAAAGCTTTGCTTGTGCGGTAAGAAGGAGGACGGGGGAGAGGGGAGGCGTCCCTGAGCTCGATTTTGATCCTCATCAAGGGCATCAAGGCGGACAGGGACGTCCAGAGAGAGAGAGAGAAAGAGAAAAGGGGGGTTTGGACACTGTTGGCATGACAGGGATGCGCCGGAGGAGGGGACAGCCCGCCTGTCTTGTGCTGTCCTCTGCCGCCTGTTGTTGTTGTTGTTGTGACGACGACGACATAAATGCCCCTTCCTAGCTGACCCGGCTTTCCCACGGCGTCTGCCAACCCGCACGAGCTTTTTCCTGTTGTCTTTGGAGGCACAGCCCTAGGAAATCGGATTTCCGCCCGCTAGAACAGTTCACTAGTTGGGCTTTGCGGAGGGGTCATGAGGGAAAACGGGAGTAGGGACTGCACGCTATTGAGTCAGTCTCTCAGCCCCTCCTGCCCTCACGGAGGAGCGCCGACACGGCCAATCGAATTTTTTTGTTGCAGGACATCTTTGGCAAGGTGATGGTCAAGTGTACGGCAGTCCATGGACTGCGGTTTCAGGTGCTGGACCCGCGCCTGTTCCAGTCGGGCTGCTTTCCCGGCTGTGGATGCAAATTCTTCAACAATGAGATCCGCCCTGACCGTATTGGTCGGTTCAGCGGGGGCTTCCGGAAGCTTCCAGGTGGCTTCTGCGGTCCGCAGCACTGGTCTCGGTGGCTGATGCGCCACTTCCCGTGCTCGGGCGTGACCAGGCAGAAGGCCTCTTTGATGAAGGAGCTTGTCGCCGGGTACTTTGGGAACAGGACGGCCGCGATTGTTCCTCCGTCATGATGCGATCGATGTGTGTGTGCTGCATGTATGCATGTATGTATGCTCGACGGTGGATTGGTGTACCCGTGACCGAGGTGTCGCGGATCTAGACAGCTACAACGAGCACAACAGCAATGGAGCAGCGCGCGTATCGTATCGAATCCTTGAGGTTGCACTAACGTTGGTCTAAAGTTGTGGTAAATGTATCATATCGCCTCTCGTATGTGCATAGGCCCGGAGCGAACGAAGATAGGCATGTGATTTATAGTTGCATCATAGGGATCATAGCGATCCTATGCACGATCTGCAACGGTGTTGGTGGAGGCCAACGCCCGGAGAAGGCATGAAGCGGCCCGTGCGTGTCCATGAAGGCGCGAGTAGTTGTCTCAGCGTTGCGGGCCTTCCAGCTGCGGCATAATTACCCGCGTTGTCATTTTCATCATAATTGCATTTCATTGAGCTCTGCCCTCTCTCTCAGGGAGAGCACACACACACACACACACAGAAAGACCTCTCCCGAGTGCGCACCCATGGAAACCAACAGGAGTTTCTCCTGGTTCCCGATTCACCGCGAGTATATATCTACGTATCTGTCCCGACGCCTCTATCTAACGTCGAGCGTTGCGTTGCGTGGCGGCAAGGTAACTCGTTCGTTTTTTCATGCGCCTTGTGAGAACACGGCGACAGACACGCACGCCAGTAGTGTTGACCAACACAGCCACGTCATGTGGTATATATATGTATGTATTTATGTATGTATGTATGTGTGTATGTAGGGGGTTAAAGCCCGCGTGTCGCCTTTCCCACGTCCACCGAGCCACACGATCCACACATATGCCCCCATAGACGTGCACGATGAGAGCGCTCCATTGGGGCGGCGGCGGCTGAACTGCCTGGTCTACCTGACCGCCACCATAAGGTAAGAGTGCGCTTATTGCTCGGGCGGCCTCACCTTACCAGGGCGTGCGTGCGAGCGAAAAGCGCACGCTTACACGGTGCAGTGAGCAACGATGGCGGAGGCAGTGAGTTATGGTTCCCATGGACTGTCTGGTCGCCGGTTGCAGCGGTGGTACCGCGACTGGTGCTGGTGTTGGTAGGCCCGGTTTAGCGGCTGTTGCTTACTGGCTAGTTCGCTAGCTGGCTAAGCGGCGGCAATGCCGTGAGCATCAGACGGCTGATTAGACAGGAAATGGATGTGTTGTAAGTGTTGAGATGCCCTGTTATGACAGCGGTACTGTTGTAATGATGCGTTGCAAACGGCGAATGGGGCGAATGGTTGGAAAAGGGTTTACTTGGAGGTCTGTCTAGTGTCTGTTGCATGCTTTCGTTGTAGTGACCTGTCTAGGAGCTGTGGATTGAGGCCGTGCATGGTGCTGGCATAGCTCTTAGGCCATATTAGATGGCCAGGGAGAGCAGGAAGCTCCTTAGGGTGGTGAACTTCGTTGTGTTAGGAGGAGACACAGACAGGGGCAGTGAGACAGTGGTGGTGAACGCACGGACAAATTGGACGGACGGCTTATGGAAGCCGGAGGGGCAATTGCTGGCAGGGCTCCCAAGGTTGTATCACGTCTTTCGCCCCATATACAGCATGCGGCACCAGATTTAACGAGGTTACGGAAGATAATTGTACATAGTTGCAGAGGAGGATCAGACGAGATGACTGCCAGCAACTGCTGCTGCACGAACACGTGTAACTCGCTAGGTTGCGTGATACGTGTCTAAACCCATCCACACATGCAATTCCAACAGCACAGGCAGAAGATCGCCTGTCTACAGTGCCGACGTGTCGGCCTTTGGGCGGTGTTTTGGGTTTCACTTTCCCTGGTGACCAAATGTTGTGTCCCTGGCAGGCCTTACCCTTGCAGGCATCTCTATCCCCGTTAGGCGGACTCAGTAGCCTTAACTGGCTTTTGGAATCAGCAGCTCCAGCACTAACTTCTAGCAGCTTGGAATCTAGCAATAGGACGATACTGTTGCCGAGTTTCTCATTCCGGGGTTTCTTCTCCGATACAACTCTCCGCTCTCTGCGGTGTCATCTGCCAGCGTGGAGGTGTGCAGCTGTCGGGTAAAGGGCGTTAACTGCCAGAGGCTAGTGCGTGGAGTTGGTGTGGCGTGATACCAGGGGAGAGGGAAACGCTTGGGCAGGCGATCGGCGATCAGCTGTCGTTCTGTGCGCCTTCGGTTGTTGCGAGCAGGACTTGCTAGGATTGGAACCAGGTGAAGGGCCCACCAGCGAAGCGTTATCACAATGTATTAACAATACCGCCGCTCTATTCGGAAATACATTCGCAAGCAGCAAGCACCCGTATGAAGGCGTAACGGCTTGCGAAAAACAAACTGGCCTGCAATCGTACAAGAACGATAATCCGTAAGCAACTCTTTACGTGTTAGTGTATGCACAAGGCAAGCAAGGCAGCTATGCTTGTGCCCGCCGGCGTTTGAATGGCATGTTCAAGTGTAGTATCGGTCATGCCGTACCTTACGATGCCATAAAGCACACTACATCCCCGATGACATTATTAGTTCTTCGCCAAGCGCACATAAACTTGGCGGTTTCTTACTGATTAGTGAGCTTAATCAATCAAGAAACCCGGATGTGACGCCGAACCCCACTACGCGTGAGCATACTCAGCCTGGTCGTCCCCGAGAAGAGTACTCGAACACTAAACACTCCAACTTCCGCACGCACTGGCATGTCTGGTCCCAACAACCCTAACGTACCACCTGACAACACGCCTGCTTTGCATGCGTGCCTCTTTGCGAGCAGCTGTACCAGAACGACCAGGCGTTGGCTCCGGTCTCATAAACTTGGTGGCCAACCATACCCCACCCCCCTTCGACCCGGAGCCGAATCCCGGCCACCAAAGCCGCTTCATTCTATTGGTCCAAGGTGCGCGGTGGTTTTGTCTAGGAAGCGCGTAAAACGCGGTACTATCCCTCCCGTAAACATGAGGCACAATGCCGACCGCGCAGGAAAATGTGAGATCCCTCTGAGCCCGGTGAGCAGGTACGGAGCTGCAGAAGGTCCAACTTTGCGTGACGAGCAAGACACGACTCGTAATGCCGATTCATCCCCGCAAGTGTGTATGAAAATGAGTCTGTCCCTGAGTTAATTTAAGGGACAACCGTCAATCCAAGCCGCGGCAGAGATGCGCAGTGCTGCAACCGACATCGAAGTCATCGGAACCCAAAACATCCCCCCCTGTATTTTCCGATCCACAGCCAAGGACAGCGAGCTCCCAGCTGTCGTCGCTGATAATGAGGCCGGGAAAAACGGGCAACACCAGCCGCATACAGCAGACGTCGCAGCCCCCCTCCTAAATCTGAAAACGACATAACGCGCCACATGGTGGCAACCCACCCCACGGACGCTTTCTACCCAACATATGGTACGCCGTACATGAACAAAAACGCCGTGCAGCACCGGGCTATTAAGAACAAGGCCTGGCTGTACAAAGACGCATCCAGCTTGTCTACCGTCTCCGTTTGTCCCAAAACACACTTCTTCCTGGCGTTGCCTATTTCCATCATAGCTCCACTAGTTCTTCCCCCTGTGGGAGTGTCCCCCCCTTTCGCCGGCCCTCCGCCGCGCTTCACAGAGCCCGATGTTAAACGCGCCGCGCAATGATTGATAAATTCTCCCGTCGCACGTTTTTCAGCATGTTCACACGGCCGCCACAGCAGCAAGATTACGAGCCACGTCAGTTTTGACACGGAACTAATCTCCTTCTCATGCGTCTTCGAGGCCCGTTAATACAAAAGCAGGATGACCAGGAGACAAAGCCGCGATGCAAAAACCTAAATCGGACACAGTCCTCTCACCTCCTCCGGACAGCTCTTAAGGGACGCAACAGGTAGCAGGGTCCTAAAGGCATCGCCCAGAAACATACAAAAAGAAAGCCGCAATTACTCGCACTCCGTCCGTCCCATAAGCTCCAGGGAACATACTATTGGACTTCGGGCAGCCGTGGCCAGGGCAGTAGCGATGACGCCGTAAACAGCCTAAGGCCGGAGGTGTATATGCAGCGCTGGGAGGAAAACCGCGCGGCACGGCCTCACGAGGCGCTCAGAGAGGAAAAACTTCCACGCGCGCCGTACACGAGCTGGAGCAGCTGCCATTATGTTCCTGCTGATAAGTAGGTGGGCAAGTACGTAGGTAGGTGGCTGTAGGGGGTCCGAAGCCAAGCAGGACGAGGTCACCACATTAGGCAGCCCCAACAAGACGGCCAGGGGGAACTTTATGGTCAAAACCACTGGCGTAACCGCAGCCTACTCCGACACATAGATGCAAATATACCGCTCAGCTAGGGTCGCATCCAACGCGCTCCTGCCGCTTTACGAGCCCTTCACATTGTCGCCTGAAGTACCGATACTATGCACTGCACCGCCTCGCGCCCGTCCACAACCTGCTGTGCTGCAGTCTCAACAAGCAATATGCCCGACCCGAAGCCGTGTCCGGTGGGGCATGCAAGATCCACCTCCGCATCAGCATCCCCAGCAGTACAGCAGCATCAGCGCTTCAAACACCACAGTACCATACGCAGCGACCGTCATCGCTCGGGAGAGGCTTCACAAAGAGGTTTTTCCGGAGCCACATATACAACAGCCACTTCATTTCCGTGCGGCCAAGTTCTCGGCCGGCTGCTGCAACCCCGCTCTTGGTGGTTGTGATAACCGAGCGCAATCTGATAAATGGAGTCCAATAACAAAAAACAGCATGGGAAATGTGGATCGATGAAGTGGATAAGGGCACCCCTAGGCAATCGGGCCGCGGGTTAACACGCTTCGCATCACGCTGCTCCCCCAGCAGGGCCGCGAAAGCAGTGGAATCCGGCACGGTGTGATCCGTGCCGTTCCTCTCGCTAAACTGTGTCGGGATCGGGAAGAGCCCCCCGGAGAGGTGAACCTAAAGGGAGAAGAAGCCCCTGCGTCCTGTCGAATTCACACCACATCACGCACAACGCAGCGTAATACACCACGTCTCAACGCACAATACAAGCAGCAGAGTTCAGGTTTGCCCGAGGAGCGCCCATCACACCAAAAGACAAAGTAACGCTTTGGTGACAGATATGGGGAGCGCCTTGTGATCGGGCCAACGCATATATTCAAAGGAGGGACGATGGCTACCCACAAAAAGGTCAGGTTGGCTTGCATACGTTGAATGCAGTCTCAGTCCCACAGCAGTCTACGGTATGCCGCCCCATCCTAACATACGAGACGCTGACGCGTGCGGTTCCTCGCTGCTTCCAAATGTAGAAATATCATCCACAGTAGGCATTGCAGATGCCACTACTAATACAGTCGCACAGGGTCTGGAATGCCAACCGCCGTAGGTTCACCCCGATCAGGCCCCCCCCACTCTTTTACCTAACCTGTGACCGTAACTGTATGGCCGCCCTAGATTCGACTTCTTCGTGGGAATATTTAACTTGAGACCAAATCAAACATCCACAAAAATGCAGCAACGGTGGGAAACTCAGGAAAAAAAAGCAAAAAGGCAGCCCATCCGTTCACCGCGCGCAGGAAGGGGCGCAACGACAGTTTCATCGCCGCCGCCCGATTTCCCTCACTGACAATGGAATGGCTATTTAACCCTTTCGGCCGCTCCGTAAGCTTTTTGGCGCTGTCCTTTAGCGCTGTTTCCGAGACGCACGCGATCGCATGTGCCGCGACTCATCGCTGGCGTGTGCTCGGAATACGCAGCCAGGCGGCCAGTCTCGCTAAGACTCCGTTATTCATGGCACGAGTTCGGGTCCAGTCCTCGAGCCGCCATCTGCAGCTGCAGCAGTCGCACCATGGGCAGGAGCTGGTGGCCACCGGCGCTCCCAGCAGCGCTGGCCCCCACCAGCGCGCCGCCTAGCACGGACGCGTCCGCGAAGAGCGGTGCCGCCGCTGCGGCAGCAGCCAAGGCAGGGCCGCCAGCAAGCACAGAGGTCATGTGCTCGGGTCCCAATGGAGGCCACAGTAGCGGCGGCCCAGCCGGAGCCGCCAGTGCGCCTTGGAGCGCTAGAGCGCCTTGCAGCGCCAGGGCAGACAGTGGCAAGGCCGGCGGCGCCGCGGCGCCGTGTCCCAGCGCCAGACCGAGCCCACCGGCAGCAGCATTTAGCGACAGCCTGGCCTGATGCGCGTGCAACACAGCCGCGGCCATGTTTGCTGCAGCTGCATTTGCAGAAGCCCGAGTGACAAGCTCCGCTCCTAAGTCGGCTGGGGCAAGGGGCGGCAGCCGACCGGCGGATCCATTGGAACCACCGCACAAGAGGCTGTCTGCGCAGGGGGCCTGCATTGCGCAACCACCGCTGCCACCGGAATGACACTGCGGTGGCAATCGGGACTGCCTTGCAATGGCCCCTGCCCCACTGGCGTCAAGCCCCCCGGCCTCAGCCTCCGTTGTGGGGCAGCCAAGGATGCTGTTCTCTAACTCTTGAGCCACGGCTGCTGACGTCAACTGACGGAAAATGGGCGACTCTTTCGGCACCAGAGCCGATGCTGCCTGCACTCCTTTAGATTCCGCGGGCAAGGAGGACACAGGCCGCCTTGGGCTCCGTCGATGACTCGGTTGCTGTTCGGCTTCGCACTCACGCCCCAGTCCCGACCCAAATCCAGATCTCGCTGAAACCGCTCCGCACTCATTGCCCTCCGCCACTGCCAAAAGACTGCAATCTGGAGTCGCGCCCGGCAAACCCACAGCCGCGCAGCATTTTCCGTCTGCAGCAGGAGTCGGCAGCGGTGCATCGCACTGCTTGTCCTCTCCAGCTAGTTCCTCCTGCTTGACAACAACAGCCGCAGACCCCAACTCCGACGCTGCTGGGCCATGCAATCGATGCGGCTGCTCCGGACCCAACGTGCTGTCCAAAGCGCAGCCAGCCCCGAGAAAATGACCGTCGGCTTCCACCTTCACATCGCAAGGATGCCCCTGAGCTGCAGCAATGTGACGATCGACAGCGGAGCCTGGATCGTCAACTTCGCAGCGTCCGCCAGCTGGGGCGCCGGCCCCCACAACAGTCTCGTCCAACTCAGCGGCAGGACCATTACCGCCATCGGGCCCAAAAGTAACACCACCAGCCCCCGCAGCCTGAGCTGACACAGCAAGGTCCGTGCCCATCGACCTGGTGTGCCCATCCGCCAGCTGCTCAGGGCCGATATCCCCGATACCGCCCTCCTCCCGCTCCACCTTCGTTCCCGCAGGTCGTCGAGGGCTGTCCAAGACGTCACATGCGGCCTCTGCTAGCAGATCCAAGGGGTCCCTGACCTCGCAGACCGCAGCCCCCGGGTCTTCGCCGAGGCCGCTACCGGAGTTCCATTGCGGCCGCCGCACACGCCGTGACGCCATGCCATGGTCGCCGCCGCCGCTGCCGGCAGCGCGGTCCAGGATGTACACCGGCACGGAGCCCAACGGGGTCCGCACATAGCGGCGAACTCTTGGCAAGAGCCGCTGCTGCTTGGTTTCGCTGGCGCTGCGCGCTCGCCGGCACATCTGTGGCGCAACGCCGGGGTGCTGCCCTGCTGCCCAGGTCCAGCCGCCGTGAGATCCCCCTCCACCGCTTGAGGGCTCCTCAGCTGGGCTGCCTTGCCGGGCGCCATCGGGGGTCCCGTACGTGCGCCGCTGGTGCTGGTGAAGCTGCGCGCCTTCCGCTCCGCCCTCTGAATTAGCGGCTGAGCCGTCGTTGCTCAATTCGTGGTGCTCCGTCTCGTCACCGAGGCGGCCACGGGCAGATGAAGGGCGGCTAGCGGCGACGCGGGGTCCCCTGCTCTGGGCGGCCTTGTATTCAATCGCAGCCACATCGCGCGCCCGACAATGCTGCTGCTGCTGCTGCCTCAAGCCGGCTTCCGGCACGGCAAGCTTGGCATCAGGCACATGGCAACTGACCCCGACTGCGTAGTATGGAATTGGCACCAGGTGGACGCCGCTGTCCTGGTGCGACCCTCCCTTAGATGGTTGCGTCTCCAACTGTATCGTACGCCCGTCCGAGTCACGATGTACGACGGTGATATGCACTCCCGTGCGGGCGCCGTGCAAAAGTACGCGCGGGTTCAGCGATTGAGGGAACGACGGGTACGGTGCACGTCGGGATGAATGCATCGGCACTGTAACCCCCACGGCCAGACCGCTGTCCTCATGTCTCTCCCCGTCGTCATGGCTAGTGTCAGCGCCTGAAGCCCACGAAGGCTCCTCAGACAGCCCGTCCGAGGAGGATCGCCTTAGGCCGGCGCCGGGCCGCAATGGCCGGCGGTCTAATGGTCCATCGGTGATGGAAGGTAAACGACGGCGCTTGTCCATGCGTTCAAGTCCTGGCAGGTCTCCCTCCCCATCCCCGGTGTGCTCAAAAACATGGCCCGCCACGTCGTCAGAGGATAAGCGCTTTGCGTGGATGCGGGTACAGTCCGTGTTGAGCTTGCGCGCTGCTGCTGTCACAGCAAGGATTCGCCGTCCGGATAGGGCTACTGGTTGAAGGCGCGCCGCCAACTGCAGTGCAAGGCGTGGCATATAGCAAGGAGCGTGAGTGTTGGTTGATTCTTAAACCATCTCGCCCCTCTCCGCGGGCATGAAGCCAGACCCTGGCGCTGCTGACGATGGGCAAAACGCACATTGGCAGGTATTCCTGGGGGGCGATGTGGATGATGCAGTTGCCTAACATATTAATGTCTGGTTGCCATTCCTGGTGGCAACCTGGCACTGAAGTGGAAAACTCGCGGTAACATTTCCGACACGACAGATAAGCTGGGGCACGGAATTGTGTCCCAGGAGGGTTCCGAAACCAACTCCGTCACTGACCTAGCAGAAGTCGGCATGGGTGAGAAGGATGACGGTGCCCAAAACACCCGGGGAAGGCAGGGACTGCCAGGCCAGTGGCCACGGGCGAAGCTATATCCCGCAATAACACACAACTGTAAGTGCGCCTCTGTACGGCCCGACACCATGAAGTGGTATAAAAAAACACACAAACGCCAGCGAGCACAGAATCGCACATACCTGTTGTTCGGCTGCCTTCCCCGCACGATACCTCTTGTAGTATTCGCAAGTCTTGTGACCCCGCACTCTGGCAGACGAACGCGGAGGGGGACATGCGCATGTAAGCAAACTTTTCCATCTTTACTAGTATATCCTCAAACTTCTCTCGTACGCACCTTCTTCCTTTATTGTGACTGACAGCAAGAAAGACCGAAGGGCGTTCGCTGTTATCAGGCCAAACCTTTTCGGCATTTTCTCTGTGCCACCTGAGCGAAGCATAAGAAGGGCGCCTTAGTAATAAGCATATTATACTGCAATAATGGCCGGCACAGAATGTTCCCATGGTTGGGGTCTAGCAGGTCAAGTGGTCAATTGGTCAAGGGGTTTGTTGGCCCAACAGCCTCCACCGACTCGACGGCGGTGCACACGTCATATGCCCTGTAACGTTTGATAATGTAAGCGTATCTCAGCAGCTGCGTTATCAGCCACGGTTCGTGAGCGACCCGGATATGTTGCGCGCCGACCCCGCAAGATTTCTTGACCAAGACAGCAGATAGCGGATGTGCAAGGAGGCATGCAACAAATACAAGTAAGGAGCAGTCGGCCAGTAATATTCAGTGCATTTCCGCTCGGGGTATATGTTGCATGCGACGGCGCCAAAGGTCCCAGAACCACACAGTAAGTCCACTGGGGCTAGACAAGCTGGTTCAGCCATCGGACAGATGCGGACTTACTTCCTGACGTCCTCCACTTTCGGTTTCATTCCACCATGAGCGTCCGCGTACTCGTCGCACCATCTGTTAAAGGCCTCCCAGCGAAAAGTGACGCCTTCGGAAGACGCCATGCTCCCTCTGAGGCCAACTTGACCAAGGGCTTGGCTTCTTTCGCGAAGCCCCAACCACGTCAGCCCGTGCTTTGCTTAACAGCTCCAGAGCAATGTATCCGGTCAGCAGTAGTCAAACCCATGACTACATATCGCTTTTGGTAATATCCTTTTCGAGCAAGGCTACTGACGAGACTGTTGCATTCCAAGCATGGCGGCGTTCGTACGGTATAACATGCCGCTTTTGGACATGACCACCCCTTGAAGTGCGTCTGTTTGTTAATGGCAGATGCTCTTGTCTCCTGTTAGACTTTGCGCACTGCACAATGCAAATCGTCCAGCAGCATTCCGTGGCCAAGCTTAGAGACGGTCTACCCCTTCGTTAGAGGCGTTCTTGGGAGGAATCCGCAATGAAGTTAATCCATTGATGAAAGCCATGTCTTTGCTCATTTCGAAGTCTCTTACAGCAGTAACGGCGAGTGTAATGACCACAACACCTACCGAAACAAGAAAGCAGCTTTACCTCAGTCGAGGATGGCCAGAAAAAAACAGATTTTGCGATGTACTTGTTCCAGGAGGTAAGCCGTTGCACCCTTGCCTTTGGCCCCGGCTGTCATTTTTGCCCACTTCCACCTGGCAACAAACTGCTGGGAAGGCAACCACTGCCCCAGGTGTGTTGTGCATCGTGTGTCGTGGCTTTTGCAATGTCTTCCTTGGGAGAATTGCCTCGTTTGCGCCAAACCCCGACAACAGCGACACCCGCATTTGGACTCCCGCTAATTCTTTCCCCTTGCCTTCCCGCCTGCCTATAAACGCAGCAGCTCTTGCGCATCATTTGTAGGCTCTGCCACTGCTTCGCTGTACAACAGTTATCGCGTGCTGCGCTGAAGACCAATTGCCTCAACAGTCGCCTTTCCAGTTGCCGTGACATTTTAGGGACTCTTCTCGCACTCTTTGGCTTGCATATCGCACACATGATTTTCGGCAATGGAGAAAACTGTCAGGACTCATCCTTGGGGTGACGCTGTGATAACAACCAGAATAGGAGTGCCCCCGGCGTCCAATTCTAGCACGTTACTGTTATGGACAAGAGGTGGGACTGGTCTTTTCACCCGCATATGCAAGAACGTAGGTCTAGCGAAAAAGTCTCTAAAGTGAACATGTACTAACACCATACTGCGCTGTCAATCTGCTCGCTGGATCAATAAACGGCTGTTGGAGCTATTACGAGCCAAATTTAGCTTAGGGATTGAAGGGAATTGTAAGATAGCTTGTCGTTTCGTTCAGATCAGGTTCAAACCAACGAACCCAAATCAACTCGAATCCATACGCCCGCACACGGAGTTTCAATGGGTTCATGAGAAGCTGCAGGCGGATGGCACATATTCCGCCCATTGTGCTACCCCGGGTGCTACCCATAAATCAGCAACGCCTCATCAGACTCGGGCATAGACTCGAACACTCTGCCTGCCTCGTCAGTTAGCCCCTCGCTGCCACCACTCTTAACACCTGGTTCGCAAGATGCGTTAGTCCAAGCCATTAGCTAAGCCCTAAAGCGCTTAGTTGTGCCAGTGCTGCCGCTGCTGCCGCCTCTTTTGCTCGCTTACGGTTGGCCTGCAGATCAAGGACAGCAGAAGCGGGCTAATTAGAGCTTTGCTCTCAGTTTCGTGACCACTGTCGTCAGAGCACAACCCCAAATCGAATATCTTAGGTAATCAACCAGTCATTCCAGTCGCGCATCAAGATATTATGTTCCAGCCAGGTTAACCACAATTCCAGGCGCTCAGACCCAATCTTCCCGGCCAGCTCCACGCCCTCACCTGCGGCCCGCTGCTGACATCCCCCAGCCCGGCCGCTGCCGGCAGCGTCACCACTGCCGCCGCCCCTGGTCCGTTGCCTGGCTTGTAGCTGTATTGGGGTTGCGGCCAGCGTCGCCTGTCGCAGAGCTCCTTAAGCTCCTGGAAAAAGGGTTTATTGCGTACAATTTTAAATTTGCAAAGATATGAAGATGTCCCACTTTGGCACCGGGAAGGCAGGTTGTAACGTACACGGGTTAAAAAGGTCAAATGATACGGACGTGAATATTCGGTCCGAATGACCTGTCACACCGAAAGCCAGGACTCCGGGGCGTGATGAGCAATCGCGAAACGATATGCGGGAGTGGAAGACCGCAAAGTACGACGCCAGGACGTGTGTCAAAATCATACAAGGAATGACTTTGTAACGAGGACATGCCCAGCATGCGCAGTCACTGCAAGCAGCACGGCGGCTGTCCCTTAACCGCTATCTATGCCGCTTCAAGCCATAACGCTACTTGTTTGACTCACCATCACGACACTCTTGGCTCCGGGCCCCGGGGTCCCCTCGACGCTGTGACTTCCCGCCATCACTCCATCTTCTCGGGGACGCTTGATGCCTTCGGATTGACCGACAGTTAAGTTCCGGTTGGGGTTGTTCGGGTCAACGGAGGGCAAAAAATGGGAACGAGACAGCAACTTATGGGCGGACTTGGCTTGCCATCGATTAGGTTCATACATGCGCGTGACAGCCCGTCCAAAAACCTTCTTCCAGCCAACCCTAAGGCACCAGGAGTCGCCCAAAACTGGACACAACCCATCGCACGCTGACCTGACCCTATTTACAATATAGAGACAATACAGTACGCTGACCTGGAGCCCTGCCGCCACCAGCACCTCGGCTGCCACCACCGCCGGCTCCTGCCCCCGACGCGGAGCTGGGGCTCAGCTGCTCGGAACCGCTGCGAAATTGCAGCGCTCGTAGCCCAACAGTCAGGCCGCCGGTGCTGTCACCATTGATGTCGCCTCCGTCAGCACTTCGCTTTGCCCCGCGGGTGCCGGCGGCCTGCGCGGCACCGGTCGCAGGGGCGGCAGGGGCGCATGAAATGTAAGGAACACTGTCAGACACACCAAGGCTGGTGGGACTCGCGTGTCGGAAAGGGAACAGCCATTGTGCGTATTTGCCCACGCAGCAGTGCCCTCCCCCGCACGTCCACGCCCGCAGCATATCCAGCCGTCCTCGCGCTGAGCGCTCTGGCACCTCACGCCGCCCTTTGCCCGTAGCGTAAGAGACTCCCCTTTGTATTGCACTTGCCAAGTATAAGCCCACTGGGCTCATTCTTTCCCTTGAGACTATTCGCCCACTATCCTGCAAACTCCCACTGGCCTTACCGGCGGTGCCGCCCCCGTCGTCAGGCTCCATTGCCCCGGTGTCCAGCTGCCGCCACCACCACCACCACCGCCACCACCGCCACCGCCGTCAGCACTACTGCCATCGCCTCCCAGCCCCAGAGATACAGTCAGGCGGCTAATGTCCGGCTCCGGAACCGTCTCACCGCCACGCAATGCCGCCATGAGCCGCTCCAGCTCCGCCGCCTCCTCCACCAGACGCTGCCGCTTTTTGTCCATCTCCCGCAACAAGGCCTCCTGTCCATGTAAATGTGCATATGGATGTGATTGGGCATGAATTATCATGAATCCTCTGTAAAAGGCGCACTGAATCCACATGTTGCTTATTAGCTTTTAATGGCCTTGTGCGAGCCTCCCATGAAGGTTTGTAATCCCATTTGTTTCTTTTTTTGTAAGGAACATTCTTGCAACAACGCTATAAACACCGTGCGCACCCATCGTGTAGAAGCGCGCAAGGATTGCACACAGCTAACAACGCGCCTCGCCCAGGCAGAGCGCTGCTGCGCTGCCAGGCCAAGGCCTAATCACCCTCACCACACTCACCCTCTGGGCCGTATCGAGCTCCCTACGAGCACCTCCGGCCTTGCGGGCCATTTGGGCCGCCTCCCAGGACTCCCCTCGAGCCTCTGACAGCAGCGGCGGCCAGCCCACAGGCACCACACGCACCGCCTCACCGCCATCGGGAGGCAGCGCTCCCTCAAGCCACAACAGCGCCGCGAGGGCGGCCGCCTGGGAGCAAGGTGGCAGAAGGCGGATAGGGTTAAGCGGCATGCACCAGGACAGCAGGCGTAGGTAAGGCAGGAATTAGAGGGCGCCCAATGGGTCTCAGGGCGCCCAGAGCGGCATGCGGAAGCAAGCAGCAAGAGGATGAATGAGGGTACGGACAGATCTCGGGGTTTCTTTTGATCAAAAGCTCGGGCGGGAGTGCGAACGTTTGGCAGACGATTGCTGTTTGTGGCCCCGGACTCCTGTTGGATTTCACACGTTCTCAGCCAGCTGTTCGCACCAACCCCGGTGAGGCCCTCAATGGTTAGTGAAGGGCGAGGTGAAGCCCCAGACAGTCCTTCATAACAATGAAGCAGAGCTCCACGATGAAGATGTCCGTGACACCGGTAGAGACAAACCTGAAAATTCTCTTGGGCCAAAAGATGCCTAGATGCCTAGAACCCGCATGATGCCTAGATGCTTAGATGCCTTGGGCCACAGATGCCTAGAACCCGCATGGTTCAAAGAGACCGGAAGCGAGGACTCCCATCCATCGCTGCAGTCACATCCTCCATAACCACACGAACGCCGTGCAGGCACAGGTTCCCTCTAAACCCTAAGCCAGCCCCTGGTCTCCAAAGGTGCAGGTGCTTGTAACGCTACCGACGGACGACCCCCGAAACCCACCGCACACAGCTTCCCTCCCCACGCGCTCATGGCCGTTGACTCACTTGACATGCTGCATTGATGCCCCCGGGTACGTGCATGTCCGGCGTAATTGTCACCCCAAGGTGCGACAGGATGCACGAGGCGGTCACTAGCGGTCTTCGAGCTGACTTCTTCACCACCAGGCTGTAGCACGGCTCGGGCAGCTAGCGAGGAGGATAAGGAACCAGTCATGTCAGGGCGTCAGGGGGCCTTGCCAGGCTGGTCTGAGAACGATTGGGTCACACTACTATATTTGGGTGGCGGCATCTGGGCCATTTGAGCTTTGGCGTTCTCTCTGTGTGCATGAATTCACCTATGAGTGATACTAGATTGGGAGGCAGCGGGGCGGTAAAGTGATGTAATCACGGCAGTTAAGCACCAGGTGGATTTCCTTGACGCCCTGCATGTACAGCCGGTACGATGTCGAGCCTTACGTTGTTAGAGCGGCAGTACTCCAGAAGATGCTCCTTGGGCCGCGGCCCGCGCCAGCCGCGCGTCTCACCAGCAGCCCCCTCAACCTCGACTTCGCCAGAGGCACCGCCATCGGCGGCGGTGGCAGCTGTAGCGGCGGAGGGACCGCAGTCTCCTGTCGCGTTTTTTGGTGGAGACTCTCCATTCGGCTCCTGCTGGGCCGCACCTGGTTCAGGCCCCGGCTCGTCTGCGGGCTGGCCGTTGTTGCGTATTCCCGGCTCAATATCAGCCTCTGGCTCTGGCTCAATACCAACCCCCGACGGCGCCTGGCTGTCGCCTGCAGCAGCTCCGGCTCCGCTTGCCGCCGCAGCGCCTGGCTGCTGACCCTGGACTGGCCCTCCTGCCTTCCCTTCCAGCCCTGAACGCTCCTGCTGCTGTTGCTGCGGTGGCAGCCCTTCGCCAGGTGCCTGCTCCTGCTGCTGTGACGGCGGCTGAGTGGGAGATGCCCCCTGCTGGTGCTCTTGGTTGGATGCGGCGGGAGGCACCATTGCCGCTTGGATCAGGCACATTAGGTTGGGATCCAGCTGGGAAATGCGCCACTCCGGGTGCCTAGCGCAGGACAAGGGTGCGCAGGACGTGGGGCCCGTAGCAGTGAAATGGGAACGCAGAGACGTCAGTACAGCGACGCGATAATGCTGGCAGGTTGGGAGGTAAGTGGCAAATCCCACATGTTGCCGAATATGTCTGGCAGCTTCGATCAAAACCCGGCAGAGTTGCCACAGTCTCCGTTTTCATTGGCTGCTTCGGCAGTGCGTTGCCAGCAGTGTCATGGCCCCGGCCGGAAGGAACCGTGCTGACGAACCGAGATGGGGAAAGGATATGGACTACGAGGGCCCGAGCTCAGGTTCACGCTTGCATTGTCATCTCGTTCGTTGGAACACGAACTCTAAACCTGCTACGTGCAGCGGCCCCAAAGCCTCGTTTAAGCCCACCAGTCAGTCGGCTGCCCGGCGAATAACATACGTCTGCCCATCCTTTACTAGGCTACCTTGAACCCCTAACCCCTTTTGCGGCCCCCAGCCTGACCCTGGCGTCGCACTTGTTCAGCAATGCCTTAAGCTTCGCCAAAAAGGGCGCAATCCCGGCTTCCAGCAGCAGGTTGGCCCCCTCCTCATCCTCATTGGCATCCACAGCAGGCTGCCCACCGGCGCCATTGTCCGCCCTAAGAATTGCATTCACCGGCGGGAATATGCTGCGGAGGGGGTGCCACTCAGCTACAGCGCCCGGGGCACAGCGTGGCGTGGCTGTCTCGGGCTTAACGCCCAGGGCCACATACAGGCGCACTAAGGCGCCTGTTTGAGGGAACTCAGCCTAACGTTTCACGAGGGCGAGGGTAACGGGTATATGGGTACGGCGCAAGGCGCAAACAGGAACAAAGAGCTCATTATACGTCCTTCAACAGGAAAAGCAGAAACCTAACCTCATCGTTCAAACCTCCTGCCCATCCTAGCAGCTGACACTCACTTGCAATGACCTCAACGCCTGATCACAACATGTCTGTACGAATCCTTCCTTACCTCAATCCAATGCGTTCTGCTTATTTTATCGCCAACGTCCAAACCAAGCAACTGCCTCACGGCCGAGGCTGCTGCAACCACATGAACATCGCTTTCGGTGGTGTGCGCAAATGGGAAGGCCCACCCGCTTTCCTCTTTATGTTTGATAAGTAGGACCTCTCCTAGTCCAGGAGTAAATATGGCTGCACCATATTCTCGTAAAGGTGCCATGACAAAGTATTTTTTTAGTAGCGCCTTCCGGAGGCGTTAAATGTTGTTTAGTGTTTTATGGAACATGACCATGCTACCTTATGATGCCGAGCGCGGATTTGTAGCAAGTATACATGGCCAACATTCTGGCGACAAATACGTACGACCAGGAGGTTGAGTGATGTAAGCAAATGTTCCATACATGTAACCACGCTTGATAGCTAGTGTCCATACACGACTACTACTACCCTCGGACCGTTATTGTACTGCAAGCGACTCCAAGCGGTGTAGTCCGAGTCTCATATTTATACGTAGACACTAAGGGTTATAGCGGGTGTCGCAAATCCACCTTATTATGATACGGTAGGTCGTGACATTCGTCTTCCACCCACATCCCGAGCGCATTAACGCAAACTGGTGGATCAGATGCCAGCTGCAATACGACACCCGCAGACACACGCCCACACCCGCAGACACGTCCTATCACACCGGGTTTCCAATCTGCCGGGCACTCCACTCAGTCTCCGGCAGGAACAAGGGATGCACCTCCGGCATATAAATCAACAATCCACTGTTCCAGCTTTTTTTCCGGGAAGCATGAGTCCCTTACGCTGCAACACGTGACGTCCTTATAACTCCTGTCCTTATAACTCCATTCGACAGACCATGTCTGAGACGCAACTGAGAGGATGTCTGCGGCTCGAAACCTGCACACGTACCGACAAGGCTAAAAATACAACTTAACCCACTTAATTTCCTGCGTGTTGCACCCCTTCCTGCTTGTGGTGCTGTACCTTGAGATGGCGACAGACACATGCGCCGTTCGTATTCTGGCTCCAACTGCTTATAATCTTGAATTGAAGCCGCATGCAAAATGCCATCGCCGCCAAACGTCCGCTTTTACCTGGCGGGCTTCTGTATCAATGACAAGGGCATGTAGCTAGCGCCTCGCCCCCCAGCCGCACGCGCATATTCACCTACGCTCCTCCTTTCCCCCTGCCTCGCCTGGTGTCCGGACCCTGCGAGTCGTGAAGTACATCTCCCTGAGCAACACGATGTGATTCAACCGCAATTGCTGCTCCGCACTTGGCAGCACCGAACAGAGACAGGGAAGAAGGCCACAGAATACAATCAAACAAAACGTGTAAACGACAACTTTCCAATACAAAGATCGTATTCTCTTTAATCTTTCATTCACCCCACCAACGTCACCACAGTATGACACATCTTGTATCTCCATCCACCGCGTGCCGCGTGCAAATGCGGCTGGCCTCAGGATTGACGTTGGACACCCATTTTGGGCAACGATACCCTCAGTAGCAGATCCTGAATTTTGAATCACTTGCCGTCCGTGGACCACTGGAATGGCTTCGCTGAACTGCTATCCTTACCGCCGGAAGCGACGTCCGAATATTACCCGGCAACGGCCGGAACCCTGCATACCCCTAAGAGTGTAGCCAGTTATCAAGAGCTTGCGGCGGTGCACACGGCTGCAAAGGCGACGGCCAACCTGGCAAGAATGACGGCTGGTACTGCGGCTGAAATGCCAGCTGCTGGAATCCAGCAGGCACCGTGCCGTACAGGGGCGGGCCCCCACCAAATGGACCGGGTGCGAGACTCGGCGGCGCGTATGGACGCTGAAGCTGCTGTACCCACGGCGCCGACTGTGGAATGCTGTGCTGCATAAGGGAAGAAGGCGCCGAGGGGGGAGCTGCGAAAAGCGTGGGTGGTACATGTGCTGCACTACCTTGCTCCATAGGGCCGTGTGCCAGCGAAAAAGGCGGGGCATGGACTTGCAGACCCAGCCTTGCCGGCATGTGCAGGGCCGGGTACAAGGCGGCAGGTGGTGGTGGTGTCGGCATGCCGTCGAACGTCGGCCGGTCATTGGGTGCCGCTGTAGTGTCATACATGTCGACAGCTAAAACGTGTCCTTGGTTCCCCAGGCTGGCTTGCTGCGCAGACGACGGAGGCGGGGCCTGAGGTGTGCCCCCAAAGGAGAGATCACAGAGGGACATGCAGTCGCCCAATGTGCAGTCCATCTCAATGCTGGGCATATCGCCCGAGGGAATGGGCTGTACCAGCGGAGCATGTGCTGAGTTGCTCGCGGCGGGCCAATGCTGGGGCAGGAACGACGTTGCGGCAGCTACACACTGTCCGTCAAGCGCGCCCTGCAGCTGAGGCGAAGCGTCCTGCACTGCCGGGAGAGGAACCGGAACCGGAACTGGGACAGGGACAAGGACAGGAACAGAAGGCTGCTCCTGCACCTGCGGGTTCGCCTGATAGGGGCCAGGCGGAGCCAAGGCTTGGGCCTGCGCCTGCAGTGGAAAGATGCCCAAGTACTGCTGTCCCTCCATGCCGTGGTTGGGTGGCTGGGCCGCCTCCATCAGCGAATCGAGTGATGCCACGGGTGTGACAGACACAGAAGACTTTGCGTTAGAGGCGCTAAAGGCGGCTAGTTTGAACTCCTCTCCTGGAGACGGTCCTACGGAATCACCAGCCTGTGGCATCGGCGCCTGCGGTTCCGTTGCCACTACAGCCATCATCTGAGATGATTCCGTTGCCAGCGCTAGCGATGCCTGCGGCTCCTTGGCGGCCGGTGGTACCCCTTGCGCCTCTACCGAAGATGTGCGCTGCCCCGCGGGCGCCGTTGCACTCTGAGCCTCTGCCGCCAGCAGTTCACTTACCTTCAACCCTTCTTTCTGCTCGTCTTTCTCTGTTTCCTCATCCACTGGTTTTCTCAAGTGCGGCGGCACGTACACTCCGTTCCGCGACTTCACGGTGAAAGATGCGGCGACAGCCGTCTTGTCAGGGCGGGCCTGCATTGGCTCCAGGTCCAAAGTCTCTGGCAGTTGGGGCAGCGGCCGAAGGTCACGCCGCAGGGAACGCTCGGCGGCTCCGCGGAAAACCGTGCTGTCGCTGTCGCCGGAGCTGGGCTCCTGACAACAGATCGGGGCGCGGGAGCTCCATTCTAATGATCCGTTCCCTGCACACGGCACAGGTGGTAGCGGTGGCAGCGGCGCCGCTGAGGACAACCCATGCATGGGTAGCGGTGGCGGCAGCCGCTGTGGACGAAGCAGTTCCGACATTAGAGGCGCGTTGCCGTATGCCCGTGGAGGGACGGGCTGTGACGCCCGACCCGACGTTCGTGCCGCCGATGCCACCGCCTTTGGATCGGGCTCCGCTGACTCCGGCTCATCCGCCCAGTTGAAGCCGCTGCTGAAAGTCGTGGAGGCATCGCCAATACTCGTGGTAGCAGACGTTGACCTCGTTGCCTGCGGTGAAGCACCCGATTCTTGAGCGCTGGCAACGCTTGCATCTACTCCGGAAGAGGAGCGCTTGTCGCTGGGACCGCCATCATGTGTGTCCTCCTCATACAGTTCGGGGCCTTGGAGGTTCGCCAGCACCGCAAAGCCCAGCCGCGGCAACCTCCCCTGAGCTTGGCCTGGCGCTGCTGCGCCTGTCCTCGAGCTTCGCGCAACCCCCGTGAGCCTCTGCAGCGCCGCCGCTAAGTTAAGCTCATAATAGCTGTGGCATCGGCGGCATCGTGATCCTTCCTGCGCGGTACCAAAGAGAAGTCCCTTGCAGCAAGTCATTAAGAGACATTATGCACGTACTCTTGAATCCATAAATCATGAAGCAGTTGCCAGGCAACGCAACGAAACTCTTCATAAAGCCACAGGTGTTCCTGCAGAGACACCCCAACACGTAAATCGGGGACCCGCAAAAATACATCCCGACAAAATTGCAAATATGCGCGAGCACGCTCAAGGGGCAGGCAACCACAAAAGGATTGCTGCCGCAGCAGCAACAGCAGCAGCAGTAATCCTTCACCGATCACGACAGCAGCTAGGCCCCCATTCCAAACTCACCCTGCAGAAGCTAAGGTAGAATGTCAAATCCTCCGGGAGCAGCTGCCGGCTTCCTGCCGCAGGTTTGGAAGTGTCGCGCTTTTCCAAGTTGCCCTCGTGTCCCTCACTGTCAGCGCTGCCACCCGGGGCAAAAATGCCATCCGCGCTGGGTGCCTTTGTTAGGTCAGCAGCGTAGGGCACATTGTCGAGTAAATGCGATGTAGATCGCCGGTACAGTTCGTATAGGTTACGAGTATTGAGCCACAAATCGGTCCCGATTTTACCGACGGCTCGGAAGCAACGGGTTGCACGCTTAGCCTGTGTGGCAATCGTGTCCTGATTGTGCGAGTCAGCGAGCTGTATCCTCCCTCAAGGTAAAAAATGGAGCATGCAACTGCGCCATGTGGGATGACCTTGGCTGGAAGATTATCGCCCAAGCCACCCAGCCTGGAGTTTGTAAAAAACAAAACCCAGTTGCATCCATGCCAAATCCTTGCGCGGTTGCCTGTTGTTGCAACGCGAGGTGAACATGGTTCGCTAAGGACACAGTTGGGGTAAAAAATGGCACATGTATTGTTGGATTGCCCTGCCCATGTAGCCATCCCCGGCGTGCAGCCATCGAGGCTCACCTGAGGTAATGCGTTTCCGTGTGCTCCTGCACCCGCCTCCATTCTCGGCAAGACCACAGCCCAGCCGATCTGCGACAGCCTGTCGATGAGCGACGGGCACAGCTCCGGCTCTAGCGGCTTTGAGGGCCAGTGCCGCGCCGCGTCAAACACCGGAGTCCGAGTGGTGCTCCCCTCTCCCAGGTCCAAACTCCTGGGAAACCAGATCAAAGGCAAGCGATCCAGGAGTCATATTACCCGACACAGGTCCATGCCCAAACGACATACGACATCACCACGCTCACAATGCATGCCCCGCCGGACAGCAAGCCGATGTGCAGAAAAACAATTTCGGGGAGCTGACATCTGTTGAACCCTCACTCGGCACCTCCCGCCCCGAAGGTGAACCCTTCCCTCCACACCTCCAAAAATGGCCAAAGGGGCAGGTCGAATGCCCTCCATTGTGCCGCGACCCTGCCTTCCGCCGCCAGACCGGCGTGCACCAGGGGCTGGTGCAGCGCAAAGCCTTCAGCAGCGGAGCCACCTCCGCGGGTACCAGCTCCGTAACGTCCTCATTCCTGCTGGCGTCCGCGGTATCTCTTCGCGACCCCGACGCCACTCCAGAGCCGCTATCCGACGGCTGCTGCCGCCCGCCTCGGCAGACAGCTGCCGGTGGCGTCGATGAAGCAGCTGTAGTAACGGCCCCTCGATCTGATCCGCAGCCAGTGGTTCGGGCCCGCGGCACCGGTAGCGGAATCTTAAAGTAGTCCTGGACCAACGCCAGAGCCTTCCGGAGATCGGGGTTACCCTGCTCATTGAGTGGCGCTAGTGGTAGCCGCGACAGCCAGCCCTCTCTATGGTCGCTTGACAAGGACTCCGCAAGACTCGGCATGAGGCTCCTAAAGGACAGGAACGGCACAGGGAACGGACAGAGATTCAGTTCGCAACGGACCCGTGCGTGGCCGTGTGCAAATGACCAGGTTAGAGCATCTTGCGTATTGATTATTGCAGCGCGTTATTGTAGCCGTCGCCGTCGAAACAGACCTCGTGCCGGAAAGCGTTCGCGCATGTTAAACGAGGAACCCCAGCACATACCAGAAACGTGTGTATGTCAGCTTGAGACATGACACAACGACCCCCGACATTGCCGGAACATTGTAAACCATCGACATTGTCGGGAGCGTGGGACTATGGCTAGCTGCTGAAATGTGCAGTTGAGGTCAAAGTTGATGGACCGAGATTCGCACGAAGGATTGGTGGCGACTGCTGAACCCTCTGTCTCTACGGATGTTCGGGTGAAAGGATGAGGGGGGACCCTAGAAGGCAGAATCAACCGCCTCGGACTTGCAGCTCGGGTATGGCGTGATGCACATTGTGGCAATGGTGGATTGCGCTGTATGGTATTCGAATCCTACATATGACAATCCAAATGTGTGCAAACAGCCTAGAAGCCTCCCACTCTGTGAACACAACAACAACAACAACAACGAGCACTGCCGGCTCGTAACCATCCTGCCTCTTGTGTCAAGAGCAACTATTCCCAACGACAACACAAACTACTGTCACCGCCCTTGTCCACGGCTGCACCCAGCACGTACTTGTACCAGTCCATCTGCCATGCGACGTTGTCCGACTCCAGCACGAGTGCGTGGACTTGGGATGGCGTCAAGGAAGAGACCTGCAAGGCCGCCCCGCTGCCGTCAGCCGAACCAATAACGCCGTCCTTCACCCCGTCCTGCATCGAGAGCGGACCGCCATCAAAAAGGAATCAGTTGCAAAAGCGGGCAATCATCCAGCCTTCAGTGCAAAGCATCAAATGCCTTACAGTCCTTGCATTTATTACAACAAAGATTATTGGCAAGAGTCAGAAAGGAGTTACGAGAAGGAAGCTCGTAGCCATGTAGGCCCATCTTTGCACGTACATCGTGTTCCCTGCATGGCTCCCTACTTTGCATCATCTCCTGATAGCCACCTACATGTGCCGGCAACCATGGAGCCTTCCCTGCGCCTCACCCGCTTGAAGATCCTAAGGAGCAGGACATTGCCGTACACCTTCTCATTCAGCAACGCTGATATGGTGGGATTAAGCAGCTGGGGTTGGCCGGCCCAGGCGGGGGCCGCACCCCTGTCCGCCCTCACGACCACCGCGGCAAAATTGTGGAACAGAAATGCCACGAGTAAATCGTCTGTAGGGCACAGTCACGGGATCGTCAGGGCCGTGTGGGCCGCGGGCCGTGTCGGCATGTAATGGAAGCATACGTTTCATCGCTACCATGGTTACCATGGTTAACTACGCATAGGGGTCCACAACTGCACTCACCCCAGCAGCTCGTAGACAGCCAGAAAGTCAAGACAGAACACAGCACTCACCCTCTGCGTCGCCGAGTGGCTTGCCGCGCGCATCAAGCCACCAGTCGAGGTCAAAGCCGTAAATGCCTCTGAAGAGGTCGGGGTCTTTGCGGAAGACTGATGTAAGTGCGCGCGTCAGCGTAGCCTCAACACCCTGACCGGCAAGGTAATATCGGTACGTGCGCACAACGGATCAGAACGGGGGCAACGTGAAGGCAACGTCGAAAAACCATAGATTCTGTGCATAATCGCGCTTCAGGATAAAGAGAATGTCTACAAAAACAGTGCCAGGATTGAAAGCCCTGTGGAACGCATGGGACTGGGCGAATGCCATTGCAGCATGCTCAGATTTTGCAGAGTAAGGACCAGAGTGGCCAACAAATCCCCCGCATCCGGACTGCCTGGCCCCGCCAACCCGTCGCTTTCGATACCGCACCTTAAGGTCTGTCCCAAACGCCACGCAAGGACGCGGCCTCTGCGGAGGGCGCAACGGGTTGGCTGGCCAGTGGGCGCCGGGCCCACCAGGTGGTTCGGGATCCGGGTGGCTTTGCTTTAGCAAGGCGCCGCCCTTCCGCCGCTGTTGCGGCACTTGCACCTGCTGTTGTAGCTGCTGGAGCCGAATGTTTTCCTGCTGGGATAGCTGATATAATCGAAATTGCTGCATGTGCTGCTGCTGAAGAAGCAGCAGGTTACGTTGCTGCAGCTGGAAATATTGGAGCTGATGCAATTGGTGCTTAGCCTGTTGTTGTTGCTGCTGAATCCTTTCAAGCTGAAGCTGGTGAATATGCTGCTGCCGGTTGTACTCCAAGAAGGCTGAATCCAATTTCTGGCGACCCACAACAGGATACGGCACGTTCGCGGTGTTGCTAGCCGCATTATGGCCGCCGTCCTGTGCAACCCTGGAGCCTGAGGCGGCGCAAGCCGCTCCATACACAGAGCTGCTTTTGTCAGCGGCTTCCGTGGCTTGACGTGGGGCATCAGCTGAGCGTGAGCTTGATTCCTGTGATTGAGGCTGTTGTAATGATCCCGCCATGTGCACGTTCGCCATGCAAGACCGGTTCGCTTCCTCTGTATATCCCTTTTTGGTCGGCACCGGCTGGAGCCCCGCAGCGACCGCCGATGGCTGTGGGGTGCGGGGCGGAGGGGGCGACAACAGTTGCACACCACCAGCGCAGCCCGCGCCGCTGTTACTGCTGGCGTTATCAAGCGTGCTGCTCTGTGGGACTATGCTAACGGTATCGCCTTGTATCAGGATGCGCCCTTGGGTATTGGGGTCGCACAGCACAGATGGGGCCTCCGGAGGGGTTCCTGGGGCTGTTGGTGCTGACCCGGTCGAGCCCAGTAAAGTAGTTTTGCCAGTGGGGGCAGGGCCCGGTGCCGTCGGCTTCGGTGCTGGTGGACGGCAATCCACTTGCTCCTGACCGACCGCAATGACCTCCGGAGAAGGCAATCCAGGCGGGCGCTGAGGCGGCCGTGGACGCAGGGCGGTGACAGTGGCGGCATCTGCCAGCGCGACAGGAGCAGCTGCTTCAGGGAGGGTGGGCATCATCCGTCCTGCTATGGCTGATGAGACTGCAGCTTGGGGATTCACGGGAGACGCGTCTAAGAGGGCGACTTCATGCGCATGCGCACCCTGTGCCCCGACGGCGGCGTTTTTGCTGCTAACGCCCGCCGAGGGGCAATGCCCCGAAACGGGGTGGCTGTCGCTTTGGAAAGCGCGCTTATGCCCGGGGCATGCAGGAAGGGGCATGATGTCCAGGGGAAGATCCACCCTTGGGAGAAGATCGACACCTGCATGAACGCGTGATGGGGGTAACCTTGATACCACAGCGTTCCGTAGCCCTTAGCTCTTAAGCTTAAACCGGTAGCACGATGCACACCGCGTATGTCCATCAGGCATACCGCGGCATGACTCCCTGGTTTAGTCTATTCCAGTCCTAGGTCGAGCTTCTGGGCATAATCCCCGTCCATGAGCCACACATACTAGATACGTCGCGAGGCTTTAAAACGTGCGCAAGGTGAACCTGCAATCCTGGATAGGGCGGGCCAAAGATTCCTTAGCACAACTCTCCACCTACCCGTGAGGGCCCTGACCTCTTCAACGCTCCGGAACACCGGCACAACCACCCCAGAAGCTTTCGTCTGAACACGTGACGCCGCCGTGCGGACTGCGACCGATGCTTTCGCTTGGGCGGCGAGTCCGCGAGCTTCAAGTTCTGCGATCTTCGCATACGTGCGGTCCTGCTTTGGGGCCATTGTCAGCCCTTTGCCTTGGGGTCCGGCGTGCGGCCGTTCGTGCGGTTACGCTCTGCCGCTGTCAGCCCTTCATCTGGTGTCGACCACCTACTTTGCAATCCTAGGGCTTACCCAGCATGCAATCCTAGGGCTTACCCATATATCCTTAAAATCCTTAATGGTATGCGCAAGTGGATGCCGGGATAGGCCGAGAAGAAAGGAGTAGGTACAAACTACAAAGTAGTGGCACAGGCATATGAGTTACAGCATGCTAAGGCAACATGCATTTCTCACCACATTATGCGTAACACAGTAACTCTCGCACGCGAAGCAGATGGCAACTTGCCAAGCGATGTACTGCAGCGGTGGTTTAAAGACGACAGCCAAGCCGTAACGGAAGCTAACGCACATAGCGGGTTGAGCGCTCATCACTGAGACAATCAAGCTTTTAATTGCAGAATACTTGCATATTTAAGATAGAGATTTGGTTGGCATGTCACTTGGTGGAGCTGTCGAAGGCGGCCTGGCGCATTTGCGCAAAGAGCTGCAGGTGACACTTGTTATCTGAGGCAGCGTAAATGGGAAAATTTTACTGACAATGAGCTGGCTGCTCATCCAGGCACATCGGAAATTGCTTGCAGTTCTAGAGATAGCAAAGCAGTGTAATGTCTCAGCATTCCATGCAATCGAGGCGCCAGCGACTGTGTTCCCGAACATAGCAGCTCCTGGCGTGGCACTCGGATCGGCCCTTGCTGGGCCGGGCAGTTCATTATCTCCTGGTGAAATGCACTTAGGTACGGTTGGTTGTAAATGATGTACAAACTGCAGCCCAGGAGCGGACCATGAATGTGGCCAGCTTTAAAGTTCGCGTCACAGTTACGGGAATTCCAGTACAACGCTGATCGGATGTACCTCTCATGGCTTACTATGGCTTTCCATACTAATATGGACCCACGCAGGAGACGCCTGCAGTTCTGGCCTCCTGGCAGAATCAGCAGCACCAAGGACCGCTTCCATAAAATATTGTATTGATGTTTCAACAAGCAGCTCTACCGTTGAGCCGCAGCGGGCAAGCCACGAACGCTCGTCCGGGAGGTCAGCCCCAAAGCGGCCAACGGGAACAGTGGCCGCTACCTCTGTGAGCACAGGGAGTGCGGCGATTCGGCCACCCTGGCAGAGTTCCTTCAGCCGTGCTGCTCCAGCGTCAGCCGCAGCTCGCTCGGAGCTGGGCGACGGTCACCATGAGCTGCAACTGATCCATCACCGCCGTGCCCGCCGCGCTGGAGGCATACCCGCAGCTGCAACACAACCTAGGATCGCGTCAGCGGCCCCGCAGCGGCAAGCGGCGGATGTTCATGCTAGTGATGGCGGCGACAGGAACGGCGACAGTGATCTTGCTAAGGTTCTGGGGGAGCTTGCAGCTGAGGCAGCCATGTCCGTCATGACTAAGGCAGAACCTAAGTTGTCGCGGATAGACCGAGATGGCGGGGGCAGGCTATGGCGCCCCGGGCAGCGAGCACGTCACCGTGGATCCAGTCAGGGCACGGCTGCCAATGCCGTGGCGGCGGCATATCAAGCTGCAAAAGGAACAACAGCCACAGTGATGTGCTCACGTGACGTGGCGGCCTTGGCTCAGAGGACGCAGGCCCAACGCACGACCTGCGACGCAGCTGTGCAGACCTCACGAGCCCTGCATAGCACCGGAGCCGGATCGGTTGACCCTTCAGCTGCACCTGCATCGTCGGAAAAGTTACCCGCGCCAGAGGCAAACAACGCCTCATATGCTGGACTCTGCTCTGGTGTTGGCGTTGTGAGAGGTCCTTCTGCCGCAAGAACCACGGTACTTGCTCACGATCAGGCAGCCTGTTGCAGCAGGCAGTGCGCTGACATACACCTTGGACAACACGGGGTTCGCGCTGCGCCCGTGATGGGTTCGTTGACAAACTCTTGCCTCCCTGCACCCACGGGTGGCAGCCACAAGCGGGCTGGCACCCAGTTCGCAGGGCACGCAAAGGCTGTCCTGCCAGTCTACGCTGTGGAGGATAATGGTATCTGTGCCAGAAAGGACTGTACCTGCACGGGGTGCCGCCAGGGCAAGTCCGGTTCAAAATCATCAGCCTTTCCTACGGTTGATCGTGTGATTAGCCGACGAGAGCGCCTTTCGGCGCTGCTAACGACGCGCCGCCGTGCCAACGATGCAGCGCCTGAAGTGTTGGCCTCACTGGGCAGCTCCGAAGTCCTGAGAGATGTCAGAAACTCTTTGTCCACCTGTGCACCAAAAGCAACCCAAGGTTGCCCGTTGGACTGGGTTATACCACCTGCCAGTACAGCACAAAAGGTTGCGGACCAAAGCCAAGACACGACTTGGGCGCAGGGGCAGTGTACGACAGGGGCAGTTAATAGCTGCCGTCTTCCAGGTACGAGTGGAGGCAGGGCGGGTGAAGTTCAAGACGGGCATACCAGCAGCGGCCGGCAACAGGTGCTGGGCAGCCGGGGTAAGCGATTTGGCAGCAGCGTCACGCCCGCAGCTAGGAGCAGAGGCGATCCTGATCTTGCTGCTGATGCGTATGCGACAATGAGGGCGTGGCGGGCACGCCGCACCGCTGCCGCTGCCATTATCTGCCGAGCGGCTCGCCGTTACTTGGACGCACGGTAGGTGTGCATATGCCCATGCGTCTAGGAACCAGGAAGGAAGGGTAACTGGGTGTATGCGAACAGTTTCCTGCGGGCTACAGGACCGTGAGCTTCATTGAAACTCGTTGCAGGCGGTTTTTGTGGAGCCGTTTGAAAGGCGCATAGGTACATGACCATGCGGAGGCTTTGCCTTGCCTATTGCACCCTGCTTGTGGCCCCATGAATCTAGGTGGGGGACGGTGATGACACAGCTTGTGGCTGCCCAGTGCTGGTGTCCAGTGCCTACCTCTTGCCGAGGCGGCCTGGCTCTCATGATTGGCTGCTGAGTTACCGTCGTGCATGATACTACACTACTGTAGAAACCTTTTGGCTTGGCAATTCATGCTTGGACCGTGTACTCCGGTTCGCATGAATGGTAGGGCCGCCACGGAGGACGCTTGCGCAGCAGCAGCCGCATCCAGGTTGGCCTCTGGTGCGACGGCTCGGCTGCTGTCAGCATGGCAGGGCGTTTGCCAGCGACGCGCTCGCCTTCGGCGACGGTACGGCCGGTACGTGACGGGAAGCGCGAAACGACCGAAGGGACAATGCCAGCTGCTAGCAGATTGCGGTGGCTGCCAGCGCGCGGGTGTGCCAGGGAATGTAACATGTAGGCAAAACGACGAAGACCATGATGCCATTAGCGTAGCGTAGCATGACTGAGCCGTCCTTCTACATGCATGCACATGCTGTTTGGTGGAAGGAAAGCTGCATCCAATTTCTTACCGTCGTTTTACCCTGCTCGACAGGCTGGTGGCTTTGTCCTTGGAGGTGCAGGATGCGGCCTGTGCGCACGTCATACCGGAAGACATGAACTTGGCTGACATTGACACTAGGTTTGCAGCTAGATTGGCCGCCGCCTGCTATGCGCCAGAGGACGGCACCGTCGGCTCCGGGCTTGGCACAAGGAATAACGACAAAGACCGGAATTCGGGTGACGGCAGCAAGGAGCGGGGCTACGCTGTCAGCCTGAACGTGCCGTATGGCCTGGTTCATGCGAACGGCTGGGGCGCCATTGCCGCAAGCCACCGTCGTTACTGTAGCGCTGCCGCTGTCAACGAGGGCCGGTACGGGCTCGCTTCAGCGCACAGGCGGTGGTGGCTGCTGCGTGCTGCTTGGTGTAGCCTGGTACTACATGCAGTTGCAACGCTGCAGTGGGGCACCTTAGTGTTGTAATACGCCGAGGACAACATCTCCTGCTATGCGAAGAATCCCGGCATGTGTGCTTCGAGGGAGCCGGCCCTAGTGTCCGCAGGATATGCCATATGCGCCATCGCAGTGTTTGTGAATTCCACGGGGATAACTGCTCGTGTGGCAAATGAAGGAACCGCAACCGTGGGACACAAAGGCAGGATTGAAGACGCTGGTCTGTTAGTTTGAGGATCCGCCTCGTACGGTATACCAACTCCATGGTATACCATGGTAGTGAACCGGTATCGGCCTCGACCCGCTTGGATTTCCATGTGGTACTACCGTGCCTAAAAGGCCCTCTTAATCACCCCTGTTCTTAATGCCGTGTTCATTACGGTCGGGGCACAAAGGTGGTGACAACTAGTATCTCGCAATCCACTGTGTCCCTCCTGAAACTGGTTGCAGCGCCATGGTGGGTGAAGTCGTTAAGAAATAGGGTGCGCAGAAAAAGCGAGCGCGATAGCAAGGATACTCCCCAAACCAAGCAGGAGGCGATTGGAATCCCGACCGCGAAACCTGTCTGAACCGTTTCATATTGGCAAGCGAGAGATTTGAAGGGCACTATATCAAGGGAAAACTAATCGGAGGAACATCCGGTAGTCAATCACCTCACGCACAACTCGCAGAAACCATCGCAGGAATGAATGATGGGAAAAAGCGAATGAGATTACAAGGCCGAGCCTCGAGGCGCAAAGTACAGAACGTACAGAGCACATGCAACTGGGGGGTTTGTGATTGTGAATGATTGTAGCTTAGCGTAGAGAGCGGGGGGCTAGTAACTTCTGGTCCTGCATGTAAACTGTTGGAAAAGCCGCACGTTCAGGCCGTGTACTTGGCTGGAACCTTCCTCGCGACCCATTCAATTAAAGTTCCGCACTGTTGCGCTGCATGGCTAGTCCTACTGGGTAGAAAACTGAAACGTAACCCTGAGCACTGGGATTCCATGCCAATCGTGTGCCCGATCACGCATGTTGGGAACGCAACTACCAGTATGAGCTTCAAGGTACAACGCTTGCGCGACCGTAATTTGGAGCTCGGTGTCAGCCCAACTCCTGGCGCTTGCAGCCTCAAAATTCTACCAGCTAAGTTTTCGTAAGCATTTCATAACTGAGTCAATTGCCCAACGCACTACGGATCAAGGATAATGAAGAGAGAGAGCTCTAATCAACTTCTCAAGGACCCGAAGGGATCAATGCATCCCGGCATGTCAACCTTTTAAGTGTGCAAAGCGTGTATAACTACCTAGCCAATACCTCAACAGTTGTACGATGGTAAAGGGTCCGATACTTTAGACTAGTTATGAGAATTACGGCACATCGTACGTTTGCGCATTCACACGCAAGACACAGTTTGCCCTTGTTTGAACTTATTCCGATGTATGAAATCACAGCCTTTAGCTGAACCTTTCATTTTCACTACATCTTTGCAACCCAACGGATCTCCTAAAAGCAGTTTACTCTCTAATTCCCCGAAAAACGTCCGATTAGGTTCATCCAACATACATAACGATCCGAGCCTAATAGCTTGCTTTTCCCTGCACACGACGGAAGGGCGGACGTCGTGGAGAAGCCAGGGTGAACCTTAGTTGCTGCGTTCTCTGTGCGCCCCTTTATTTCGGTCGCGATTTTATTCAAAGGACGAGGCTTTTGTAGGAATTTTAATCTACATTGTTTGATTAGAGGAAGGTATCGACCGTACTATCAACTCTGCAGCAGCATCAGAGAGAGGGAACATCAACGGCCGTTGGCTTGCAACAACGGCAGAAGAGTTCGTTCGGCTGGTATCACGGAGGCCTTAATCTGCGGGGACCACTCTGTCCAGTAGGCAGCGTGGTCCCAGAACAGAATGGGGTGTGGACTGCATTAGCGGATGCCAGTACACTTTGCGTCCGATTCTCCTCCCCCTGATGTGGGGGGAGGAGGTGATGCTCAGGGCTCTGTATGGGGTAACCTCAGGCTCATGCTGGGGCAGCCTTCGTTCTCGGAGCATCAGCATCAGCACCTCCAACAGCAGCAGGTGATACAGCAGCTTACAATACAGCCACCTGCTCCTCCACAGCAGAAAAAAGCAGTCGGCTTTCTTCGGCCATTTAGTGCTGCAAGGAACAATGAAGTGCTGCGTCTTGGTCCTGAGCCGCTGGAAGAGGTAGCTCAGGCGCCAGGAGCGAAGGATTGGAAAACATTTGTGGCAGGTAAAGCGGCTCGGTGGTGTATGCTTAAAAAGTGTCTCGGCCATGAGGACATGCGGACGACCTGTATGCCCTGTTCGTTCCTGGAACATTGATTGCATATTGCAGGCTGGCTTGCCGATGAGGAGGAAGCACCGGCAGCTGTTGATGGTCCAAACGGCCGTGTGACGCTGGGCATGAACAGCGCATTAGCAGAGCTAGCCGGCGACACGCCGGGGCCTACCGAAGCTCCGGTGCACCCCGCTGCGGCGGCCATTCCCAAGTCTGCCTTCAAAAAGTCAGCCATGCGTGGCGTTTCGGCATTACCGAAGCGCACCAAGTCAGCGATGCGTCGCCCAGGGGCTACTTCAGCTCATTCGCACGCCAGCGAGGAGGCTAAGAAGGACGATGGCGAAAAAGACGATGACGATGACGATTCCTTGCCCACTGAAAAGGGCATTATAAAGAAAAAGAAGAAGAAAAAGAAGGAACGGGACCGCAAGAACCCGTTCGTGATGCCTGCACTTCACACGTTCGCATTTGAGAACTTGGTGCACAATATCGTGTGGCGCGTGGGGCGAAACTTCGGATTTCAGGCGTTTAACATCAACCCCCGGACAAGAAATCGGGTACGTACGAGCCTAGGTGCCCCTTCCCTGAATTGTATTTCCGTGCTCGGGGGCTCCCGAACCAGTGGAGTCCCTACCTTGTGGGAAAATTGCACCCTAACGCTGTTCTATGGCCCTAACGTGGATAGGGGTTTAGCGCTGAGTGGACGCCCGCTACTATATTCGTGGCGGGGGACCACCTCACGCAGCTTCTAGTGAAGAACTACTTTATCCGGCGCGACAAGGGCGAGGACGAACGCCAGGAAGAGCGTTTTGCTAAAGCAGTCTTTGAGCTGCACACGACAATCTTTTACTCCTACGAGGAGTACTGGACGCACATGCACGGGCTGTCCATACGGCCCATGATTATGCAGGTGAGGGGGGGGCCGGGAGTTCGGGATCAGGGCCGGGGGATACAGGGTAGTGCCGAGGTCGGATTTGGGTGCTGCGGTTCAGTCATTGTTATGTGGTAAGGCGCCTTACCATATAAGGCGACAAGTCCAGGAAGGTGTTACCTGGAAGCGCTTTGGACAGCGCATTGCAATGTGGCTATGGGCTCTGCTTGTGCCGGGTAACCTAGGACGACAGCTGCACAGGCGCTTCTTTGGCAAGTAGGCAGCACCGCACACAACCACAAGAATACACACGATTCAAATCTCGCACGGATTTGCACTTGCGAGCGTCTAAGCTGGTTGAACCTTTGCGGCAAAATGTCAGGGGTTGTGTCATGCCAGGTGTTACTTGAGTAAACGACAGGAAGTTGAGGGGATGACATTTGTGCTGCCCCTTGCACCGAGCGCTGACGCAATGCGAAGCGGGGCCCGATTTTTGACAAAGTTTTGTGCTGGTGTTAAGCCTGGCGTGTGTTGCGTCTGGACAAACGCAGGGCTTCCATGCTATTGCATAAGACCACTTATCGGCTATCGCAAACGCGGCCCTAGAAACAGCGCAGCTGGGAGGACCGGAAGGGCTCATTTGCAAACGTAGCTGCAGGTCACATGTAACCCCCATTTGGCCCTGCCCAATCTGGATTTGGACATGAAGGGTCGTCGGGAACGGCACTTGCCTGTCTGGCCTGAGCTGTGGATGGGAAGGCAGCGCAGCCATTTCTCCTTTGTACAGGCCTCGCTGACCTTCGGCGTGCGAGCGGCGAGCCTGCTGTTTCCCGCAAAGCCACGGCGCTGACGTGGTCTTTCCTTTTTCGCCCGCAGGAGCTGCTGAACAAGCGCCGCTACTGCGATGAGGCGGTCGTGTGCGGACTCTTGACCGAACTGGCGCTGTACTTTTTAATCTACACGGAGTCGTCGTCCATGCGCCACACGCCGGAACTGTTGTGGTTCCTGTACTGGTGCATGAACCACAGGTGGGAATGCACTTTGGGGAAATTGGGGGTTGGGGCAAAGGGCATTAGGGGACGATAGTCCAGCGTTTGCCACCGTTCAGGCGTGCGTTCGATTAACTCACTCTTGTCATTCACTCTTCAGTCTCATTTGTGGGTTTCGGGGGCCAAGGAAGCCTTCATGGATGGAAACGCTGCTGGCTACCGACTTCTTAGGCTACCGGCTTCCTAGGTTGGCACTGTTGCTGGGCGCTGTGTCCTCAAAGGAAGCTGCGGCCGCCATTGCAAGCAACACTGGGTGGGGTTTTCAAAGTTCGGGGCGCCTGGGGCTCGTGTTACTACATAACTGTGTTATTGCTCGCACGGCGCGGGAGCATCGGGGTATTTAGGGACGGGGGTCGAGGTCGTAGAAACCGGAAGGAGGGCCGGCAAGGTGCACTATTGGTTTCGGGCTTGCGGCGGCGGCGAAATTACTGCCGTGCTCTGCCAATGGCCTGCGTGGCCCTTGCGCGCAGCCCTAAAAGCTGAAGCACCACATCGCGGTCGCAATTCAACGCAGCCACTGGGGTCAGCCCCTACGGCGTGTCTGCAGTCGCAAAAATTGCTAGGTGGTTGCCTCGATTGTGGGAAAATAGTTTGCACATGCCTGCGTACCGCGGTGCATTTCCTGGTCCCTCATTGGCTCACCGCATGCCTTACGGTAGTTTTCGTTGCCGCCTCTGCATTCATTTGCCCACATAATAGTCCAGACTCATATCCGAACCCCGCGATGACCTGCGCTCACCCTTTGTTGCCCTCCGGGTTCCGTTTCCCTCGCGTGCCCCCACGGCCGCCTCACCCGAACAGCTATGTGATGCAGGACATGTGGACTCGCGACCCGCCCGAGAACTTCCCGAACATTCGGGAGATCCGCATCGGCCTGCGTAACAAGCACCAGCAGCTGATTCGTGAGTTGCAGAACACGCTGGGCATTTACCCCGACCGCATCAGGCCCGAGGACTGCGGCCGGCTGGCGCCCATCATGTCGCGTCTCAAGGGCAGCGATGTGCCGGATGACCAGCGAATCATCATTGCGGACCTCATCGCCTTTGGTGATGGCAACTTTTACTACGAGCGCATTGTGACGCCCATCTTTTATGTCATCAGCTACGAGATCGACCACCTGTCCAACCTGGGTGTGGAGGTGGCGCACCGACTGGGGTAGGTGGGGCTGTGTGGATGTGTACGTTTGAAGGATAGGAACGTGAGCACTGCGGACCCAGGCGAGACCTGGGCGCGGGGGTGGGCTTGGGTTGGTTACCTGGAAGTGGGGGGGGGGTCTGGACAAGGCCGTATTGGCTGCCGGGAGTTGAAGAATTTTTTTCAACTAAAAGGAGGCGGCCGGAGGAGAAGTGTGGGGCTGCAAGGGCTGCGGTCTGACTGGACGTCTGAACATGAAGACGGTATCGCAAACTCCCGCCGCTGATCTCTTGAGTAAACGCGCACCATCCTACCTGATCAGCCGTCCATCGCGGCATCTCTAACTTTTGTTATTTCCAGCGACAAGGTACCTGTGTAGGCTCTTCCTGGATATCGCGTCGTAGCACTTCCTCGCTGCCCCATGCTCCATTCCTCTTCTCTCAGGTATGATGACATCAACGAGAGTATGGCACACACGGGTGTGGTGCGTCTAGCGCTGCGGGACCTGCGCGTGCGCGGCGATCAGATCGTGCGCGGCGAGGTCAACGAGGCCTACAACACCATCACACGCCTTGGGTACCCACGCGGCCGCGCCGAAACCCATTACGATCCGCAACTGGCGGCCGACTGGTGGCGTCTCAACGTGTTCGTTAAGACGTACCGGGAGCGGCGCACCTGGCTGGCGGTGTTCCGTGCCTACTACCGTGTATATACGTGGCATTTGGTGCTGTATCATGGCATGCAGGCGCAGGCTTTCGTCGGGTAGGAGGGTGATGTGGGGCGGACAGGCATGCTTGAGGCCCGAGGCCAGGATGCGGTCATTTACTGGGGTATAGCAATCCCATTTGCAACCATTTTTGTATCCATCTCCTCAAATCTCATCATCCGTTCGGTCGAGCAGAGCAGGGGCAAATAACATGCATTATGGCGAGCGCAGTCACCCGGAATGTGCGTGCAGCCGCTTGAATCATGAGGAAAATCTGCGCCCCTTCCTCCCCCGGGCCCGCAGGTGGAACTATCGCATAATCAGCAGCTGCATCATAACGCACGCCTTTTGCACCGCGCTCGAGCGCTTCGCCAACTGGTACATGACGCGCAACCCGCCGGAGCCGCTGCAGACCGCCCTGTCCAAGGTGTTCGACAGAAAGTGCGTGCGGTTTGCCGGTAATGGGATTGTCTAGGTGCTTGGGCGGAGACGCAAATGCCGCAGGGGTTACAGCCTATTTATTAAGCGACTGGCGCCTCACGCTCCTTTACAATTTCCTGAGCGTATATTTGAGGAGGGCACCGTCTTTTGTGTATTTTTCTTTTATGCATTCCGTGCTCCTCCTGTAGACACGGGTTCTGCACATGTTCAGACCTTCCTCGACGTGCCGTCTGCCTGCGCCTTCTGCTTTACGTCGCCCTTCCATGTGCCTTGCAGGGGTAACTTCAAGATCAGCCGTCGTGCGAATGCACAAGCTCTGGCCGCGGCGCGCGCCGTCGGTTTCGGCGAGAGCAAGGCGATCGGCAACGAGAACGCGCGCATGGTGCCGGTGCGCGTGGTGGAGATTGAGGGAAGCCCGTACCTCGGCACGCTAGGCCTGGTGGAGTGGGTCCTCCTGGCGTTCTTCATTCTCGGCTGGTGAGAAATTGGACGTTTGCAGTCGTCCGTATCAAACGAGTTGTTTTGAGAAACCGTGCTGCTCTTGCCAATCACTTACTGCGCAATATGTGCATGAAGCCCGGCCAAAATCCATATTCACCTGTAAGCCTGCATGCGTCGAGGCCCCTGGATGCGGACTGATCTTCACGGGCCGAGCTGTTGTGCTTCCTGCAGGTACGTGCTGCAGTTCTACGAGGGCCCCTTCCAGAAGTTCTGCTGGGATTACTGGAAGCTGCTCAGCGGGTCCTATGCGGGCGCTTTCATGCTACATTTCCTGTTAACCACACGGGACGGCTACACCATTTCACTGACGCACGCACTGAATCTGGGTCCCATCTTCAAGGCCAGCACTTCGCGGCCCGACCCGGTAAGTGGCGGGTTGGAGGTACCCTCGGTCGTGCAGCTGGGGGCTTTCCAGGTTGTGGCTGTGAAGCATGTGACGGAAGCGTCACAAAATAAGGACGCATTATGGAGGAGGCATCATCTGCACTCGGGGTCCTAGCGCTGGACCCGCAAGCTGATCTGTTGGGGCCTGGGCACCTGGCGCTTTATCGGGAGTTGAGGCCGTTAATATGACTGCCTGCTGGCCTGCTACTTGTGACACGCGCACTTAACGCCATGGGTGGGTGGGCGTCGGTGGCAAAGCATCGCGTCGCGCCATTCTCATCAAGAGCGTCAAGCTCACTTACCTTGCCCCGATAGGCCTCTGTTTCACCCTCGGGTAAGGGTGGCCCACAATAATGCATTCACGTGCGCACCGCCATGAACACTGGCTACAGGTCAACTGGATCATGGGCCCTATGCACATGAAATGGAAGCTGTTCTTCCTGGACGCGCTCTTTTGGATCATCGCCTTTGCCATGAAGATCCCCTTTGACTACTACATTATCTGCAAGCCGTCCGTCGAACCGGTATGTACCGTCGATGCGCTTGCTGTCGCCATTCCGCACCGTGCCTATGTATGTATGACCATGCCGCATCAATACCTTCTACTTACCATTCTTGCAAAATTGCTTGAATGCTTGCTTCTGCTTTGGGACGAGGATTTGTGCACTTTATTATCGGGTGACTCGGGCAACCATTGTTATTAGCCCGTTGGCTTTGTCGGTCCGTCGTCGTGGCGGACGCACGTATCACCTTGCCTTCATCGCTGCGCATTGCTTACCTGCAGTTTTTCTGTGGCCTTTCCGTGCACTGCTTTTTCTACTGCCGTAGCTATATTTAACGTTCAAGGTGCGCTGGCTGGCGTGCAAGAGAGAAGACCCCAGTGAAGACCCCAAATACTGGGGCGTCATCCCCTGCATTGGCGGTGACTGGGTGCTCGCCTTTGTGCGTCTGGCACCCTTCGTCATCGTAGTGCTGCTGGACACGTCGCTCTTCTATCAGGTACTTGTGATGCCCATGTCTCGAGATGCAACACCATCAATACGGCAATGTCACCGCTGTAGGGACCTAGTGCGCCCTGAAACCAGAAGCAGGCAACAGCACCTGAGCCCCGGGCTACCCGGCAGCTGTGACTGCGACCCCCTCCTTTCGCGCATGTGCGTATGCCGTTTGATTGCCCAGGTGGTAGTTTCCCTTCTTGGCCCTCGGCCGTTTTTGCATGGGACGTGTACTTTTCGCTGTGGGTAAAGCAGAAGCCCTCATCTTGCCGACTTGCGATTTGTCTCCGTGCTCATCCGCATTAGGTTTCCACGACGCTGTTTGGCTTATTCCGGGGCCTGTTTAAGCTGGACCTGGGCGTGCTGACTGCGTGGGAGGAGGTGGTGAAGGAATTTTACAAAGCGCCCTACCGCTGGTGGTTCAAGTGTATGTCGGAGGTGGGCAACCGCAACCAGCTTACGCTGCTTAAGACGATGCTCTTCGACAACGCCGCAGACCCGGACACAGGCGCCATCGTATCCGATGGACGCATGTTCAAGAAGGCTGTGCTGACGCCCGAGGAAATTATGGGCACCAAGAAGCGTTCCGTCAACGTAGCGGTGGGTTGGGAGCGCATGAGCGTACTATCGGAAATATCGCCTCTCAGTAGGGCTTCTCAAAGCATATACTCACACACCACTGCCTCACCCGATCACGCAGGCTGTGCTCGACGGAGACGACGACGACGACGACAGCGTCGCTGCGGGCGCTGGGCACGGCACCCGCGGCGGAGCTGGCAGCAAACCCACTGGTGGCAAGGATGCCGCTGGCGGAAAGGGCGCTGCTGCGGGCGGCAAAGCGGCAGATAACAAGCCGCTCAGCACCGGCTGGAAGACCGCCCTGCAAAATTTCGGGCTCCGCAGCGAGCAGCAGCAGAAGCCGCAGCCAAAGGTGAGTCGCCTGCGCGGAGCCTCTGGCATTGCAATGGACAAGTTGGTGTTGAATTTTGAAGGTCGGAGTTGAATTTTGAAGGTCGGAGAGGCTGCGAACCGCACCCATCCATGGGCCTCTCCGTAATATTACCATTGACCATTTGTCCGTGATGTGTTTTGCTAATTGCGACAAGGCTCATGCATTGCCATGGTCGCTGTGACATGTTACATGCCGAGTGCAAAACGGTATCGGGGGGTTCCTTTACGGGCCACGTCCCTGCTGAGATGCCGTTGGGGCTATCAGTTTCTCGGCGCTGTGATATTCTGTGTGCCATTCCCCCACCACAGACCGGCCACAAGGGTGGTCCGCTGCTACCGACCACCACCAACATGAAGGCTATGCAGAAACAGCTCAATCAGATGCAGCGTCTGCCGGTCAAACTGCCCATGACCACCATTACCGAGCGTATGCTGGCTAATACGGAGCGCCAGCGTGAGGGGGACGCCAACAAGCCTAAGCTGGCAAGCGTTGCGGAGAAGCTACTCGGCAACAAGCAGGTGGCCACCACGGCAGCGAAACTTAAGGAGATGTCGCCGGAAGAGAAGCGCAAGGAGGTCATTGCACGCATCCAGGCTGCGCAGAAGCTGCGGAAGGAGGGCGGCGCCGCAGCTGCCGGTGGGGCCGGCGGAGGCAGTGACGCGCCGGCGGCGGGACTGCCGGCTGGCGATTTGCTGGATGGGCCGAGCGGCGGTGGCGCAGCCGGGTTGCTAGTCAATGCGCCATCATCACCAAAGCGTGCGGGCCCGCAGGTGCGCTGGGGAAGGGCGATGGCTGCCGCGGCGCGCCGCAGTGACGAGGGTGCCGCTACCGCCAGCAGTGAGCCGCGGCGTGACCTGCTGACGATGGACGCTGAGGCGCAGGACGAACCCGCCAAGGCACCGGACGGCGAGGATGCATTGCGTCCCTTCTCTGCCGGTACAGTGGGGGCAGACAGTCGCAAGGTGCTGCTGCCGAGTAGGGACCGCACAGGCCATGGTGCCGGCGATGGCGCCAGCTCCAATGATGAGGACGGCGGCGCAGGCGGCGGCATTGCTGGCGTCAAGGCCGGCGCGTCGCTGCCAATGCCAGTAGAGGAGGTGGACGATGAGTTAGAGGGAGTGGACCAGGATAAGCCCGCTTCGGCAGGCAGCGCAGCCACGCCAGCCACTTTGGAGAGAGCCGCTGTCCTGAACCCCGCCACCACCGCTCCAAACCACAGCCGCGCCTCGACGCCGACGCTCTTTGGCGGCGCCGGACGACTGGGCAGCGGTCTCGGCGGTGCTGCCGACGGCGGGGCAACGCCCGCAGGTGGCGTCACCCCAAGCCTTGCGGGCGTCGGGACCCGCGCGGCGCTGGAAACTTTGCCACCGGCGGCGGCGCCGCCGCCAACGGTGGACCGCGGCGACTCGTTCGGCTTCGGCATGGCTGGCAGTGGCCGCGCTGACTTGCCGCAGAATTGGCCCAGCTTGGTGGGCGACGGTCCCACCGGCTCAGCCGGCAGTGCTCGCATGAGCGCCAGCGGTGTGCCGCCATCGCAGCCACAGTCTCCGTCTGTGGGAAGGGTGGGCTCCGCGGAGCCTCCCCCTCGGTATTCATGGACCGGGGCGCCTTCGGATGCGGACGCGATGGCACGAACGTTGTCATCAAATCGCCAGGCAGCTGAGGCAGCCCGTGGCACTCTGTCACCAGCAGGAGCTGGCGTCGGAGCCATGCCGCGCCCGTCTCGGCTTCGCGCCAAGGGCAAGGCAGACGCAGCTGACATGGGCGACTACCATCCAGTGGCCTCCCCGCGGCTCGGCTCCGCGGGGACGACAGATGTAGAGGATGTGGATGGTGACCTGGCCGAATCGTACAGCGGCTATAACCGCATGTTTGGTGGACAGGCCACCGGGGCCGCGGCAGCTTCCTCGCCAGCGGCTGCAGAGCGCAGTGGGACGCCAACCATGCCAAGGCCGGTACGCATATCGCCGCGGTCACCGCCGCGGGCTCTTGGAGCCACGGAAAGCGACGCGGGTAGTAAGGGCAGCGGTGTGGGACGTGCTGACATTCTGCGCATCGATTCGTTGGGCCCTGGGGTCGCAAACCCGGTGGAGGAGCAGCCACTTGAGAGCAACCCGGCTGGCAAGCCAGGCAGTGGCGGCTCTAAGCCGGGCAGCGGCGGCTCTAAGCCGGGCAGCGGCGGCAGCCTGGCGGCGGGCCCTGCCAGTGGCGCACTCTTCAGTCCGCCGGGTAGCGGCGGCGGTCGCGTCAGCGGCGCCGGTGGCAGTATGACCCGCTTCAGTGCCTCCGGCGCCGGCGCGCGACCGGGGCCCGTGGCGGAATCCGTGGTGGATCGCATCACCAGCGGCATGGAAGCTGCAGCTGGCAGCTGGTTGGAGCTGTCGCAGTCGGGCATGGGGCCGCTGGCGGCTGGGGCGGACAGACTGCTGGCATGGCAGGAGGAGGATGACGTTGACGTCGCGAGTTGGTGGACACGGCGGCTGGAGGCGTCCAAGGCTCGCTCGTATCGTACACAGACCGGCGCCAATGATGATGATAAGGAAGTGACAGCGCTGTCCAGCATGACGGGCTTCAGGTCCGACGGGGACCCGCTCGCGATGGTGTACGAGTGGCGCGTCCGGGATGCCAGTTCTGTTACCGCCACCGACAGCGGTGGTGGCGGCAGCGGCGATGCCGACGGGGACGAACACTCGGGGGAGATAGCTGCGGCAATAGGGGAGGCCCGAGAGGACAGCGACGGCGTCGCCGACCACCTCACGCCACGGACCAGTACACGCCGGGCAGCCGAGTTGCGAATAACGGCGTCATGCTCGTCGTCTGCCGACGCCACTGCAGGCTGCGGCAGCAGCGGCAGCGGCGGCAGCGGCAGCGGCGGCAGCGGCAGCGATGGCGGCCTAAGCGCCGCCGATGACGTGCCGCCGGGCTGGGCGGCGGTGCGCAACGCGGCGCGTCGCGCTGGTCCCGTCGCGGAGGCAACACAGAACGGTGGCGGCGGCGACCGGCTGGGCAGTCCCGACTTGCTAGGGACACCCACGCGGTACCGGCCCCCGCCTCCAGAGCCGGAGGCGGATGGAGACGCCGACTCAGCGCAGGGGCTAGCCAAGAGCGCTGGGGGCGGTGAAGGCGGCGCCGGTGGCAACGGCGGCATGGTCGTGCGCTCCGTCAGTGGCACTTCCCTGCACAGCAACTTTTTCAAGGACGCCAAGGACGATGACACATCGGAAAGCGTGGCCGCAATGCCTCCGCATCCTAAGAGTCGGCTAAAGCTCGACCCGATCATGCGATCAAGTGAAGGCGGCGCCGCGGCCACCGGTAATACCGATGGGGAGGGTGGCCCAGGCTCCCTTCTGACCACTAGCAAGAGCGGCCGGCGGCGGTCAGTGATGTTTAGCGGGCAGGAGGTGGAGGAGGACACGGCCCCCAGCGGCGGTGACCCAGCTGAGAGCTCCAATGCCGCATTGGTCGGCTCGGGCTCCAACCGCATGGCCATGTCCACTGGCCAGGCTAGGCCCACCACGGCGGGAGGTGATGGCGATGGCGGCATCATGTCGCGCTGGTTGGCGGGTCTGTCGGGCTGGACCGGGCTAGGGGGAAACAAGGTAGCCCCCGGCGAGGATGAGGAGGCCGCCGACGAGGAGGCGGCGGTGCGCGCCGCCAGGCAGCTGCAAGGTGGCGGAGGCGATGACGCCCCAGCCGGCGGGCAAGGATCCAAGGCCGGCAGCGGCCAGGGCAGCAACAAGCCGGAGCGTGGTCGCTCCTTCCGTGCATCTTTCCGTGCTGCCGGGCCATCGTTCCGAGCCGGTGTTGCGTCGTTCCGGGCCGGCGTCGCGTCATTCCGCGCCGGCGTGGTCGGCGGCGGAGGTGGCGGCGCGAGACCGATGACTGCCGGCCAGGGTCGGCCGACGAGCTCACTGCCGCGCAGCACACAGGCGCGGTCGCAGCTCATGGCCCAGGTGCTGCAGCCGGGCAACGGATTGCGCCCTACCACAGCTTTGCGACCCACTACCGCAATTCGACCCACAACGGCACGGCCTGTGACGGCGTTGTTAGGCCACGATCCTGTAAAAGAGGCCAAGCGTAAGGAGAAGAAGGAACGCGAGCAGGTGAATTGCTGGTGGTGTTGAGTTGGGTTTGGAACAGTGCAACTGCAAGGCCGTGGTCAGGCCATGGCGACGGTAAACTAGAATGGGGCAACAACGGGATATACAACGGTCGTTGCAGCGTGCATGTTACCCGTGTGCGCGGCGATTCTTGCGAGCGCAGTTAGACACATGGGTGAATATGCCAGCCATCAATGTCTTCGGAGAGCCAAGTTCGCTTTGTGCAACCGCTTTGTTGCGTGTTGGTAATGGGCGCTGAGTGTGTTGCTTGTTGCCGGATGCAGGCCATCGAGCGCGCCGCAGGCAACCTGGCCCGCTCCAACTCGCTGGTCATCATCGATGGCGCCGATCCTGATGAGGACGAGGAAATCGACGAGGTGCACGCACAGGTGAGCGCGCCGGGCAGAACGCGGAGTGAAGGACATGTGGGGTAGGCCGTAGGATTGGGGGCGGAGTTGATTATCCCGGCCGGCCATTGAAAGTTAATCTCTTTGGCCTGGCGGGGTTTCAGTTCCGCCCCATTTCCATGCCTCTTCTCATGTGCATATCCAGTTGGCTACATCCGCACTTTGTCTTCGTGTGAGGTGTGACACCCTCAAGACAAACCAACTCTTGTCCTTGCTTCCAGATGATGATGTGGAACGCCTTTGCGTTCGCGTGGGACGAGATCATTGACGACCTGCGTCATGTAGACTACGTCAATGACAAGGAGGTCTCCATGCTCAAGTTCGTGCGGTTGGACATGGGCAGTCGCGGCCACGGCCTGCGGCCCATCCTGTTGCCCACCTTCTTCTACGCGGGCCAGGTCCGCAAGGTGGTCGACACCGGCCAGGTGTCCACGGCGCAGATTATGGTTCTCAACGAGCTGCGTGTGCTGGTTGTGTGGCTAGGGTGCCAGGTAAGGCGCCGGTGATCCCCATCGCGTGGGGATTGGGATGGGAGAAGAGATTGCGGTCACATCGACATGGCGGTCTAAGCGATGCGTGGCTGAGCGCTGTAGTGCCCTATACACGCAGATTTGTCGCGTCATACGACTGTAGCATTGACAAAACAACGCTGCCCTACCTCAACGCTGCCCTACCTCAACGCTGCCCTACCTCAACGCTGCCCTACCTCAACGCTGCCCTACCTCAACGCTGCCCTACCTCAACGCTGCCCTACCTCAACGCTGCCCTACCTCTTAACCACACACCCGCATACGCTATACCTGTACACACTCAACCTTCCCATGCCCACCTCCTCTTCCCCTATGTCAGGTGGGCCTGCTATCGGGCAAGCACGCGCACGTAATTACTTCGGCGCCTTTTGTGCGCGGCAATATTAACGTGAAGCATGCGCTGCTGCGCAAGAAGATGCTTACACACGGCCTCAAGCTGGTGGATCAACTGGAACAGATCTGCGAGCGTCGCGAGGTGCCCTTTGACATGAAGGACATTGCGGACAACCTGTACCAGCTCTGGGTGTCACTGGAAGGTGCGTAGCAGGACGTGGGCAGGGGACTCAGGACCGGGACGCTTAACATGGCCGAGCCGCAGGCTGGGTCACCACCCGCGCCTACAATCATTAATCACTGGCAAGGCACTCCGGCCCGACGGCAGGTATGACCCTTACGTTATAAATGAACGGACTTTAACTCGCTTCCCTAATTGTCGTGGTCTCTCCGCTCCAGGCGAGTGCTTTGCGATTCACAAGGCCGCGGAGCGCAAGCATGCAACCTCGGAAGACGTGGAGCTGGCGTCCATCTTGTTCGAGGTGGTGTCCGACATGAAGCAGGTCATCTCAGGTGACCCAGAGGGCCTCAAGTCCGTCATGAAGGCAGCGTTGCTGAACAAGTGAGTGGAGGGGGTTACCCGTGGTAGACGGGAGGCTGGCGGGCAGACGATGGGCCATTCGACGCGGTCATTTGCTGAGCTTACCGCTTAGGCTATAGATAGAGCTCAGGGCGGCCATGCCGTCATGCCCTTTCCGCATCGTGGGTTGCGCTGTGCTGTCACGATTCCTGTTGCTACGTCCCCTCAGTCCTGTTAGCTAACTCTGTGATGTTATTATTAAAGTCACTCCCCTTGTCCAAACATCTCAGTGCGACCGCTGACTACCGGGAGCTGCTGCGTGTCATTCGGGTGATAAAGCGCATGCTGGTGACCACGGAGGCGGAGGCCACGCCCCAATTGGAGGAGGCGCAGCGCGTCCTGGGCTTCTTCATCAACTCGCTGGGCCATCCCTCCCTGGACAAGCCGCCTTCCATTGACAAGATGTGGAGCTGGTCCATCATGACGCCGCTGTACGAGGAGGACGTGCTATATGCACTGGACGCAAAGGCGCTGGGTAAGTACGGGAGCCACAAACCCAGGCATTAGTGGGCAGGGCAGAGGTCTCAGCACCACGCGCCAGGGTATCACGTGCTGGGATGCGTAACCCTTACTTGTGCGCATCCAGGCCGCGTAGTGCCTGGCACCTGCCTGGCACGTAATAACTGGGGTCTGGGGGGTGTCCGGGGTCGCAAGATGATTGAAAAGCGCTTACTGATGCACCGTTTTGCTGTTGCTGGAACCTCGCCGCCTCGCAGCCAAGGAGCTGGGCCTGAAGGGCAAGAAGATGACTGACCTGCTGTCGGAGACGGACGACTCGATCAGCCTCATGAGCTACCTCAAGGCCATGTTCCCCTACGAGTGGTCCAACTTTAAGGAGCGTATCAAGGTGCGAAAGACGACGCCTCTCACCAGTAGTATGACGCCACGCGCAATCGCGCTCTTGGAAACTGGCATACGATGGATGGACACGCTGCTGCACCTGCTGTCTCTACACGATTTTTACGCTCCCGCCCGATGGCCCGCCGTTTCCCTACAGTCGTTGAATCCGGACGTGAACCTTATGGACCTGTCAGAGCATGACTTCGCACCCGGCTGCGAGTTGCACGACTTCAAGTTAGAGCTGCAGATGTGGGCGTCATTGCGCGGCCAGCTGCTGGCGCGCACGGTGCACGGCATGATGCTGAACGAGGTGTCGCTGCGGGTGCTGGCGAAGCTGGAGCATCCCATGCCGCCTAACATGACGGAAGTGGAGTACAAGTGAGTTCACTGGTGATGTGCATAGCTGGTGCAGGTGCCAGGCGGAAAGTAGTGGTAGGCGGTGATGGAGAGCAAGCCGCGGGCGATGGAAAGAGATGGAGGTTGTAAGCTTGGTGGTTCCGCGGCATAGTTTTTTGTCGCGTGGTAACTACCTTGTTTGCAGCTAGATTGTTTGATGAGTGCTCCCGCCACTGGCTCGGTGTTGCTGCTGGAAGCCGGTAGCCGGTATCCCTTGACGGGCGGGGTATCGTACGTTATTGCTGGAGTCGTGGGCTCTCCTGCATCGACTCTTGATGTCTCTGGGTGCTGACGTGCCGCTGCAGGCGCTACATCGACCAGTTGGTCAACTGCAAGTTTGAGTACGTGGTGACACCGCAGACGTACGGCAAGAACCGCGTTTCTAAGGACCTGCGGTTGCGTTGGCTGGCGTCGTCCATTGACATCCTCATGCAGAAGTACCCGCGGCTGAAGGTGTGTGAAGAGCCTGTCGTCACCTGCCGTCGCCACTGCCGCAGATTCTGTCCCGTCTCTGCCCCCTTCGCCTCCTTGCCTTCTCCTTGCCACTCTCTCCCAGCTCGTTCTCCTCCCTCCCTCCTACGCTCTTATTTTCCCCCACAGGTGGCCTTCTTGGACCACGCCGAGACGGACAACGGCCCAACACAGTTTTCCGTCATGGCGCGTGGCCGCGACCTGAACGATGTCGCGCAACTGTCCGCGCTGACCTCTATGGGCATCCAGGAGGACGAGAACGGCGTCATTGAGGTGCGCCCATCCGCTGGACTCAGAGCATTTCCACCCTCCGCATTTTCACCCTGCCTCTTGCCCTGCGGCGGCGTTTGGATCTTAACGAGTGGCCCGCTGCCAGCCATAAACGCGACCATCTTCCAAGCCAAGTCTCCTTCCATCACAACTAATTGCCTCCTACCTCAACCTCCCCGCACCCATGCTGCTTTACTTTCCTCCTCTTCCTGCGTTATGCCGCTGTTCCTCGGTCCTCCAGTGGTACCGAGTTCGGCTGCCGCTTAACAAGTACAGCGGCCGCGGTGTCATCGTCGGTGAGGGCAAGCCTGAGAATCAGAACCACGCCGTCATCTTTGCGTTCGGGGAGGGCCTCCAGGTGTGTTGGGAGAGGTGGTTGCGTCTGTGGTTGCGTCCACAGGTGCTTTCCACCCTGCGTGCGTCACTGCCACTTGGCGACTGGGGACAACCCCTTTTGTTAGCCTCGCGCTGACCTTTGTCCGCCTTCCTATCCTTCCAGTGCCTTCCTTGACCACTGCTACAAGCCTTGGCCTTTTTTTCTGTATCCGACCCCTTTCCCATTTTACCCCTCTTTGCTGCCGCCTCAGGCCATTGATATGAACCAAGATAACGTGTTGGCGGAGACACTCAAGAGCCGCAACCTAGTTCAGGAGCTGCTGCCCTCCACCAAGGGTGCCTTCCGCCTGTTTGCAGACGACGATGAGCAGGTGCAAATCACGAGGAAGACCATCGCAGCGGAGTTACTCTTCGTCATGCGCATGCGTCAGGTGAATGCGCTGCTTTTGCTGCTGGTGCTTTTTTGCTGCTTTTGCTGTTGGTGCCCAGCTGCTGTCCGCTTTTTGCGTGCGGTGCGGCTTTGCCGACTGATTACCGGCTGAGTTTGCACCTCGTAACCTACGCTTTGCGGCCCTGCCTTGTCCTACCTAGGTTGCTTCGTATAGCTAACATCCGTCGTCTTTGCCACCGGTGTGTCGAAAGGCCTTCCCCGCATCCCCCCTTTTCGCATGCTCGCGCGCCCCCACACAGGCGGCCTGCACCTTCACGGCGCTGGTGGGCTTCCGCGAGTGGATTTTCAGCGACAAGGCCGGTGCGCTGGGTCGCTTTGCGGCCGCCACCGAGTACGCGTTTGGCACCATTACGCAGCGCACACTCACTCACCCCGCGCGCATCCGCTTACACTACGGCCACCCTGACATCTTCAACAAGATGTTCACAATGACGAGGGTGAGACAGGCTGGAGGTGAAAGGCCCGAGGGGGGACTCTGTGGATTAGCCGGTTACGCGCTTTTAGCAGCAGTGCGCTGTAAAGGACGGCGGGCGTGCTCAGAGGCATTGGGTGAGAAAAGTGGGGTCAGCAGACCGGTTTACGCCATCGCAATTGATTGCCGGGCAGAGTCTGTCGTTTCCTCAGCATCCAGATATGCTGTCGCCAACCCGCCCAGTCCTGGATGCCTGTTGCTAGCCGCGTGCCGGGGCACTACATATGCTCCTGTTGGGTCCGGCGTTTTGGGTTCGGGACTTTTGGGATCCGGCAGCGGTATCCATGGCAGTGTCATCATGCAACCATGTGACCTCATTACAATGTATCCATCAACTGATTATTCCCCTGTTGCTGCTGTTGCTGCTTTTGCTGCTGCAGGGTGGCATCAGTAAGGCCACCCGACAGCTGCACCTTACGGAGGATGTGTTCTGCGGCTGCAACCACACGCTGCGTGGGGGCCGCATTCGCTACAAGGAGTACGTCAGCTGCGGGAAGGTACGGCGTGCGCTGTGCGAGATCGGGGCCTGCAGCGGAACCAAGGGAAGACCCGGGAAAAGCCTCAGAGAAACATTGCATAACGGATATGTACGCGGTTCAATATTGGGATGCGCTGCTGTGTGCAACGAGTTACAAGCTACAGCACAGTGGGCGGGGTCCGTTGGCGTTGCTGTTTTGAGTCCGACGCGGACCACTTGCCTAAGGCGCCTAGCGCTCCTAGGTAGGGATCGCGCCAGCCAAGATGGTTTTCTCCGCTGCTCCCTGACATCCCATATCCGACCCTCTCGCTCCCCTCCGCTGACCCTAGGGCCGCGATATGGGTTTCGACTCCATCAACGGCTTCAACTTCAAGATCGCCGGTGGTGGCGGCGAATGGGCCATCAGTCGGGAGTCCTGCCGCCTGGGGGCGCGACTGGACTTTTTCCGGTTGCTCATGTTCTATCACTCTTGCATCGGCTTCTACATTAACTCCTGGCTGACTACGCAGGTGAGCCTGGCTGGAAAGGCCCCCTGTGGCAGGTGGAGTGTAGGGGTGTTCGCTTGCGTCACATTACATGTTGCCATTATCGATGCTACTACGGCTGCACGCCAGTGTGGCTTTGACGGCTGGTTTATCGATTCTTACGCCATTTCCGGCCGGTGCTGTTGGTGCTGTGTCCTTTAGGGCGCCTTCTGGAACATCTACGCGCTGCTGGTTTTCAACATGGCCAAGGCCTCCCACATGAGCGACATGCTGCAGAGGATTTACAACGTGCAGCAGGTGCGTGCGTTGTTGCTGATTGTGGGTGCATACACGTGTGTCGGTGTCGTAATAGTGCAGCAGAGCCGTATGCCTTTTTGACACGCTGCTGCTGTTGCTGCTGCTACTGCCGTTGTTTTTTGTGGTTCTGCAGGTCCTGCAGCTGGGTACCCTGGCCATGATCCCGTACATCGGACAGCTCGTTTTGGAGATGGGCGTGGTCAAGGCCATAGTGACTGTGTTCCAGCAAATCCTCACCGGCTCGCTGTTCTTCTACATGTTCCAGCAGCAAACCGTCGCGTCGTCCTTTATTGCGGATATGATGTACGGCAGCGCCAAGTATGTGGGCACGGGTCGTGGCTTCAACATCACCGCGTTGGACTTCGTCAAGGTGGGTGTGGTCGGAGAGTTGGCGGTCCTGGGGGGTAGGAATCGCGTGTCGTTAGTCGTTAGCAGTAAATATGCCTCATCCACGCGCGTGCGTTTCCCGCCCTCGCCGCATCCACTGCTTCCGCCGCAAGTACAATACTCTTCTGCCTTTCGGCCCACATTCCCTACGTACAACAGCCTTGCACAGTCGTGCTGAGTAAAGTCTTGCCCTGCCCTGCTGCCATCGGTCCGCTCTCCCTGAGTTGCCACGTCTTGCGGCCTACCTCCACGCCTGCTTCATCTCGCAACACAATGTGACAGATACACACAGTCAGTGCTTTGGATACCCAGTGCTTTCGGCAGTGAATTTCCTTTACTTGTTGTACATTTATAATGTACACCTCTCGCTCCCGCACACACGCATTTCCCCCTCTCTCACGCGGCGATTTGACACAGACGGTGTTCCCCTCTCTTCTAAAAACCTCTCGGTATCCTCGCAGATTTTCACGCTGTACGCTCGCTCGCACCTGTACTACGCGTTCGAGTTGATGTCTATGCTCATCGCCATGTACGTGGTGCGTGGCTGTGAGGTGTGCAACTACGGCTCCTTGACCTGGTCCGGATGGCTGCTGGCGTTCGTGCTCATCTTCGCGCCGCTGTGGTTTAACCCCTTCTCCTTCGACCTTGCTAAGGTCAAGGTGAACTACCTGGCCTGGCAGCGCTGGATGCATGGCGACGTGGACTCGAACACAGGCTCCAACTGGTACACTTGGAATAGGTGAGACTGCCGTCAGACCGACAGAGGGGTGATCATGGCACTTAGCCTGTGTGTATATACATAGGTGCCAAGTTTAATTGCGCAAGGGTGCTTCTCATCTGGATAGCAGCATAGGACTGGGCAGCTTGCCTCTGTTTGACTGGCATGGGCTTGGCTGACCAGACCCGTCCAAGCCCGAAGAAGATCTCGCATCATGCCACCGGCCGTTGCGCCTGTTTGCCCTTCCGCCTCGTCCCGGCCGTTACCCCACAGCGGCATGCTGGAGAAGATGCGCAACGACAACGGCAACAACACAGACAACTGGGTCAACATCGCGTTCACATTTGTGGGCTGTCTGCCGTACATCCTCCTGACCGTATGCGCTGCATCTCGACTGGACATCAGGCTCAAGGTCGCTGTCTCACATCCTGGGAAACCTGTTTCCGTGCTTGGGAACCAGATCTTGGTGTTCTTGATCGCCACTGTGTGCATCTGGATCTTCGTCCACGTGACCATTCAGGTGCGGAGGGCCGGGGCGGGACGTGAGGAATCACAGCATTCGGGATCCTGCCATGGGCCTGCATTGAGTTGCATGTGAGCATGTATCCCTTGTACTCTGGACACTGGTGGGGTGAGTGTCCGTAAGGCTCTCGTACTCTCTCTATGTGGGAGCGGGTCAGGCGAGGTGGTAGTGGAAATGGCGTAGCAGTGTTGGTAAGGGGCATGCGGAGGCCGAACAAGTACACGCCTTACAGGCAATTGTGATGCAAGGGGCAACATGTGATCGTTGTCACTGTTGTGTGCCGTGTGAACGTGTCTTCTGCTATGGTGCACCCGGCTCCTATGATTATCTAGGATTAAACATACTTTTCTGTTTATTTTGCGTCAATTGTTGTTGTTGCGCGCTGCGGCGTTTGGCAAGATGACCCCAGGGACGGTCGCGCCGTGCACATGGGTCGTTTGTTGGGCTCGTTACACCCCCTGCTCAATGCACCACCTCCACCTCCGCCACCGCCAACCCCATGCCCTCAGATCAAGACGTACTTCACCGAGCTGGCGGACCACAAGCCCTACCGCATCTACCGCTACATTATGACCATCCTCTTGTTCGTGTTCCTGGTGCTGTGGCTGGCGGTGGTGTCGCGCGCGTACCATGGCAACGGCCTCGCCACGCTCTGCATTATCCTCTACGCCAACTTCCAGCTGCTGATTGCCTACCACAAGGTACGGAGCTTATCCTGGTCCCAGTCCCAGTCCCGGATACGCCCTCATATGGGTCATTACCGGTAGTGACCCTTCAGCAACGATCAGCTAGCGCTGTTTGTACCGTTACGTCCCCATGGCCCTCGCTTTGTCTTTACCACGCACCCGGAGCGAGGCTCCTAGGAGCACGTTTGCCACAACTGCATGTGTTCGCGCCTTATGCTTCTCCCAACCGGCCAGCTGGATGTGTTTTGTTTCGCAGCCGCCTCTCTTTCGCTTTACCTAGGCGGCCTTTCCTCGCCGTCCTCGGCCATGCCTTCCCAAAGCCCAAAGATCTAACCTCTGAGCTCAGCTTTGGACATCTTCAGGGTCCACCTTTCCCTTGCTAACCTTACAAACTTCTCCGAGCCGGGTTCCCTTCGCGCTGACGACCGTCCTCTGCAACCCTCTGCGTTTCCGGGGCGGACGGAATTGCAGTTCGTGACCGTGGCCTGCAGTCAGAACAATTCAATGCGTGCCTTCGTGGACTCCTTCTACTACACCGTGGACCAGATTATTGGCTACACGCTGTTCGTATGCATCGCCTTCCTGTCATTCCTGGGAGTAGTGGGTGCGCTGCAGATGAAGATCCTCTTCAACGACGCGTTCGCGCAGACCGCAGGCCACGCGCGCATTGCGCGCGCCATGAAGGACAACAAGGTAGGCTTCGACATGCGCGGCAAGCCCGGCGGGAAACCCGGCGGCAAGCCCGGCGGTGCTGCGTCAGCCCCCGGCCTGCAGCCGCGCTCGTTAGTGACCTCAGAGCACAAGTACCTGTAGCGAAGCTGTTTGCGAGGCACACGTGCATGTATCTGCGCCGAGGTTGTATATAAGGGTGAGCACTTGTGCACGTATCGTTGGACGAGCGCCGAGAGCCGAGTGTGTGTATGTGTGTATTTGCTGGTGCGAGCATATTGTTTGGTTGTGTGTTTGTGTTGGCGAGGCATACTGAGGCCGTAGCGCAGGCACGTCTGAGCGGGTGTCCTAAGGAGAATGGATGGGGTGCAGATGCGCTTCGACACCGCCACGGTAAAGGTCGGCTTAGTGTGTGCGCATGCAGACGCCGCCAAAGCCGGAGTGGAGGTTCATTGCTGCGTAGGGGCCTTTAGCGCCTGGTTACTTGACTTGATCCTTGGGGGATTTCAACACGCTGGGTGCGCAGCACTTTGCCGTGCGTCCCGTCACATAGTGAAGAGTGGAAGGGCGCGCTCAGCCAGAAGGCTAACTAGGCCATTTGAGGATTATTTCTCTTCATTGCTCACGAACGAGCCTGAGTTGCAGGATCATCGTCCTCAAATGCGCTGCTTGACAACTGCATCAGGACTAAGACCCACGGCGCAACTGGCGACGGTCCTAGCGTGGGCCTTGGTTCGGGGCGGTGGCAGGTGACCATTCATGCTGCATGCATGGGGCCTGTTGGGCTGGTGCACCCCAGCGTTTAAATAATCGGTTACGGATGGGCTCGGCGACGGCTTAACTTTCCCACGTGAGCTTTTAGCGACGTGCGCGTAGGTTCGCCTGGCAAATGGAAATATGCTTGGAAGCTGGAAATCGGTAATTAGGTTGTACGCATGTGACGGAAGGATGCGCAATATTTTGGCTGTTGCTGGCCGCTTCCCGACTTTGCATCATGGCACGCGCACATCCCGTTCGGCACCGCGGCCGGCGGCTTGCACCTTCTTGTGTCGGAATGTTGAGGTGCCGGTTCCGGGGCCTTGAGCGAGTGACCTCCACCACTTCAGTCTTGCGGTTTTGGCCGTATTGCTAGCATGATGCACTAGACCATCATGCGGGAATAAAAGCTTGGAGCTAAGACATGATGACTGCACGTGGATGCATGAATATGTAAGGATTCCAGTATGGGGCGCGATTGGTGTGAGTGTTTGGGAGCGGGGTTTTAGTTGGGTAACATTGATTGCTATTCCAGCAGGGTTTGGTGCCTTCTGGCTGGGTTGCTGAATTCGTGATCTCACCCTGTTTGTTTGACATGTACAGCTATATGCAGGTCGCTTCCTGGCGATAGGACAGTGTAGCGTGCTGAAATTTATGGAACTTCTTTGCGCATTTGTACGTGTTAATGACCGATGCAAATCGGCAGCCCAACTTGGGGGCTGGCGAGGGCGCACAGGCAGGAGGATGAAGCGTTACCTTTCATCTTGCCTTTTTTGTGCCTTTGGGTGGACACAAAAGAATAGGTGGGGGCCTGACACAAACAAGACGAGCAACAGTTGGCGGAGCGCGCTGGACGCTGGGGACTATGGTGATACATGCAATAGATGCTGCTGTTCTTTCTACTGGAGTGTTGCGATGGCAGAACTACCTGTGCGCACCGGCTCGCTGTGTCGGCCACCACAGCTGCGATGGCCCTCCGCAGCTCCGTTGATGGCTGTATAGTTGTTGCAGAGGTGCATGGCCTGCCCTTGTACAAGAAGTTGCCCTGGGTGGCGATGGTGCCGCTTGCCCATGTTGTTGGCTTTGCATTTTGCATTTGCTTCTGCGCAGGGCGACCTCAGGAGTTGGGGGTGCGTGCCTTCTGCGCTCGGTGCCTGTTCTTGTGTAAGGGCCGATCCCCAATCCGCTATTTACGTACACAACTGGATAGGTGACAGTGTTGCCGTGCGTGTGCTTCATGATGTATTGTTTGACGTGGCAGCGCGATGACGCAGATAGGGTGTATGTCCAACTAAGTTACTTGGTCCCGCAGCTGCTTGTATTTGGGCGCCTCTGCTCAACCACTGGACGGTGTACCGTACAGTTGTCGAGTCGTACAGGCCGCCAGAAGTCCTATGGCTAGATATGCATTGGCGTTTGTTCGTGACTGACGGCGTTCTGTTGGATGTGAAGGTGTTCCGGTGATTCAGCGCTGGCCGTCGTTTTGCATGGTGTCAGTGAGATCCTGTTGGTGATCAATACCCAACAAATTCATCTGACAGGCGCTCTCATTACGGATTGCCTGTGGCGACGCTGGTAGCATTGACGTGTGTTGACGAATACGTGATGTGCTGCACGGTTTTAACATGTGCACACGTAAATGAGGTGAGCAGGTTGCAGTTATTGCTAAACTTGGTATGACTTCATCGTCGACGCTAACGGATACCTTTCTGCTGAAAGAGGCAGCACGACATACAAGGATATGGACTTAGGGCTGGACGCGCGCATTTATGTTACCGGTATACCTGGGCTAGCGGAGCGGCAATTCTTCACAGGGTCGTTGTAACAGGGTTGTAACTTACAACACAACGTATACCGCCGGCTTGACGTTTCTGCAGGTCGTAGTCACTGATGCAGGCGTTACCTGTGGTTAAATATTCGAAGTGGAGAAGGCTGTACGGCGCTCGGCACTGCTCGTTAGCAGCGTGACCCCTCACAAGTGGTTTTCCTGACATTGACACACCCGTCGTCAGCATTGCGATTCGTCCTCAATATGTTCCCTGGACAGCACCAATCCTATGACACGCACATCAGCACTGCCAGTTCCGACCACCCTTTGCCAATATCGTCAAGGAAAGCCCCTAGCTCTTACCCCCCACAACCCCTAGGTCCTCCCGAAAATCCAAAAGGGCCTCAGCTGGGCCCCAGAATCCGGAGCTCCCGGTCAGTACGATAGCGGTAGACCAAGAAACACCACATCAGCACCCAGTCCATGTGCCCGCCCCACAACGCTACTCTTCCATACGGAAAACACCGTGGCTAGTTAGCGTTGCGGAGACGCATCTGCCGCGGGTGTTGGTGCCGGCGGCTCTGCTGCCGCTGGAGGAAGCGGCAGCGTCAGCTCCGGCACCGCGTTTAGTACTTCGTCCATCTCCCTGTCAAACGCCAGCTTGGCTCTGTTCGTGCGGCCCGTCACAAAGAGGTTTGAGCCCTGTTGCAGCGCCCACACCTGGCTATGACTCAGATAACTGACCAGAGTGGTGACCATAAGTCCGCCAAAGCCTGGGAGCCGGCAGTCGCAGAGGGCGCAGAAGCGGCAGATCAAGCGCAATGCCAATGGCGTGAAGCGGCAAAGTGGACATGCAGCAGGGGCATCCGTCTCTCGTGCCCACTCCCTCTCAGTCTTAGACAGCCATAACAAAGGCCATTAGTACGAAGTAACCGCCTGGTAGCGTAACTCGCCGTGCGCACCAGCCGAGCGGATAAGGGAGACGCCCCTACGCTGTGCCCGGATCCCAGGACAGGTACTCATTGCCTCGTTATCGGCGGGACCTGGTCGCAACGCTCCATTCGCGTCGACTCGCTCCGGGCACCTAGGGGCTATTTGCCGCCTCACCCGTTAGGACGACAATGCGACTCTGCAAGAGCCACCTGTGCATGGCAAGCACAGGCCCGCGTCTCCCGCTCCAGGGAGTCCCACACCCACACCCACACCCGCACCCGTTAAACGCATGCGGCTGCTGGCGGTCGGCCCCTCACTCACCCGCGTACACAGCCGGCACACCCGGGTCGCTCTTGAGCTCCAGCCCCGTCGCTCCCACCACATCCTCGACCACCAGCTGAAGCCCTTCCACGGTGATTGGCTTGCCGCTGCCGGGCCGTCGCACGCCCACAAACTGCCCCGACGCGTCGTAGAAGACGACCGACTGAGGGTCCCGGGCCAGGACTGTCGGACAGAAGGTAGGGGGGAGGGCAGGGGTGGGCGGGACAGGGCGTTATCAAGGGAGGGACCAGGGTCAGAGAATGGGCGTAGAGGATCGGGAGCTTCTTCCCAGCGCGGAGGGAGGAGAAGACCCGGCGGCAGTTGACTGCTGTTAACAGAGCAGCAGCTGTAGGCTGTTGCAAGGTGCGTCCCGTCAATCATCCAACGTGTGACCGTGAGGGCGTCCTCTCTCAGCGCGGAGGGTACCAGGGAGGTGTTCGGCGAGAGTGATGTCGCAAAGGATCCCGAAGAGAGCCTTTCAGCAGGATGCATGCTCCGGTCCCCTCAGGTCGTGGGACGCCCGCTTCCCTCCCCTCGCCCGACTGGTCCCCGTTTACAGAACTCCTGCAGCCCTCCTCCTTCAGAGGCCATTCCTCAATCTCCCACTGTGCTGCCATTGCATCTACCCGGCTACACAACGGGTCCGTCCTCATGCGGCACTCACTTGATATGCCCCGGGGCGCCGACCCATCCTGCCCCGGCTCCCCAAGCGGTAGGAACGTGGCCCACAGCCGGCCCGCCACACCCGGCTTCCCCTCCAGGGAGGCCATCGGCAGATTGAACGCGGTCCGCTCAGCAGCCCCCACCGCGACGGTGTCATCGCCGCTGCCGGTGCTGCCGCTGGTGGCGCTGGTGGCGGCGGGTGTGGTGTTTCCGGACGTGGTGGCTTCCTCCTGGGCTGCAGCTGCTTGTGCGGCCTCCGCCGCGCGGGCCAGCGGCGCGTCCTGTCCCTGTACTCGCAACGTCACGGCTGATAGCGACCAGTCCGTTTGATACATTGTGACGCCCTGTACACATAGGCGCACGCTGGGGCGCATGAGTGCTTGCGCGTGCTTGTGGCCTCATGGATAGGTGTGGACAGGTTTAGATAATAGGCGGTCAAAGTCCACATCACTGTATCATTTTCCAAGCTTGCCGAGATACTATTTGTTTTCGAAGCTTTCTGTTAAACCCGCCCTGGTATGCCGGCCCCACCCCATAGGCCGCGAACCGGCCCCAACACCACCATACGGCGCTCTGCGGCGTTCCGCCACCCACCTTGAAACGGAAGGGATCATTCACGCTGATGGTCTTCCGCAGGAGCTCCCGGCCACCTTCCTGCGGGTCCAGCAGGGATAGGTCGCTGTAGAACTGCGCCACGGAGCCATCCGGGCGGTAGTCGATGAGGAAGCGATTCACGTGGATGACGCTGGAAGCAGCGTCTGGCATGGAGGCGATGGGCGAGGAAGGCACCAGGAAGCTGGACACCAGGAAGTCCTGACCCTGTGGGTGGGGAGGGGTGGGAGGGGGCGTGTTGGCATGCGGGAGGGCGTCAGGGCAGTTTGGGGACGACCGGGCAAAGAGGGCATCTACTGCGCCCTCTAAGCCCATCTCGCCCCTTTAAAAGATCCTGCCGGGATGTCGACAGCTACCTAGCAGGCCAAGCCATGTCGGACAGCTATCGGGTGTGATTTGGGGCGCCGGACGAAGGCAGGGAGGACGTACCGGAGGGTAGGAGAAGCGACGTGAGTATGTCCGCGTAGGAAAGATGCACGCCCGCGCTTTCCCTGCACCTTCCCCCCTCGTCCTCCTCCCCATATGGTTTGGATAACGTCCTGGCGGTTCCCACCAGTCCGAACCGCAGTAGGGACTTCACCCTCCCCCCCGGGCTCACCTCGGGGCACATGACGGTGCCCTTCAGGGTCCCGAAGCCGCTCCACGCGGTTCCGAACAAACATAGCAGCAGGGCTGCGTGCACTCCAATAGGGCCCACCTTGCCCGCCAGCCCCTTGAAGCCGTACAGCGAGCCGTCCCTGAGGAAGACCTGCGGGGTCGGCGGAATCATAAATGATGTGGGGGAATAAAGAGAGCCCTCCCGGTAGGTAGAATGAGGTAGATTGAGGTGGGGATAGGTCGGGACAGATACGGGCCCGTATTGCGCCCTGATTAACTTCCTCCCCGCCGCCGGCAGCAGCAGCAGCAGCAGCAGCAGCAGAGGCCTCCAAAGCTTTCCCCAGCATAGCCGCACAGCCCACGCAAGCGGGGACAGTTACGATAGGGCGCAATCCCGGAACATGGCAACCCCCCAACATCGCCCGCCTCAGCCTCCTAACCCCTAGCAACGGGCAAGTCCCCTAAGTCCCAGTCCCCGCCGAGCCCCATAGTGGTCCCACCTGATAGCCCCTCTGCATCAGGATGGCACCGAGGTCCTGGACGCGGGCATTGGGCAGCACCTCCGTCCGGCCCTGCTTTAACAGCGAGGAGGGCTGTGTGAGGAAACGCCACCGCTGGGCCACCTGCGGGCTCAACCGGGGGAAGGGGGGAGAGCAGGAAGGAATGGGGGGCAGAGCATGCAGGACTCAGGCGTTGGCAGTGGCTGTGTATTGGGGCCGTAAGGAACATCATTGCAACTTTGCAGCAAGGCCGAAAGGCCGTAGTTACATGCGGAGACCGCACACGGATTTCGGGCTCAGGTACTGGCAGGGCCACTAGGTACTCGCGGAGCGTTGATTAGGACATCCGCTTCGCACCACACCTTGACTGCGGGCCACTGGCGGGTGTAGGTGCACGCGGACAGGGACGCGGCTAGCAGACCGATGGCCAGATAAAAGTAGTCCGCGGTGTAGATGTGGTCGAGCTGAAACGCCAGGATGAGGTCGTACGTCAGGAAGCCCAACACCTTTTCTGGCCCATCAGGATAGTTTGTGAGGTAGAAGTCTAGAGACTGAGGAAGAGGAAGGGAACAGGGAATCAGAGCGCCTCAAAAGTCAGGCCGGGGAGCGGTGCTGATGCGTTGGGGTCTTAGTGCAAGTTCAAGGGAAATTGCAACGGTGGGGAAATGGTCCTGAGGGAGGGTGGCTGGGGTTTGAAAAGGGTGGGAGAGAAAAGGATATAGGCCATGTCAGGTTATCTTTATATTGGTTGCTTGCATACACCCCTTGCAGTCCGAGTTGTTTGGATGGTTTTTGGGCTCCCCTTTCCCCAATTTTATCGCTTGGCAAGGCCTCGTGGTTCCCGGCATACCCGGCGACGGTTCCCACCCATCCTTGCTCCCATCCGTGCACCTGGTTTTGTGGAATGAAGGTCCCGAGCCCTGAAAGTCCAGCTATAAGACCCATGACTGCAATTGCGCGTGGTAGAGAAGACAGCTCTCGCAACAGTCTACGCCAGGCCACTTGCAACAAGTTTGGTTCGAGCGCAGCGGCAATGCTTGCGCTTGCTGGGCCCGAACCCGACGTTGAAGGTTCCCCGGGGTCATCGCGTGGCTTAGGTGCTTGGAAGACATCTAGAGACGGCGCCGCGTTGCCGGATTTAAGCTTTTCGGTTATTGTTGGCTTTTTCTTGTTGCCACCCTGACCGCCTGTTGATATGGAGACACAAGCCACGACGTGCGCAGTGACGACGCATGGCCTCAGCGCCACAGGGCTTAACGATCGTCGTGTATGATTGAGCATATGTACATCTACCTTTAGCAAAACATCTAACACCTCTCTGTCCGAGCCGTGCCAGCATCGGGTGCGTCCCCGCTCGCGGTGCAAGCAAAGAAGGCATTGTAGATGACATATCGAATTTCAGTGCTACAGGGATTTGTAAGGTTAAAATTGAGTGATAAAGAGTAACCGACAAAAAAAGTAACAGGCGACACGTTTACTGGTGAAAAGAGGCTGCTAGCTTGGCAGCGCTAAGGAACCAAATTGTGCAGTGCACAAAAGCCAAACTCCGGCAGCCTCGCCAAAAGAAAAACCAGCACAAGGAGTTACGATAATCATCAGCCTCCTGTTCAGGACAGCGCACACAAAACATACAGCGGTCGTACGGACCATCGCTGTTCACAACGTATTAACGGTGCTACGCGTTAACGGTTAACTGTATGCCCCTTGACAGAAATAACTTAATAAGGTAATATCCAATTATCCGCTCTGGGGGAGCACATGCTGTTGGCCGGCACCGGCCAGAGCAGTTTGTATCAATGCCAATTGTCAGGACGTGTCTCTACTCGACAACCTCTACTCGAAATCCTTCCTACTCTTGCCTTGGCGCTATGCAAAACACCTTCGACTGCCCCTCCATGACCGAATAAAGAAAAAGATGCGCCGCACGAATTCTATATGAACTCGTCCGTGCCGCTGTACAGGTGCACTTTACGCCACTGTCCTCAAGCACATGAGCAAATCAGAAAATAAATCTGCAAATAGGTAGGATTACCCCAACCGAAAATGGGTCAGGGGACCCTACCACATAGGTGGGGAAAAAATTGCCCCATAAAGGCTTCACAGTCCACACAAAGCTACCCGCAGAAGTTGCCCACAGGGCAGCGACATCTTCAGCAATGCTAGATACGCTTTTCGCTCACTGACCCACAGCCACCAATAACAGGCGCAGGCCGCATGATTGACGGCATAATTTACACACAACGTCACATAAGTTCCCGGTGTTGCTCTCCGGACTCGGGGCAGCAAGTGACCCCACCCGCTCAACGACCATCACGACCTCCGCTTATCCTCTCGTCAAGGCAATCAATCGCTCTCGTGGACGCAAAAGAATATCGACAAAGGCCATCTGGGCATCAGCAGAAGAGTTTCGCCGCCTGCGCCAGTCCCACCCTGCAGAAGCAAACATAAATACTACATGGCATGCCCTCACGTGCGCCCAATCAAGCCATGCATGGCCGTGTTTTTTCCTTTGTCAACACGGCCATTACTATGTACCACCACAGAAAATCATATGGTTCCATGCTGTACTAAAAACGAAGGCGCATTTGCTCACCAGGCTCGCCAGGCTGTACATAAGGAAACCTCTCAGACCACGACACGGCTTACCCTCTTCCGCCCTCCGCTGCCCACCACGTCTATTAGCAACCTCCAAAAGACACCGAGCGACCCAACCCGGCACGCCCCGCGCCCGGCGGCAAACTCACCTTCCGGTGTCTTTCCCCTCTCCTCCACCCTCGAGGGCCTAATGTCCTGCAACCCCCTTACATCCTCCCACTCCTACAGTTATGTAAGACCCAGCACTGTCTGGCGTGTAGTGACTTGGCGCTACAAACCCCCCGCACAATGGATAGTTCGACATCTGCTCGGTTCGAACAAAGCGCGCGATGCCCTGTATGCACGTTACCCGTACATGACGGGCATGTTCCAGCCCATCCAGCACTTGGACCAGTCGGGGTGCCACCCGGCCAGGTTGCTGAGCAACGGCGGCGGCGTGTACACCCAGGGCTCCACGCGAGCGGGTGGGGCCGCCACCGTGGCCTCCAGCGGCATTGCCTGGAGACCCGTCTCGAACCTGAGCACGGAGAGAAAGTCCGGAGAGAAAGTCCGGAGAGAGGAGGAAGGAGGGAGGACACCGGCCCCAGGGCGGCAGGAGCAGCTGGTCGGAGGCAGAGAGAGATACGTGAGAGAACCGACAACGGGGGGAACCCCGAACTGGAACTGGGAGGGAATGTCTGTGGGGGCCCCGCGTGAAGAGTCAGAGCAGGAAAGCGGCATCTAACTAATCGTATGCACGGAGGCAGTGTACGGAGGCAGTGTACGGCTTTGTGGACAGCATAGTTGCGACCAGCAGCATCCTAAGCCACCAGTGGCGGTGGGACGCAACGCCAAGACGCCATGCCGTGCCGTGCATCAGGTGCTCAGCCGCACCACAGGCGGACCGCACCTGTAGTAGCAGTACTTGTGAAAGCGGACCAGGATGACAGGGACGGTAACCAGCAGCACAATAGCCTGCGGGCGGAAGCAACGGGAATTAAACTGAGAGCACCCCTGGAGTGACGGGTGAGGTTGCTATGATGGTTGACGGACATGCGTGTGGCCCTGTGCATCGTCGGGGTTGCATGCGGGGGGGGGGAAGAGGTGCATGCAGAGGCCGCCAGCCAGGGGCCGCCAGCCCTTCAGAACCTTCACAACGAGGAAAGTGACGTCGCGTTGCCTTGCCCTGCCCTGCCCTGCCTTGCCTTGCGTTTCTGGCCGCTACCCCACCACCTCGTCGCCACCGGGTCGAACTAACACCCTGGCCTTCCCCATGACCGCCGCTAAGATACATACGCAGGAAGACAGCGCCTCAACCACAGCGCACCTGTGCATACGCGTGCTTCGTGACGAAGACGCATGCCGTGAAGGCGGGGAAGATGGCCAGGCAGACCAGCACCCGGTTGAAGACGAAAGGCCACATGGTGCCGCCACCCTCGTACCTGTCGTACAGGCCAGCGCGCAGGAGATTAGCATAAGAGGGTAGGGACGTGCGTGGGTATTGGCGAGCACACAACGTCTGGACAGGGAGGCAGTGCTGGGAGGCGGAAAATCAGGAAATGAGATGACCAGTTGACTGCGGCGCCTTAGAGAACCCGCGGCCTGTGCGCACTACGGCGGTTAGCTGCTCCGCCGCGGATCGCCTTCATGACATGCGGCTTTGCGAGAGGAACTCGTTAAATCGGCGATGGGAGACCCCGCCGACCTGAAGCCGGCGGTCGCAAGGCAGCTCCACACTTTTAAGCACATATGTGGCCTTATGTATCTCAGCTCGACGGTTCCAAACGGGCATTGGCGGATTTCACGGCATCACACCGCACATGCCTACATGCACGGCCCCGCACTCAACAACATACGAGTTCCAGTCCAGTCACCGCAGACGTGATTGTTTTCCACTGCGGGACACAGCTGAGCCAGGCTGCCGCAGTCGTCACCCTCTTACTTACTTGCGTACGTAGACGTAGAGCAGCGCCCAGCGCCAGAAGAGCCAGGAGATGGCGAAGAAGAGCATCGCCATGGGCATCAGAAGCGGGGACACCACGCTAAAGGCGAAGGCAATCAGGAAGATTATCATCACCATGCCCACCTCGAACCCATATCGCGGCGACACTGTATGGCACACGGCGTCACACAGCAACACACAACAACAGGTTGGCCACATCCATTTCGCTTAGCAGCCATGCAAGGGGGAAGCGGCACATGGGCAGATATGGGCGCGCAGCGTAGCGTCGTGAAGAGCGAGAGCGTCACGCACGCGGGCAGGCCAGCCAGGCGGACCCAACGGAAAGGGATACGAACCCTAGTTTATCCCCTTTGTTTTTATCGAGAAGCGTTGTTCGCCTGGAATGCACCAAACATGAAATGGATCGGTTCTGCCCGGTTGCTCAGCCTTGGGCGCCCTCAGCTCTGTCCTACGGCGCACTCTCCTAAGGCGGCCTTGTAGTACAGCGTCAATCGCCCACACGAGCCCGCTCCCTCTCACACCTCAGGGACCGAGGCGCTCACCCGGAGCCATGAGGAAGGCCCTTTCGCGACGCGTGATGATGCACGAGAGCCGCAGGTACCGCCGGATGAGGTACATGCGGATTCCGATGTGGGGCCACAGCATGCGCACCGGGACGGACACAAAAACCCTGCGGCGCGGCGCGGTGCGGTGCGGTGGGAGGCAGTGAGGTGGGAGGACGAGGAGTTGAGGGAGTTGGAGGAGTTGGGGGGAGTTGGAGGAGTTGGGAGGAGTTGGGGTTGGAGGTGGAGGAGGAGGTGGAGGGGGAGGAGGTGGAGGAGGAAGAGGTGGAAGAGGAGGTGGAAGAGGAGATGGAGGAGATGCAGATGCACCGACCGCCGGAACGGGGAGTTGCCTCACTCCATCCGGTACCGACTCACTCCTTATGGGGATCCCGACCGGTCCCCAAGAGAGCGGCAGAGGCGGCAACGCAGCCCACCGCACGCTGTTGGGCCCCGGCTAGCCCGCGCGCATGGGACTGCGGGCCCCAAAGGTACCATACAGGGCCTTCCTGTCCCACCCTCACACATCTCCCTGTCGCCGTGTGGCGCACATGCACCTTGGCATACATTCCACGTTCTTGTAAAAATCCAAATCGGGTTGTTGGCGCTTTTCTCCTCCCTTTATCCTCGCGCACGACAACGGCTTCCGTTACACGCTCACCTAAACATGGTGTAGTTGATGAAGAAGTTGGACGAGGTGGGCACTGTGTGGGGGGATAGTTGGGGGGGGGGGCCACGGCCGTGCAGGGGCGGGAGATGGGTCGACAGGGTTGACCAAAAGGCCTTCAGTGTACGTCAATACGCGTACAAGCTGTACGACAAACTGTCGCCAAAGCACCTTGGGGCACTCTGGGGGGCCGGTATTCCAGTCAGTCCGTGCTCCAGCCAGCACTGCGACGACGACTGGCTTCCTCGGCCACTGCCCCGCCCTCACCGCAATCGGCGACCAGTGTAGGTCTCTGTGTAGGTCACTGTGCACCCCTCGCCCTTCTGCACCCTGCGATGGCCGCAGCGGTGTGCCCGACCACAACCCTACGCGGGAGCCCTTCACGCGGGAGCACACACGCCCTCGAGAGGCTCTGTCACCGCCCGCTCCGCAATCCCCGCACCGTATGTGCCGACCAAATTGAAGATTTCACTTGGGCCCTTCTCAATGGCCGAGTTGATACCCTGCACGCAGCAACAAAGCGTTGTCCAGGCGTAAGTATGGGAACTGCAAACACTAGCAACGCACGCGTGCACACATACATAGGAGGCACGAATCTGCACAAAGGCGCCCAGGAAGCCGTGTGTGACGGTGGCCATGTAAATCCCGACACGCCCTGACCTGTCTGTGCTGAATGTACTGTACAGCTATTGTACTGAGTGCGCGTGTAGGCGTGTAGGCGTGACGGAGGAGGCGCAGTACGCTTCCAGGATCATCTCTTGCCACCCCAGACCCCGTTACCCGTCACTTCTACAGGACCCCGCGTGCACCTGAATGATGGTGCTGCCCGCCACCCCGCCCAGGAAAACGTTGAAGACACCGAAATAAAACATGTTCTTGGCGATGTAGCGGTCGGCCTCCGATAGAGACCGGGCCTGGCGACTGATCTGCGGGACCACACAGGCAAGTGGGGACGTAGCGTGAGACCGTGGCGCGGGGGAGACCGTGGCGTGGGGCGGCTGGAAGGGGAGGAGGATTAGGTTGGAACTGGGCGGCGGCAGGTCACCAAGGAGGATTAGTGTGCACCCCCCGGAAACCAACCGACACTCCAAGCGCCCCCACCTGCACCACGAATGTGAAGAACAGCGGCAGCACCATGCCCTGCCACAGGATGAGCAGCAGGGAGGGCAGCCAGGCCACCACCAGCCGCTTGAGCAGCCTCGCAATTGGGTTCTTCTGTCCGCAGTACCACTCCCAGGACAGCTGCTGGCTGCGGTACACCCGACCACAGACACAGCCGCAGCGGGAACGGAGGGCACACGAGGGCCGCACGATCACGGTGAAGGAGACGAGGATGAGGAGCACAGCGGGGTGCGGGGCAGGGGGCAGCAAGTCAGGACGGTGAGGCTAACCCCGCCTGGATGGAGGTGGTTCGGGGCGGATGAGGTTGGGGGAACTGGACTTGTGCGAGTTGCCGTGATGTCCCCGAGTGTCGACTCTTTTCATCAGCCACTGCTAAGAGTCGACACTGAAAAGGTGTGCAACGATGAGCTCTTTGTAATCATCAGTACATACTATTGGTACATACTATCAGTACACACGCATGGCGCAGAATGCATGTTTGTGGCGAGTGGATTAGTTACCCATAGGTGGAGCTTAAAAACTGCAAGTGATTTCGTCGCCGGCGGAACACACAGCGGGGTACCTTCCCTCGCAGCGGAGGCGGCCATCGGGTCGCGCGGGAAGGGGGGGTTGGAAGATTTCGTGCAGGCACCGTGCGAGCCGTGCCGTGTGATACCTCCCTCCATCAACCACCGGCGTTGGAAACCGCGTGTATACTTTGGAGAACAGCACAAACACACCTCGGCGCATGCGCCACACCAAACAGCGTTTTCCCAGCCAATGTGCACCTTGTCTTGATATCCGCGCTGTAATACACACACACACACACACACCGGTACGGCCTCCCAGTAGGGCCCCCCTCCCAGCGTCACACACCTCTCCCGCTCCTTGATGTCGTCCGTGCAGCCCGCCGCAACCCAGTCTTCGGAGCCGCTCTCTAACCCCACTGCTCACAACCAGATGTGGACGTGTGCCGGTGATTGAGCCGGTGATTGAGCCGGTGGTGGGGCGGGCGGGGTTGCGGGCGGGCAAGGAAGGGCGAACCGCGGTAAAAAAAAGGAAGCAGCGAGAGGAGGGCGGAAGGAGGAGGAAAGCAAACAAGAACACCCCCGGCCCTTTGTCCTCTCCCTCTATACCTCTTGGTGCGCTGTGTCGTGCACACCTGCACCTGCACCTGCACCTGTTCAGAAGTGGTATCTATAAAGTCATACTTGAGCAACAACATACTGCAAGGCCCACCCCCGTTCTCCGTGCTTCTACCCCTACCCCCGGTGCTCAACCCCGTGTACCGCAGAGGTGTGCCGGACACAGCAGGTAGTCCAGCTGAGTAACACCCCCGGTGAATATGCCGATGGGGAAGGCGACCATGAGCACCACCAGCGGGCGCATCAGGTTGCGCCGCAGGTCGCGGTCGCGGAAGTTGGACCAGAGGGCCGACCAGTTGACCTCGTCAGGGCCGGGAGCGGGGTGCACCTGGAGGTACAGACAGACACACAGACAGACAGACACACAGACAAACAAACAGACAAACAGACAGACAGGCATCAAGGCAAGCGGTATGTACGGGTGTGTGACGGCCTAGGTAGGAAAGCATTGCGTGCCAAGGCAGGGCGCATGGTTGGTGTACCGGGCTTACGGCTCACATCCTTGCGCACCTCCATCGGGCTCATCAGGCCTAACAACCCTCCTCGCACTTCCCTCCGGACCCTATGCCTGAAATGCCCAATGCCCAATGCACGCATACATCTCTTGCCGGCCGGGGCCCCGCATGTCTCCCTCCTCCCTTCGCACGGTCCTTCCCCCTCATCACACGCCCCCACTGCAAACCGCACCACCACCACCACCACCACCACCGGTCCGGGGCGCCGCACCCGGAACTGCCGGTTGTCCTCCGCGTGGATGATGCACTGAGACGCCATGGCGGCGGCGCGCTGGGTGCGGAAAAACACAAACCAGGACGGCGTGTGCGCCTTGTTGGCAGCCGCCACTCGCGCCTTCCGAACCTAACGAGCGGATCATGTTACAGGGGGTTCCAAAGTTAGGTGCTGGTGGTGCTGGTAGTAGGCCGAGGCGACGCATATCCAAGGGAAATTCCACAACCGGGAAAGCTAGCTGTCTGGTGGGCAGCCGAGGCTTCTCCTGGGCGCAGCCTAGACAGCTTCCCGGTAGAGCTCCAAGGCAGCTATAGCTGACTGCTTCGGCAAAAGCTGCAACAGGGATGAGCTTCAATGTACACACAGCAGGACGGCGGTAGCCGGATCCTGGACCGCTCGCGACATGAGCGGTTTGATTTGGGTAGACATCGGCGTCGGCGTCGGTGTCGGTGTCGGTCGTTGTAGGCAAAGAAAGCGCGGGCTCCCAGGGGCGGGTCCGTCTTGACCCAGAGCAAGGGAAAGTGGAGTAGTGGCAGCCGGTTGCACCTCTTCACAGCGCTGAGGGCTGAGCGCCGAGCGGGTTGCAACAAAAGAGTGGACCTCGCATCTGCCTAAATCACCGCTGCCTACCACACCTACCTTCATCTCGAAATCCCAACCCATGAGGTGACTGACAAACCCACCTGCACCAGGAGGTCGTTGATCTTGTCGCGGTGGTGGTCGCGCACCCTGCACCGCTCCCCCACCAGCCCGCAAAACCCAAGACACCCGTACAGCGGCTTCCCGGTCTTTTCCTCGTACTTGATGGCCTGTAATCAATTACATATGGGCGCAGGGTTGTCGAACATGGCCTCAAAACGTATCGAAACGTACATGGAGAGGGTTTCTGTCTAGGGGAGGGGGAGGGAGAGGGTTATCAACTCCCAAAACGCATTTAGGCCTCCCCTCCTCCCATCTCGCCCTGCTGCTCACACATACATCCCCGCGGGCAACGCTGCCTCAGCCCCACTGCGGCGTGTGACTGCACTCATTCGTTTGATCGCTTACAGGCAGCTCACCACAACGCGCAAAAATCATCAAATCCTAATTTTATGATGGGCCTTGCCACGGGACGTCCATGCAAACCGTGCAAGAAAGACGCATCCACTTCGTCCCAAAGATCACCCCGCTCTGCCTCCCCTCATTCCCCCTAGTCGAGCCCCTCCGATCCCGCACCCTAGCCATCCTGCCTAGGATGGCATTGCCCGCACTCACATACTCGTATTGCGCCATGTGCTTGTCCACTTCCATCAGCAGCAGGTCCACCTCCTTGAAATTGACGACCTGGATGGCGCGGTCAAACTCCTCGGGGAACAGCCGCAGGAAGGTGGCGGAAACCACCGAGTAACGGTACCGCCACGGCAGCTCCGCCACGCGGCCGTCCCACACCGCCTGCCGTACAACCTCCCATCCGGCAAGCGCAGCGGCGCGCAGGCGTTCGCGTTCGGTTGGCTGCTGGGATACCGGATTGGCTTCCACCTCGTCCCCTGGTGGTGAGCCTTCCTGACGCTGCGACGTCGCTGCATCTACTACCGTTCGCCCGCCATCCTGCCCCGCACCGGCACCCACGCCAGCGGCCGCCGAGGCACCTGCGCTGCCGGCGACGTGGTTACCCTCCTGGATGACGCCCTCACTCCCGGCAGCGTCCCCGGCTTGGCCCTCTTCACGAATCTCCAACGACGCCTCTGCCACCGGACCGGCGCCTGTGCCGCTGGTGCTTGGGCCCTCCCGCTGTCCCAGTGCCGCCACCCCGCGAAGCGATGCGCCTACCGGTACCCTTGGAGAGATGATGATGGGGCCGCTACCTGCCCTCGGGCTTGCTGCCTGTCCTCTGCGCGCCGCGGCCTGTCCGCCACTAGCAGCTGCTGCTGCGGGACCTGGCTCCGTGAACCGATGCGGCACCCCCTGGTGCTGTAGCTGCTGGTGTGATGATGAGGGGCCAGTACCAAAGGACCTGGGCAGAGCCACAGCCCTGACAGACGACGTCGGCACCGGGTGGCTCGTACCAGTGCCAGAGCCGGTGCCGGTGTGATGACTGCTGGGACTGCCGCGACTCAATGACGGGTTGGCCGATACGATCCCTGTGCTCATTGCCGCGAGCTTTCCCTGCGCCTCCCGGGCCATCATCTCCAGCAGCCGAATCAGTCTCTCGCTGCCGCTGCCACTGCCACTGCCGCTCCAAGTGCCCCCCTGCGGGGCCCGGCCCAGCAACGCTGCACCGCGCACTGCCTGGTGCCACCGACCGGCCATCTTCGGTGATGAGTCGGGATTCAGGTCGATACGACCCGCGGTTGAGGTGGTCTGTAGCGCAGAGAGAGGCTGCGCATGCGAGGGCGTATTGACGCTGCATGTGCGGTTACCACTCAGCAGAGCTGGCACGACACGGCCATCCCCCGAGCCCCGGGGGGAGCAGTGGTATGGAGTGGACCCACGGGCGAGCGCCGTCATGCTCGCAATGGTGCGGTTGGCACCGCTGGGGACCGGCGCGAGGAGCTCCTCAGACAGAGTAGCCGGAAGCTTGGGGTTGAGCTTGCGGGCGGCTTGGTGACCGTACTGTAGGTCACACCAGCTGCATAGCAGGTGAGGTTACAAAGCAGGGGATAACATTTTGATGTTTTCCAGTAAACGTAAACCCAAGCAGCCACCTAGGGAAGAGGGCAGAGCGGCTCAGGTTTTGGCGTCCATGTCGTCTTCCATGAGTGGCGTCATAGAAGCTGGGGCAGCATCAGCGGGTCTTCTGTTGACCCGTATCGTGCAAATGCTTCTTGAGCTAGGCGGCTGTTGCGAATGCATGAATGGGTCGAGATGACGGCCCAAGGTGTTCCTGCGGGCTGCGATCGTCCGGGGCGTCTTCCATCACCCAAATACATGGGCCAGGGAGAGCCCAGCTGGCTGCGGGTTTCTGCACAATTGAGCAACCCCGGGGACTGGAACGCCCAGCCGACAGACCCGGGCTGTGGAAGCGGCGCCTCTCAACTCGAGCTGCGGGACAGGGGGGGATGCATGTGCTGTGCTAGCAGCCATGGATGAGTCAGACACCTTTGGCAGCCACGCACCTCCAAAGCCATGGAGGTAGGCAGCATCCAGCTGGACGACGACCGGTAACCTGCACTTCAGTGACGGCGTCAGCGGCCTCGCTGCCAGGCAGCGTTACCAACGTAGGCTGAGCGGGGCCCCTGCTGTTCCGCCTGCTGTAATCCGAGGAGGAGGAGGAGGAGGAGGAGGGTGGAGAAATCATGTGCAAGAGCACATTGATTTAGGTTACATGCTAAGGAAATGAAAAAAGAATGTAAAGGTGCGGGCGGAGGTGCAATCTATCATGATAATTTCCCGGCAGGCCTGCGAAACGCCACGGGCGCCACAATCTGTTGTGCTACGGATGGCGGAAAAGACTACATCTCCCCGCACAAATCGACATAGACAGCACAACTTCACAGCCTAAGCCAACCTGGAATTCCCCCAGTTTCCCGTACCAGCTGTTCCAGCTTAAAAATGACCATAGTCATTCCCACAGCAGGGGGACTCGGTCGCCCCCTTCCCCCGAACTCACCGAGTGCCCAGCAGCGGCCCCAGGCCCAGGCAAAAATTCTTCAGCTCCCCTCCGACAAGGCGCTTGCTTGTCGAGCCCCCCTGCCTCGGCGCCCAACTGACATTTGCCCTTCTCTATCCCCTTCACCCCTTCAGCCCTCACACCTCAGTCGCGGTCTGCGCGATGTAACGTCCGTCACCAGCACCGCGTAGTGCTGCGCCAGCACCGCCACGCGCGTGCCGTCCGAGAACTCCGCATTCACCGTCTTGCGGTGGCCCACGCTGGGCCGTTTCAAGTCCATGTCGCGCCCGTTCAGCGCCTTCTCCAGCTGCGCCCGCAGCGCACGTGAGCGCGACTGGACGGTCGCTTCCGGACGCTCCAGCCACCACTCAAGCAGGTGCGCATCAGAGTCTAGACCCGACCCTTTGCGATCTATGGAGCAAGGGCTTGGGGCCAAAGAGCGCGAGTCCGCACCCAGAACGCTGCGGCCCAGCCCCGCCTCCAGATCAGTAGCCCCCTCCTGACCGAGGCCGCAGCCGGCAGCGGCGTCACTGCTTTCCTTCAGCTGAAGGCTGACCTGAGACGGCATGCATGGTGGCACCTCGGGATGTGATGCGCGAGTATGTCCAGGCACCGCGACTGGCACCGCCGCGCTGCTCGCAAATGCCGGCGCCACCGCCGCCGTCAGCGATGACGGAACAGCCGCCGCCGTCGCTGCAGTCGCTGCAGTCGCTGCAGTCGCTGCAGTCGCTGCAGTCGCTGCAGTCGCAGTAGAGTCGTCCTCTCCAATGTGCTGGGTGCCTTCGGCGGCCTCTGCCAACGGACCCCGTCTGCCAATGCCCGTACGCTGGACAGGGGCGGCAATGCCCTTCCTGTTGCTGCCCATCACATCATCTTCAATGCACACGCGCCCGCGTAAAGGCGATACCTCCGCCTGCGGAAAACGAAGGCGAAAGGCACCGCGTAACGGTAACGGGACGCAGCGCAGCGAAAGAGAAACACAGCGCGGTAGTCAGGCTGGGGGCCCCGCTTTTGAAGTTGGGAATATCGAGATTGGCCCACCGGCCTTCCCCACGCTGCTGAAGCCTCTCATCCCCACGGTCCATGCAGCCTCCATGCCGCCGCACCATGGCAGCGCAGAGAGAACCCATCACTCCGCATACACGGCGTACCGGCTCGCTTGACTTCAAGTAGGACTGCCCTCGGGCCGGCGACATGCCCCGCCTGCCTCCGCGGTCAAGGCTGAGCTGTGGTCGCATGTGCTGCAGCGCCTGGTCGCTAGGGGCCGCCACCGCGCGGGGTCCGATGCTGTAGGCGGCCCGGTGGATGAGTCTGCTGCCATGGTCTTGTGCCCCCGAGGCCCGCAACACGGTGCTTCCAGAGCCGGTAACGCGGTTGCGGATTGCTTGGGCCAGAGTCCGGCGGGACAGCCTTGATGAGGTCCCCGACCCGGCCGTCGGTGCGTCATGCGCCCCCGAGAGCTGCAGTACGCGGCTTTGGCTCCTGCACGGCACAGAAGCACAAGGCAAGAGCTTGTGCACAGGTAGGGAGGTGGGCAGTCTCGGTCGGTTGCCAAGAAGCGCTGAAGGATTTTGCTCAGTGCCTGCCCTCCTAAAGCTGACAAGCCAGGTGGCATGCATTTTCCGAGGTCCCGGCAAGGGGGTTGGGAGCAACCACCACAGCCGCCTCGCAAAACGAGCGGCAAGCATGGGCATATGCCTGACCGCTCCTAGCCAAAGCTGACTTACCAGCCGCGGCAGCTTCCCCATCACATGCAACACATGCAACACAGCGCGCGACTGTTTTTCTTGGCGCTGCAATCTAGCGGCAGCCCAAGTCCTCCAAACGTTTTTTATTATTTGGTACAGCCCTCACCACTCCCCCGCCCAAAGATCCCCATGTCCTCGCACGTGTACCACGCGTCCGCACCCGTCCACAGAGCCCCTCGGCGACCGGGCCCCAACTGGGTCCAGGCCTCCCAGGGTCGTCCTCCTCAACTCCAACGGCAATGGCATGCCACCCATCGCAAAGCCCTCGTCCTCTTCCTCATCTTCATCCTCCTCGTCCCGGCCGTCTGCAGGCTGGGGACCAGGGAGAGGGCACACACGCTAGGCCGGGCTTTCCTTCCGGAAAATGTCCGGTGGCTGCAGCAACAACAGCCTTCCTAAGCATCCACTATACACTTGCTACTGTACTGTACGGTCTTACCAGGGACGTGGGCCCGCTGACAGGCACGCCCGACGGCATGAGTGCCTTGATCAGCTGCACGCTGCGCAAGAGGCCGTTGATGAATTCCGAGCCCCTAGGTTCCTTGCCCTGTGGCGGATCCGGCCGTCCTTGCTCTTCGTACAGAGCCCGCCACAGATTTACGTCATCACCTGAGCGGCAAGGGCCGCAACAGCAGCAACAAAGCACCAACATAACGTTCACAAATGTTTACCATGGCGACCCTACGATGTGCAACAATACGGCGGCAACCTTTTGCTAGAGCAATGGAGAACTGTGCACTGTGTGGTATGCTTCCCAAGGCAACAGCTTTCGAGCCAGCACTACTAGGCGCTGTGCGGGTTAGGATCTGCACGCACCTCGCCTCTTCTGACGTCACCTCACCTCACCTCACCTCACCTCACCTCACCTCGCCTCACCTCACCTCACCGTGGGGTCCGGGTCGTTCTAGCCCAGGTCACAGGGAAAATGCGTGGATCAGTCGTGCTCTCCCCAAGCGCCTTTTGCCCTAGCACCTGAGTACCTCCACCCACCTTTCCGCAGGTAGTGCTGGCGAATGGTGAGGTACTGGTGGTAATGCCAGTGTAGCAGCACCATAGCCCATCCCAGGTAGATGTAGACAAAACCCAGATGCACCCTGTTTGCAGTACAACAGTACAACCGAACCAACAGGTAACCAATTCCGCCCCTGAATCGGTCTACACAACGCAAGGCGGCCAGGATGGCATCAGGTTGATAAGTCCGCAGCCTCCTAGATCCATAGCTCAAGAAGGATGCCGTTCTTCACAACCCCCCCGGCGGCTACAGGATCCTCCGGAAGCAAAGCGCCCCAAACAGTGCCAACCCAGGTGCTGCAAGACATCTCAATGAAATTGGAATATTAATAATAAATTAGTTATTAATAATTGATTAAAATAATAATAATAAAACGCATTCACACAGGCGGAGACTAACTAGTCAACCGGCGTCTCAGTTTCCTTGTGTGGAGGACGGCTTCGAGCACCAAGGTCCGTGCTCGAGCGGTGACAAGGTACATAAACACGGTGGGGCGGAGTGAGATTCCGAACGGCACGGTCCGGATGCATGGCCCCGAAACCACAATGTTCCATCACGGCGTTACATACCAAAAGACCTTGGAGCCATGCGGGATATTGGACATTGTGAGGCGCATGAATCCGCTCTGGTAAGCGTCCAGCTGTTTGGAGGCGCCCCCAGTCCAGTGCAACGGGATGACTGTGGAGGAGTCGGCAGGCGGACACACGCAACGGGTGCGCTCCATGAGGCCAGGGCAACACACGAGTGCAGATTCCTGAGAGTGTTCTTGACGTTCCATGACCGCACGAAGATATGGGTGCACATAGGACAATACGCAGGCAGGATCTACAAAGCCACTGCATGGCGATACAACACGAATGCTGGCAGGCACCTCGGAAAGACCTCCTGCCGCCCACTGATTGGGGCCTACTGGCCGCAGCGCTACATGCACACGGATACGGCGCTCCGGAACCGACTCACGGACTGCGGTTCCCAGAATGCATAGGGGTAGAAACAGCTGCACACCTAGCGCACAGATCTTCACCATGATCTGCAGGGAGGCGATCACAGGGTCATCGTGTCAAAGGCATTGTTGCATGCATTGGTGATTCCTGTTGCCCCGGAGCGTATTTCCTGCTTGCAACATTTGCTCTAGACAGACCATGCCGGGCCCCGCACATGCCCGCCCGCGTAGGCTGGTACTTCTACATCCGACCCTCAAATCAGCGCTGGCTCAGCTGTGCTGCACATTCTCCACATAAACATGGCAATGCTTGTCAGGTCGGTGCCCGCCTGGGTGCTTGCGCAGGTCCTCATCTGAATCTCGTCTTTAGCAAGCTGCCCTCACGGGAAGAATAATCCCGAGTCCCGCTTATCGCACACCGTTCGGCAGCATGAAGCATTTTGCCCTAAATAAACAGCTTGACAAGGAAAAAAGCACTGCACCGAAAGCAGTGCACCGCGGGTGCTGTGTCATCCGCGCCGGAGTGGACTGCGCCAGAAGCCCCCCAGCGGAGCCAGAGGCACATACCAGCGCATCTAGTCCGGCCGAGAGAATGAAGTCCACATCCGACACCGATATCGACTTGATGGCCCAATCACTGCACGTCGTGTCAGCACCAGGGCAGGGGGTAAGCGTGGACGATGGAACGGCGCTCAAGGCGGGGGATATTTCAACACCCTACTTGGCGATTTTGCAGATATTTTGAGCTGGAAAACGTCAGAAGCAAATAGCGGCATGTAAATTATTGACAGCGGTAAAGTATACATTTTATGTTTCTTGCGGAGGAGACCCATTTTGCAATTATTCCTGTTGCGGATATTTTTGTGGCCCCGTTTTTCTCAGGTCAGGCTTTGGCAATTAAGGTTCCTTCCAAAGAAATCAGACATGATATACTACAAGCGGCTGTTGCCTGGTTTACGTGTGTGGGGAGGTACAACCCTACATGAAGGAGATGAGACCGCGCTCCCGCAGCTTTGGGGGCTTGACCCGTACATGGTTGGCAACCTGCGAAGCAAGGAAAAGGTCAGAGCTGCACCGCTAATTTGGGTGCAGGATGTGTAAGATGTATGCTTGGGCTCTCTTCGATACGCTAGCTTCTCCGGTGCTCTCTTCGGCAGGGAATGACCACCACCGTGGTGCTTACCAACCGGTACTTGTACAGCAGGCTCACGCGTTGAAGCACGCAAAAGAGTATGATGACTGCAGTGCCGACTACGCCTGAGATCCATAAACTGTGGGATAGACACACGACGGAAACGACGGACGACAGGCACACATCAACTGGCCATAAACGCGGACAGAGGTTGACAGCCAAGGTCACGTAAAGACGTTCAGCACTAATGCAGCATACGGCCTCCCTAATGTGACAAGTAAGTGCAGCTAAAATCGAAGTGCGAATAGAGATTCACAGCAGGCATCACTGGCCAACAACAGAAACCAGTCCGTTAGTGGTATAAACCACAGGTGAGGGTTCACCTCCAAAGAACCTTTCACCGAATATTGTGCCCATTCAAGGATTTACGTAGATACGCACCCGGTTATAATGGTCGTATCCGACACCTGGTTCTTCACCCCGATAATCCTGCCCAACGCAGTGTTCACAACGCTCTTGTCTGACATGTCCTTAATCTTCGCTATTGCGACCAAGAGGATATTCAAACACTGGCTTGCATTAGCCACCAGCATGTGTGCTACACCTATGCATTTTGAGATTCAGAAAAGTAAACAACATTTTAAATTGTAACTGTTGAGGGGGACCTTGAGCCTGCTTAAGTTTTCTTTGAGGAAGAGGACATTTTCATGCTTCCACCTTGCCTTTTAATAATGCCATGCACGGCACCGTTGCGTTCCGTTAGGACAACAATAATCTTCTTCCTCGTCACATGGTCGATGATGTACCCGCTGCCTCATTTATGTAATTCTGGAGCTTATATGTATAACATCGGCTCGCAGAAACAAAATGGAGACCAGCAAACTAGCAATGCTCGGGCTTATAATGGTACCGTAAGGAAAGCAACCGCCACGCGCCAAAGGTGTGGAACAAGAGGCGCAATAGATCTTTCCTGCTGCTGAATCAGTATGCGCACCAGCACATTGACACCACATGACTTTTCTTCCTGGGCTGAACGAGATGCATGTACTGACATGGTAACTTTGCTGCTGGCAATTTACTGGTACGCGTATGTTCTATGGATGGACGGGGCATGCAGTTAGTATAGCGGTATTGCCGTTACGAGGTGAGCAGATAGTAGCAGGCTCCCAAATCCAAGCTTTGCTTTGGGCTCGAAATAAACACACACACACATAGGTTTCATATTTAGCTCCGGGGAAGATGAACGTGGAAACTGATTACGCATCGAAAAAATGGAACTTGTTGTGGTGCGCAAAGCAGCCAGGATGTAGCTGGATGCCCCGATAAGTCTTGGTAATTGACAGCGGTACGGCGGCTGCCAAGCCTCTCGACCAGGGCCTCTCCGCCCTGCTCTCAACCTGCTGGATGTGCATGTCGCACTTACATATCTTGTGCTACATCTTTCCGGCAGGACATTTACAGGCAGGCATTACAGTTGATAACGTCGCGACCAACCGTTGAAAGTGTCCAATGCGCTCGGGCGTCTCAACTAGTTTCAAGCACAGAACGTTATTGTTTTAGCTTAGGTATTGATTTATCCATCCAATTTGTCATCTGCAGCTGCTCCTTCCTTGAGTTTTGGTGGCTTTGCCGCGAACTTTTGAAGGTCAGTATGTGGACTCCGCTGGTACAGATCTTAAGCTAATGATATACATACTTTCAAAGTGAGGTTTGATGCGGGTTTTGTGTCGCCTTGAGCCGTCGACTATCGGTCATCTGACGTAGTGATTATACCTGGGACGCATCTTCCTCTGTGCAGGATAGAATTACTGAAAAGGTGGAAAGAGTTGCAAGCATCTTGACATAGCGGAGTGGTGTCGGGACGTCCCGCCTTTCACCCTCTTGTCAAGTCTCACTGCTTACGGGTTTACCGTCAGCCTAGTGATATTCCAGCGGAGCAGCGTACTTTGCAGACCTGTGGCGCAGCAGCGGCGGTGTTCACGCCGCAGGCGTCCATTGATGCAGTGCGCCGTGGATAGGCCCACGTCATGTTTTCTTGGAGTTTAAAGATATAACTATCTTAGCCACCTGGAGTTTCAGTTCGTTTCGCACTTCTGTTTCAAAGCGCCCGCTGTCTTGTCTGTAGCCGTCTGGCCACGTTTTAGGGATGCAGCACCAGGAAGATTACCCACCGCCGCTGCTGAACCGCGTCGGCGCCGGCAGCGTGGGCGCCATAATGCGCCCCGTTGGTCGTGGACAACAGCAGCCGTCCCAACGGAAGGCGCTGTCGTCTGCTGGGCCGGGACGGCCCCTGCCGCCGCACATGACCCACACGCTCCCCGGATACGGGCAACAACGGCCGCTTTTCTACCAAGGACCACTAGGCGTGCCGCCTATGCAGCAAAACCAGTTACTTTTGCCTTCCGCCAATCCACTGCCACCACACTTAAAGCAGCAGATGGCCCAGCAGCATGTCCAGAGCGGCTCATCCGGACCGGCAGCTAGTAGACCGAGCGGCTTGCCGGATCACTTGCAACCACGTTCCTTCCCTCAACAAAAGGACAAGTCGTCACAACAACAGCGCTTGCAGCAGCAGACCGAGTACCGAAACCATAGCGTGCAGCAGCAATCCCCTCCACAGCAGCAGATGCAGAGTTACCCGCGTCAAGACGCTGCCGTGGGTTTGGGAAAGCATGAGTCGGATTCACAGCCAGCCGGTGCGCCACCAGCATCCTTACTGCCGCCGCAGACAGCGATTTCCGAGGCCTCATACCCAAATCAGATGCAATACCTAAGCAGTAGCAATAACGGGCCGCCGGCCGCCGCATCTCCCGCAGTGGACTCTGCAACGGGCGCTGCTGGCCAGCCGGGCCAACCAAACGGGGCCCAGGGGACCGGCTGGTATCATAACGGTCCAGGGCAGCACACCCAGGCACAGCAATGTACGCCAACCCACATCGCAATGCAGCAGCAGCAACAACAACAACATCGCCCGCCGCTGCAGCAGCAGCAACAACAACAACATCGCCCGCTGCAACAGCAACAACAACAACATCGCCCGCCGCTGCAGCAGCAGCAACAACAACAACAGCGTCTGTACGAGGGGGATGTGCACCAGCTACCCCCGCATCCTGCTGCGCAGCCGCATGTTGTACAGCACGCGCAGCAGCCGCAACGGCAGCGGCAGGCTCAGCAGCCGCAACAGCAGCAGCAGGCGCAGCAGCCGCAACAGCAGCAGCAGGCGCAGCAGCCACAACAGCAGCAGCAAGCTCAGCAGCCGCAACAGCAGCCGCAGGCTCAGCAGCCGCAACGGCAGCCGCAAGCTCAGCAGCCGCAACAGCAGCCGCAAGCTCAGCAGCCGCAACAGCAGCCGCAGGCGCAGCAGCCGCAACGGCAGCCGCAAGCTCAGCAGCCGCAACAGCAGACGCAGGCACAGCAGCCGCAACGGCAGGCGCAGCAGCCGCAACGGCAGCCGCAACAGCAGCTGCAGGCGCAGCAGCCGCAACGGCAGCCGCAACAGCAGCTGCAGGCGCAGCAGCCGCAACGGCAGCCGCAACAGCAGCAGCCGCAACCGCAGCAGCAATATCCCTCGCCCCCGATGCAACAGCAGTACCCTGCGCCACATCAACAGTACCAGCAGCTCAATTACCAGCAGCACCAGAGCTCTTGTGCGCCATGGGCAGATGAAGATGTTAGCGGTGGGCAGTTGATGAGGACGTCGTCGACATCTGGACAGGCGCCAGTGTCTTCGCCGCCAGTTGCTGCGCTGCATGCCGCTGGGGGCCCCAGCGGCCTCGGCCCATCGACAGTGTCACCAGCTTCGGAAGCTGCCAACTACCCGCAACCGCTTGCGCCTGCGAGACTGAAGCCTGCGAGCGTTGAGACATTGGCGACGCCGGTGTCATTCGTGCAGCTCGTCCAACAACCGGGGGGTATCCAGGTCGACCAATCGGGCACTGTCCGTGTGGTGGCCCTGGAGGCAGCAGGGGCCCCAGGACAGCACACGGCGCCGACACACCAACAGCAGCAGCAGGCAGCGGCTGGTTATGGGCCTTTGCACACGCAGTTGCCGGTGCCTGAGACGCATCCAATACAGGTGCCTCGCTACGGCAGCACGAGCGCGCCGTCAATGGGGCCGCCGTCAGTTCCGCTCCACGTGGCCAGAGAGGCGCCTGCAGTGCCACCGCAACATTCGTATGAGCCGCAGTCGTACCAGCCACCGGCAGGCATTACCGTTGGCGGTGGCGGGACGGCGATGTGGGAGGATCACACAGTGTCCCGCGACGCTGCAGCTTTTACTCACCCGCATGGCCCCCTGGCAGACGTTGTTGACGGGCGCATCTGCATCGTAGCAACACAACGTCAGCAGCAGCCGCAACCTTTGCCTCAGCTGACCTTGAAGCAGGATGTAGGCTACCTGTACGAGGAGGGCGTGGTAGGCCGCTATCCTGGCGGCGTCGGCCTTGGAGAAAGGCTTGGCAGCCGTGGCGTACCGAAGGAGCTTGATGGCGTGACGGCTGACAGCTACGCTCTTAGTCCGGTTCTACGGACTGGGCTCCTTGACAGGCTCGGGTCTAGGACCGACACGGCTGTGTCAGATGTCCACGGAATGCAGCTGGCGAGCGAAGGTGTGCGGGCTGCATACGGGCCGTCCCAGCCTGTGGGCCCGCCGGCCCCCGATGAGCCGCCCTTGCCGCTGGCTGACGCCATAAAGCGCGCTGAAGCGTTGAAGGCTGCCGTGGCCGCTACTCGGTTGGATGGTGAGCTGATGACCGGTATGCAGAAGCAGCTGGCGCAGACTTGCGAGAAGCGGATTCAGGAATTGTCGCTGGCGTTGAAGGCCGCCGCAGTGGAGGCGGCGGCGGCAAGGGCCAAGGCGGATGCTGCCGCTGCTGCGGTCGAGAAGGCTGAGTCGGATAGCGCGGGTGTAGCTGAGGCCGGCACAAAAGATGATATGGGTGACATGCGGGCAGGGTACTACGCTTTCGTTCTTGACCGGTCTATTCGGGCCGTGTGGCCGCTGGAAACGCCTGAGCATCAGCTTTTTCGCGCGGCCGCAGAGGTGCTGCTGTTGGCGACGGAGGGGGGCCGGTGCGTCCCCGTCAACAACGAGGAGGTGCAACTGCGGGCGTATGAACTGGTGGGTGCAACGCTGTGCAACGTCCCCTCAGTGCTGGAAAAGGCGTTGGAAATTAAAGCAGCCGGCGGAGCCAGTACGATGACGTTGCTTCGGCAGGAGGTTGACTACTTTGAGGTGAAGGAGCATACGCACTGGCAGGCCCCCAGGAGCATACAGTGGCTGGTGCGACTGCGCATAGAGAAGCTCCCCTCTTACCGCGACATGTGTCTCTTGTTCCGCACAGCGATTGACTTGCTGCTGCCGGCCAAGCTAGAGAAGCAGCAGCAACAGCAACGATCTGGCACCGCACGCGCTGCTGGCGGCTCGGCCGCTATGGGCCGCGGCGGTGGCGCAAGTCTGGAGCTCATGGGTAGGGAACCGGAGGGTGCGGAGGAGCGGTTAGTGCTCCGACATGTTGCCCTGCACCTTCTTGGATGCAAGGAAAAGGAGATCGGGCTATTCACTGACACGATTGAGGCGGCAGTTGAAGCGCTACCGGCGCAACTGGGCAAGCATTACGGCAAGGCGCGGCTGCAGGATTTGAAGCAGCTGCTCAAGGTGCACCCGTTCTTTTGGGTATCCCCCAAATCGATGTACGGCGCGGATGGTTTAACCTGCGAGACATATGAGTGCGTGGCGCTACACACGCAGACACTGCTGGAGTTTCAGTACCGTGCCAAACTGATGCTGGAACAGGAACAGCAGTCGTTGCACCCGTCGAAGAAGAGGAAGCTGTTCACGGGTAGCAGCGACGTGGTCGCCGGCGGCGCACTGGAGGAGTGGTGGACGGATCTGCGCGGCAGGCGGTTGAAGCAGCGAACTGACTGAACTTTAACGCTCTGCTAGTTCAGTCATTTGGAGGCGAAATGGTGAGAGACGTAGCAGCAGGAGGAACTGCGCGCAGTGCCGGATCTTGTGGCTTTTCAGGTGGAGGGGAATGAGGAAGATCCATAGGGCTTGAACCTACAAGCCTACCCCTTATCGCAGAGCGTTGATACGCGTTGTATGGTCATGAACTGCAGCTGCGGCGGGCTTGCGGCCATCTGGCAGCCGCGTGAACGGCTGTATTTGGGGTATTTTGCAGGTTGGGTGCACAGCCGCGACGGTGGTCTGCTCGGGGTTTGAAGGACGACCACGGGTTGTCAGGGGGAAGGGTAATTACCGTCCTGCAATTCACGCAGTGGGGCTCACTGCCCGTTCAGGTTCGCAAGGGAGCCCGGCGTCTTGCCTAGGAAGTGCAGGCCCTTGCAATGTCTTTTGGTTATAGTTGTAGCAGCTGCACCGACACAGGACAATGCAGGTGTATCAGCGAAGTTTGTATGCTTCCGCGTTGCAATGCGCGATCATTGGAACTAGGATTGGGCAATGGGGTGCTCTGGATAAAGAGCGGGTGAGTGGTTCCCGCTGCGCGTTGCCCAAGTTGGACTTAGGGTTGCCCATGGAAGTTGGTGGTGAATGGTATAATGTTTCTTCCTTAAGTTGCTGCTTCTGATTTGTGGTTTCATAGGTAAGTGTTTACTGTGTAAATTTCTCCTCTCCTGTTCTGGGGACTGGTGCTACCATGTCGGAGTTTATGATTCAAATAGTTTTGGTTGGGCCTCATCCGTCAGCGTTCCGCTACGTTTGGCAATGTAATGATAAAATTGCGCCCAGTGGTGATTCGGTCATACATCCCCAGAATGTCATGTGGCTTGCTGTACTTGAATGACACGACGCAAGTCCACGGTAACAGTCGTGATATCCATTAGTTATATAAATCTGTCTAATTCCAGAATATGCTCTGCGCTCACGTGCAATTGTGATTAGCTTGGTAGCAAAAGAGCAAAAGAGCAAAGAACCCTGACCTCCGTTCCAGCGGCTTTCAGTAGAGAGAGGCACGAGCTCCACAGAAACCCTCTCGTACTATTGACAGTTTTTAAACAACCTTACGGAGACACCAGATGAGCGGTATGTATGCTGACATAGGACGCTGTTTGCTTCGTCATGAATATGCTTTGATTCTCAAGCCGAGCTCGCGTTTCTGTCATTTGTTTTATGCAACAGGTGCGGCACCACCACCTAAACCGTGGGAAGCTGCGAAAGCAGCAGCGACGACCACACAGGGCGCTGGCCCGAAGCCCTGGGAGCAGCCCCAGACCGCACAGGCAGTTTCACATTCGACTGCAATAGTACCTCGCACACAGCCAGCGCGACCCTGGGAACGGGACGGCGAGACGACAAACGCATTGGCAACAAGTAGCAGTCTTGGTTCCGGCTATTCGTCGTCTCTTTACCCTTCCAGGCCTGGAGCTTTAGGCAGTAACTTGGGGCTTGGTTACGGCTCCAGCATGTATGGGTCTAGCATGTACGGGTCCAACATGTATGGGACGGGCTACCGCCCAGGCTATGGCGCGGGAAGCATGTATGGTGGTGGCGGATATGGTACATATGGCAGTGGCATGTACGGGTCCACAGGGAGTATGTACAGCGGCTATGGTTCCTACGGCGCCGGAGGCGGGATGTATGGCGCGGGAGGCATGTATGGCGCGGGGGGGATGTATGGCGGGGGGGGCATGTATGGCGCGGGGGGCATGTACGGTGCAGGGGGTGGCATGCCATTGCCTGGTGGGCCCATGGATCCCAACCATCCGCCGCCGCATCCGCCAACGGCCTGGCAGTCCTTTATGCACATGGTCAACGGCGTCATGCATTTCTTCGGCCGGTTATCTTTCCTGGTCGACGAGAACACCCACGCGGTGCACTTTTTCATATCGGCATTGCTACAGCTATTGGACCGTGCGGGTTCTTTGTACGCTGAGATTGCGCGCTTCGTGCTGCGGCTGCTCTTCCGCAAGCGGGCCTCAATGCTGGCGGCCAAGAAGGCAGCTGTAACCACTGGCTCTACGGGAGGAGGCCCGGCAGGAGCTGGGTCACATCGCGTCCCGGTGCCTGGCGGTGGGGAGCCCTTCAGCGGCGCAGCTGCCGCGTATGGTGCCCCTGTGCAGCAAGCGCCTGCGACATTTGGTACTGTGGGTGCATTCCTGGGTGGTTCCCAGGCTTTCGGGTTGGGGACCGGAGTCCCTATGGGAGCTGCTGGAATGCCTGGAGCGGGGGCCCCGCAATGGGACTCGTTGTGGAGTCGGTAGCGCTCAGGAAAGGGACAAGGAAAGAGTTATGGGCAATGACGGCGCAGGAAGGGGAAGACAACATTCTCGACTGTTGCCGTGGCCATAGGTAGCGGGGGGGTCATTGGCGTTTTATATGTGGATGTGAGACTGCGCAGGCACTAAAGAATTAATGGCTCCAGGGCAGTTATACAGGGGCGACTGCATTCGATGGGGCTGTTAGCCAGCAGACTTGCATGTATTTGTCGGCTTGAAATTTTGGCAGAACCTTCCGAAGGGTCCAGAGGTCAGGATTAACAGGGGTAACAGCTGCTTTCATTTATAACTTATGACTGAACGCCTGTGCTTTATATTCGGCCTGATGGGCCTTGGACAGCGCCTACAGTGACCGTTGTGCGCGAGTATGCCGGTTCGTGTGCTCGTGTGTCAATGTGCAAGTGCCATGCAGGAGCCCCTCCATTGCTATCCTGCTGCAAGCTACTTCCAGCATTTTTCGTGGTTGTGAAACAGTGCTGGCCTGGCTTCCGATATGTACTTTTTGTACTAACATGTCCGCCAACACGCCCGACGCCGGTGCGTGGTGAGCTACTAACAAGTTTGACAAGGCAGACGTCACAAGCTGTGGGTTGCGGAAGGATTCAGGACTGCCGCGCGACACAGTCGCTCCTGCCAACAGTTAGGGAGGCTCCCTTGGCAGATAAAGCATTGTTGTATTGTTTTAGTTTTTAGAGCTATGGCCCGCGGACGCATGCGGATCGATGATTTTATGTTCGTGTCGGCTCTGGGCGATGCGTAAGGGGGGAACTCCTTGGATGTATGCTGCCCTGGTATTGGTGCTTGACTTGAGGTGAGAAACAGTACAGGATACAATCCATTTACAAGAGGTGTAAACAACGGGTAGTTAAGAACGAATTGCCAGCGTCAATTGTTCAGTTGTGACGCACGGATGGATAAAGCACTGGAAGGAGATATTACTCAAGCAAGGAGTGAACCCTAAAGACTTGAAATAGATACGTGACCAGATAGGGAAGGCCTGGATAATGTTCATCTTTGCGGATGAGACAGGTTACGGAATGGACATAAAATCCCACCAGGTCGAGGGGCCGCCAGGTGGTACGACAGTGATACTTCGGCTTCAACGGGTTCAGTCGTTGGTTCGTTCGTTCAGTCAGGGGTGTGGGTGGCACCCACTGGGTGCTTCGGCATGTATCGCTGCCTGGCCAATAACGGCAGCGCCTGGCCTCGTTTATCGTCGACAGACCGTCGGACACCAGTCCATAAGTCGAGGCCTGCCGATAACCCATCCGGAGCCAGTTTGGGCGCAACCCATCATCTGTTTCGTGGCAGCGGTATATGCGGCAACGAAAGGTCGGCTCCCAGGAAGCGGGAGATCCTCACGTCCCAAACTCCCTTGCAGCATGGGCCCGGTCTTGTCGTCTTCCGTAACCACAGAGCAGTTACAGCGCACATTCCAACGGGAACAAAGGCCCGCCCCGGAGGGCTACGTAAGACTGCAATCTAGAGCGCCAAAGCAACCGCTTACAGAGCAAAGCCTCCCCTGGAAACAACGCCTGGGACAGCGGGCCAAAACTGCTACTCCAAAACGTGGTTACGACCCCGGAAGGTTCCGCCATTGGGCTGCAAACGTGGTGGGTACCCAAACTAAGGCTTAGCCAATCAGCCCAACAACGGCATGGCCAGGAGCAACACGCCTGGTCAAAACGTACGTGCAAAAGCAGGGATTGCACCACCTGCAACCTCCGATCAAGCAACGCGAGGCATATCGAGAACAGAAGTGCAAAACACAAGCACGCAGTGCGACTGAAAGCATATTGGCGCACGTATGAACACATGGAGACCTTTCTCATGGACTACATTTACGGCGCTACTGGCTCTAAGTTTTACGTGTTTTCTGCAGACATGCGAGACACACAAGCGTCGTCGTCCCCTGCTCCTTCACACCTACCCCGCTCGTGGTCTGTCAGTTGCGGACGTCAAAATGTTGATATGGACACAAGTCCAGTCCTCATTCCTCAAAACCACAGCAATGTGACAAACTGTACAGATCAACATCACGGAAGAGGCGCGCATTGTGTTGACACACTCAGCCACAAGATTGCAACACACATGCGAATTTCGTGCCGACGCCAGGCTAAAACTTGTTCCTGACATCATGTCTATTCCCCGTCCTAAGCACACGCTACCCCTACCCCCCTCCCTTTCCCAACCGCTTCTTATGGTTGCTGCAGCCCGGGCAGCGAGGGGCAATGCGCCCATTCAGTGAATTGTTGGCACCGCAATTCAGAGAGCGTGCCTTAGGACCTCGGCCGTTGACGGAATCCCCATCCGTCCTTCAGCCCCCGATATCATTGGTCTCACACGCCACCCAACCCCGGCCAGTGCAGAAGCTCTACTACGGGCAACGGCCCTAAACTGCCTATTAAACAGTATTGCACACTACTAGGATAACCCCACAACCAAGCAAAATAAAGTCCTCGAGATATGGTGCATGGTGGGGTGGCCTTACCACCTGTCTTGGGAGATAACATAAGCTTAAGCACGACCACCGGCCGTGCAGTGGCCATTTCCCAGCCTTTTCCTTGAGCGTGGCTGCAAACATCTCACGGTAACCAGCACTTGGGCCCCGCTGCTGGCGACTGCTCTGGCACTGCATGCAAAGGCCATGCAACAAGACCTGCCACGCCGTCGCCGCAATCGCCCTCACATGCGTGCCCTCCTCCCTTCCCCCCCCGCTGCCAGTCCATTCCAAGATGCAGCACCACCGTGCCCGGCAGCGTGTAGTCACACGCCTGCCTGCTATACCACGGTGACCTCAGACGGGCATCCGGACTTCAACAGAGACCTAAACAGCAGCGACAGGCCTTATAGCTTGCATATATTTCAAACCATGGCTGCGGCAGGCGCGGCAGCCGGATGCGCAGGGCCCCCCGCGTCCACCGCACGCACGGCGCCCCAGACCCGGGCCACAGCGTCCCGCCAGGCCTTGGCCACCGAGCGGATGGACAGGTGCGGGGGCCCGTGACCGGACTGCAGGGCCGTCTGCGCGGCCGCGAGGAGGGCGATGGCGGCGTGGGCGGAATGTCGAAGAGGGAACAGGAGGGACCCGTTAGTCAGTCAGAACCGGGCTCGTGCCGTCGGTTTGCAGAGGTGCGACGTCAGGCTATGCAGGAGCAATAAGGATGGTCAGCCTGGGCTGGAAAAACATTTCACTGCGGCAGGGAACAATGGCGGCGGGGGGCGGGGGGGGGGAGAGAAACCAGCGCTTGGCCCTCACCGCGGGCCGCACCACCCACACCGTGCAGCGCAGCATCGGACTGCAGCCCGGTGCGATAGTGCCACGGATTGCGCCGACCCGGGCTGGCAGCTGAAAAGCTCCTCCGCGAAAGCCGCCTCCTGAAAGTTCAACATACAGCTAACGCATACTCGCCGCCTTTCACCCAGCCGTACCTGGAAATGCAAGCGCGCTGCCCGTCCGTATGGATGGGTATACGAGGCATCCGTGGAGGAGAAGGTAGGAATGGGCGATGCGTCAGGGAACCCCCGCGGGACGCACACACGCAGTCGCTTCCACGGCGGACTGCCAACAGTCCCGCCACTGCCACTGCCTGCCGCAGCAGCCCCTCCTCTCAGGGACTCAGCGTCTGATGGGTGAAGACATTAAACACAGGGAGTTAGAAAGGGCACCGCGACGAGGGTTTATGTTACAAGTTCCGCACAAGTGCGGGGGTGTCCGTAAAAGCCGGGGGGCGGCCATGGACGGTACATCGTTTTTAGTGTGGTTACGTGGTGGACCATCATCGTCCTCCCTCGTCCGCTTCAGCACGTAGCGCCTTAAGAGCAACGCGTCGGGTCTCCCAGACTTCCGAGAGGAACCTGGCTAGTGCACGGGGTGGGGCCTCGGTCATAATCGTGCGTTTGTGGGGCAGCGGCCCTTAAAGGCAGACAGCCGCTAGGGCAGGTCTCGGGAAAAACGGCAGCCTGGACCGGCAGGTCGGCAGGCTGGTCAGCTAGCAGGGTCTCCCCTGCTTTCATTTCCAGCCACAGTCCACCCCCTTCAGCCAGAAGGGAGTCAAAAGAGCTCTACATGCGGATCCCGCTGGCCATCCACACGCCCAGGTTCATTGAAGGATGAAGGGGTCGAAGGCAGCAGACTACGTACCCGTCACCCATTCAACTGGATGGCATCGACTGGACATCCTCGCACACCAGCCGCCGTGCAGTCACGCGATACATGCAGGCTGTGCCTTCGCTTTCACCCCTCCGCAACGCTAAGGAAAGGGAGCTCCCCCCTTCCCCCCAAATGGACTCCCCCGACAACAGCGCGCTGCTGCTCTAAAACAGCCCAACGATAACCTCCCAAGCCCCTCGCCGCGGTGGGCCCCCCATTTCGCGCCGCTCACCCTCCCCGCCAATGGCTGCATCGCACTCCACCAGCAGCGCATCGTCCATGCTGCTTCCGCCTCCACCAGCCTCCGCCCAGGACCCCTCCGCGTCCTGATTGCTGCTGCTGTCCGCCAGCAGCCTCAGCGCCACTGTCTCTCCCAGCTCCTCCCGCACCTCCGCACATGCCGCCTCTACCGCTTGCCGCCGCCGCTTCAGCTCCGGACAGGGACCCACGTCGCTATCGGAACCGCCGCCGCCGTGGCCGCCGCCACCGGCCCCGGCGGCCGCACTGGCAGAGCCGCTGGCACCGTCAACTCCGTAGACTCTGTCACCCCCCTGCCGCCAGCAATCATGCAATAATTTCACTACACTCGAAACGGTTATGGGTAATGACAAGATAAAGAAGCGTGAAGTACACAGCATTATGGTTCGCAACAGCACGGGGGGGCTGGAGGACTAGATCAGGGAACGTTCAGCACCCGGATGAAGCCTGCAGCCGTATCCGCGGCCGCACTTCATGGGATCCAGTACGGAAGTAGCACGCACAAGGACTAATTGTTAGGGTGCGGCTCCCGTCCAGGCTTTGCCACGTAAGGGAATATGATTACATATATATT